GAAATAAAGAGGAAATAAAATGGAAATAAAACGGGGAAAAATGAAAAAAAAAAGGGGAAAAATTAAAAAAAAAAAGGGGAAAAATTAAAAAAAAAAAGGGAAAAAATGAAAAAAAAAAAAAAATTCACTTCATTATTAACATTTGCGTGATGTGTACATGCAGGAACGCATAAATTAAACACAAATTTTAGCGCAGACGAAAAAAGGGAACCGTTTATACACTCGTGTACAAGAGATTAAAAAAGAACTAGAACTATAACTAAGGCAAAAATCATAACTAAAACTAAAATCACAAGGCAAAAATCATAACCAAAACTAAAATCATAAGGCAAAAACAAAAGAGTGGTGACGCGGATAAACTATTAATGAAAATATATGGAGAAACAAAACGGAGGAAACATTTCTATTTATATTTTTATTGAACTTTGCCTACCTTCTTGACACTTCGAAAATGGGATAAAACTTTTCCCAGAATTATTTTCAGTTTTACGTGGGGATGAGGATTAATAGTAAAAGGCTCTATTCCACACATGCGTGGCAATACGTACGAACCAACACATGAATATAAAAATTCAGTATGTGGAACACTACATATATTATGCAAGTTACCTTTGCACACATTTTTCCACTATCTTAAAGTGACAAATAGATATATCAAATGACATTTATATGCATATACATTTCTGCTAAGAATATCATCAAATCACTTTCTTTTTAAAGTACAAATACCTCCCTTCCCCCTTAGCATACAGATGAGCAATACGCTGTTTAACTAAAATGTCATAAATTTTTCTTTTTCTTTTTTTTCTTGTTTTTTTTATTATGTACAAAGCGATTCCATCTTTTTTTTCGCAAACGGTGTATATATTATATAGAAAAGAACACAAAGAAAAAATAGTTCATTCGCATATCTAAGTATGAAACGTTCTGAACGTTTAAATAGTTTTCTCTACTTAGTGGGGTATTACAAATAAAGGACAATATGAAAACAGTGGAAAAGTTTACACTTTCATTTCTCATTTCAACTAAGCTATATATTAAGGACATTTTCATTGATAATTTGTGCTATAAATTTTTGCTGTCTTTTTTTTTTTTTTTTTTTTTTTTTTTCGGTTTTAAGAAAAATATATATTATTCCACTAATTACGTTACTGAAGAATGGTTGCTGTTGCATTCAAAACTGTATTCTTCTTTTGGCTAGCTAAAAAAAATATATATATATATATATTTTACTTTAAAAAATATGAACAATTCAGGAAACTTAAAAAAAAAAAAAAAAAAAAAATAGCTATTTTACTCAAAAATGTGTGCAATAGTCCTAACAACATGAAAAAAAAAAAAATAATAAAATAAATAAAGAGGGAAAAAATAATCGAACGTAAGAATAAAACTAATACATACATTAACTGTAACCACATTAACCGAATGTGAAACAATTTTCTGCATTTGTTTCTCTTCGTTATGATTAGATTTTCCCGAAGGAAGTACAATGTTATTAAACATTGAATGTAATATTTTTGACTTTCCCAATGTGGAACATTACTACCTTTTTTGAAATAGTCGTTACAAAGAATTGACCTTTTCTCCTTGTGCATTTAATGAAACATCCATTTTATATATATGAATGTGAGAAGCCATCAAAATGACACTTTAAATGTCATTGATGTGGCAGCAGTGTGTTGGTTGGTAGTTGTTCTTAAAAGGAAAGCTAATTATGCTTTTACCTTTTATTATCTTTTTTTTTTTTTTTTTTTTTTTTTTTTATAACGTATATTTACAATTAAGGAAACAGAAGTAGAGAAGTAGAAGTAGGAAACATTTCTCTGCGTCCTTTTATTTTATTTATATATTTTTTTCCTCTGAACATTGGATATATCATATTTGGCTACATTACACTGTGTTCATAATTTTTGTGCGTTTTTTTCTTCCCTTATCTTTGTGATCGTGAATCTCGAACACGCACAGTGGTAGCAATTGATTTTGTCTAACGCTATTTTGTTCTTGTTTTAACACATGTATTTTAACACATGTATTTTAACACATGTATTTTAACACATGTAATTTCACACATGTATTTTCACACATGTATTTTCACACATTTATTTTTTTCTTCTCTGTTTTTGCTTCCCGCTTTTGCCACCTCCCCTTTTCAGAACTACCCCGCTCTCACGCTTTCATGCAAATACGAATTTGTCCCACTTTTGACCTGATTTATTAACCAAATGACTGGGAGAAAAGCGAAAAAGCTGCGTTACCTGGATTCGAAGGGGATACTTTACTCTAACGGGATAACATACGAAGGAGGTGAGAAATACTTGAATGAACAGAACAAGGAAGATTATAGTTTTGTGAAAAATTATGGGGAATTGCAAATTTTGCTCAGAAAAGAAGAACAACAATATGAATTTCTAAAAAATCAGCTGAACTTGCTGCAAAAACAGAGGGACTTATTGCAGTGGCATATTTGCAACAATGTTAAAAAGCTAAGTATGAAGAGAAGCGAAAATAAATTCAAAGAACAATGTAAATGTAAATTGGAAGAAAAGTTGAAGCTATTCAAAGATAAAACAAAAATTCATAAGTTTGAACATGACACACTGGAAGAAGACGTTAATAAAATGGAACAACAACTGGATTATAAAATAAAACATAAGGCCAATGTAGAAACGAAATTTAACAAATGGATGGATAAGAAAAATGAATATTTAAAAGACTTAACCTACGAAAGGAGGAACGCATTTAGGGAGAGGAACAACAGACAAAACCAACTGAAAAAATTATTACTAGTAGTGAAGCAGGAGGAAAACAAGAACTACAATATGGACTACCTCAAGAAGTGTGAAATTAACCTAATGAATGAATTAAGTAATCACAAGAATTATAAGAAGTTTGACACAAGCCTGGCTATAACTCCAGGATTGCTTTAACTGTTGGGGGAAAAAACTGTTTTTTTTCATGTATAAATATATTCACACACCGTTTTATTATGCATATGTGTGTGCACGTATTACCATTATAAAAAAAAAAAAAAAAAAAACTTAGTGAACATGGAAAGACAGAGGTACCTTTTCCTTGCAGAAAGCCCCCACCACATCGAGTCCAAAAGGAAACCTTTACCTTTGTTACTGTTGCTACTATTGATATTATCTTTTATTATTACCATTGTTATTATTTGCTATTCATCCTTATTATTTGCTATGCATCCCTATTATTTGCTATTCATCCTTATCATTTGCTATGCATCCCTATTATTTGCTATGCATCCCTATTATTTGCTATGCATCCCTATTATTTGCTATGCATCCCTATTATTTGCTATGCATCCCTATTATTTTCTTTTCTTTTCTCACTTTTTATTTTATGAATGCCCCTGCTGAATAGCTAGCTTACTGATCAGTTAAATGGGTTCATAGGCTTTATCCGCCTAACTGGTTGCCTGACTAACTAATTCTATGTGTGACAAATTGTTTGTTCATTTTTAAAAGGTCAACATCTGCGCGAAAGTGTGATACCACTGCAAATGGGGAAAAATGAAAGAAATTATGTCTTTTTTGTCTTTTTTATCTTTTCTTCCATGAATTTGCATTCGTGCTTGTAGAGCATACACAGATTAGCAATTTCTCTGAATGTTTTGTGTTATAACTTGAAGCCGTAGGTAAAATTTTTGCATCACTGTGGGATGGTCTATATAATGCAAATTGATTGACCTAATCTGTTTTAATTAAAAAATTTGTACGAATGAGATCGTTTTTTTTTTTTTTTTTTTTTTTTTTTTTTCACTCATTCACTCTTAAGTTGAACCACATTTTGGTTGCTAATTCTATGGAAGAGTTAAAAAAAAAAAAAAAAAAAAATAGAACTAAAAAAGAGGTGTAAATCCTCTGTGCAAAAAAAATATGTATAAATGTTTTAATCCAAATGAAATTTCATTATTTGAAGTTCATATGTATAAATATAGTTACAAACGGAGGGGAGCGTGGATCATGTTGAGATAACTATGACTCATTCAAAGTTTTGTCTTAATTTTTGCTTGTGTGTCAGATTTATATATATATATATATATATATATATATATATATATATATATATATATGCGTGTGTGTGTACACGTGTGGGAAGTCATGAAGAATGTTTCCAAACATAATCAAGTAAAACAAGAAACACAAATGAATACACAATTTTCAGTATGATTTATGGACCTAACACATATGTTCGCGTTTAAAATTTTTTTGCAGTTTAATTATATTTAAAATGATGTTTCACAAAAAAAATAAAAAAAAAAAAATAAAAAATAATAAAATAAATTCTCAGATAAGAAATCAAAAGGAGAGTACGTAACATGGTGGGATAGGGACAAAAATTGAAGAGAAGTTACCCATCGTATTTCTGCATATATTACAGAGAAAGAAACATAAATTTTTTTACTATTTGGACACGTCATCATGTTTCAATATGTTAAAAATTTTAGGTAAGGTAAAGACTACACCACTAGCATCTCCAATGAAAGCTGCATTAATATTTGGATGAACACATATATAGCTTATTGGGACATATGGCTCAAAGTGCTTTTGATACGTTCGTATATATGAAAAAGATAATCCTCCATCCATTTTTTTGGTTATGCTTGTTATGGAAATGGAACCATTATTACAACCACCAATGAGAGCAACTTTTTTATTTTCCCAATAATTTGAACGTTCTAACAGATACAAAGTAGACAATGAAGATGTTTTCGCTATTTGGTTCGTTGATACTTTTTTAATCTGCTTCAACAATTTCGTATCCCATATTGAAATGTAATTATTTCCTATTAGTAAAAATACGTCTTCTAACATTTTTGAATATTTTAAATCCATTATAGGTTTGTTTGAAATACACGTGTACAGGAGCAACTGGAAATCGTAGAGATCATATACTGCTACGTAACCACTACCGAATGCAACCCATAATTCATATTTATGTGTGACTGCTAGGATGGATGAAACGTAGCACTTGTTTCGCAGGTCCTCAGGAGTTCTCTTTCCATTTCTTCTTCTTCTCCCACTTCTGCTTCTTCTCCCATTTCTGCTTCTTCTCCCACTTCTGCTTCTTCTCCCACTTCTGCTTCTTCTCCCACTTCTGCTTCTTCTTTCGTCTTCATCACTGTCAATGGAGTTATAGTAATCATCAGAATCGCTCATATAATTACTGTCTGAGAATTCTATCGACTCTCCTTCTTCCTCATCTTTGCTGTAGGTGTCGTCTTCTTCATATGTGCATTCTTCCTCTTCCTCATCTTCTTCCCTCCCCCTCGAACGTCGCTGAGAACTTCTGCTTGTCATCTCTTCACCCTTATGCTTCGTCCATCTTGTGGATTTTTTATTTATTATTATTTTTTTTTTTTTCCGTTTAATAGTTAGCCGTGTGTTATGGGCTGAAGTTTCACTATGTACGCTACTGTCGAAACCGTTACTGTATTCGTCAGATGGATCATCTGATGCATCAGATAATCTATCACCACTTTTGATATCATCAAACAAATGATCTGGGTGTACAATAATTTTTATGAGATTTCCACTGGGAACTTCCCACACGAATATATATCCTTGCATATTCCCTGCAATAACCCAATGAATATAATTAGCAAAAGTAGACTTGACTGAGATTCCAGAAATTTGATATGATAGATCATTATCATCTTCCATATCATTAAAATTGTAATCATTATGATCTGCCTTGCCATTATAATTGTAATCATTATGATCTGCTTTGCCATTAAAATTGTAATCATTATGACCTCCCATGCCATTAAAATTGTAATCATTATGACCTCCCATGCCATTAAAATTGTAATCATTATGATCTAATATGTTAGCTTCATTCGGATTTGTTGTTCCATTATGAATATTTATAATATTATTTTTTATATGCATGTTCTTTATGGATTTTCTAACAGATGATGCAGATGATTTATTAAAATAATTCTTTAGACATTCTTTCGTATTTAATTTTAGTATGCATTCAAATTTACTGTTCTTATAAATTAGTACATACCCGTTTTGTAACCCTAGAATAATAACCTTCCCTATTCCTCCTATACTTCCATGAATTACACACGTGACTGTACATGGGTATAAACTTCTATGTTGAATTAGTTTTCCTCTGAGTGAATATTTTTCATATGCACATGGGGTTTGTACAATTAAATTAGTGGATTCATTTGAATTCTCTTTTTCTATACTTATGGCTAGTACAGGTCCTGGTTTATTTGGTTGATTTGGTATCCCACATCTTTTAGCTACATAAATGTAATTTGTCAATACCATAGATTTTATATTTGTTAATAAAAGAGAAAAACTCCACTTCTTCGGTTGCTCATATTCCTCACTTTTTTGAATTATCTTTATTAAGTTACTGCTGGTGGTGGTGCAGGCATATTTTTCAGATTTATTTGACACACTGTTTCTGCCCTTTGGCTTCTCCTCACTTGGTTTTTCTTCACTTTTCTTCTCCTCACTTGGTTTTTCTTCACTTTTCTTCTCCTCACTTGGTGCTTCTTCACTTTTCTTCTCCTCACTTGGTGCTTCTTCACTTTTCTTCTCCTCACTTGGTGCTTCTTCACTTTTCTTCTCCTCACTTGGTGCTTCTTCACTTTTCTTCTCCTCACTTGGTTTTTCTTCACACATCTTCCCCTCATTTGCTTTTTCTTCACTTTTCTTCCCCTCATTTTGATTCTGTTCATTTGATTCCATTTTCTGTTCATTCGCATGGTCTCCCTCGAGGTGGGGTAAACCATTGGATTCCTCACACTTAGCTCTTTCATCATGTTTTGTCATATTACCACGGCTCGTTTTACCTCCACTACCGTGGTCCTTTTTCCCCTGAGATTTTTTTTTTATTCCATTTTGATTTACATCAAAAGGGATTATATCTGCATCTTTACTCTTTTCATTAGAGGGCGTATGTGTCTTAATCCTACTACTCATGGTGTCGTCCCTCCTGGTAAGTTCCTTTTCGACATTAGAAGGTGGAGGTTTGTGTTGATATGATTGCATGCTGTTCCTTTTCACGTTCTTTGGGTTCAGAGGATCAGCTCCATTTTTGCTCTTACACTGTTTTAAAGAAACTCGAGATTGTCTTCGCTGCATCTTCTCCTTGTTTGAATTTTTTTCTATCTCCTTAATTATGTTCCCCTTTAGAATTATATTTTTCTCAGAGTTTTTGAAACCATTGGAAATATTTACATTTGTGTTTTCGATGTCCCTGGGATTGCTACCTTTAGGTGAATCGGATCTTCTCAAACGGCTGCCCGAATCAGAGGAGTGCTCTTCACTCATGTTCTGCTCTATACCACTTCGTCTGCCTCGTCCACCTCTTCCACTTTGTCTACCTCTTCCTTTTTTATGTATTTACTAAAACGGATGGATTGGGGATGGATCTCTCCCTTACGCAACTACATATGAATGCACACTTGTGTGGTTCGTGAAACAACAACAACAACGAGTAAATTATAGTAAAATAATCTTTGCTGTTGCGTGGCGAATGAAGTTGATGCCACACTAGACAGCTTGGATGTGAGAGATGATGGTTTTGTTGGTGATAAACTAAAAGGATGAGCAGTTAAGACTAAATAAAACAGCACCGAGGTGCAATGATGCACAATTGCAAATGGGAATGTGTGTTAATGCAGACACGTGCACAACGAAAAAGTGGAAAATGGGAAAATATGAAAAAATGATAAATAATAAAATGATAAATGATGAATGAAAAATGATGAATGAAAAATGATGAATGAAAAATGATGAATGAAAAATGATGAATGAAAAATGATGAATGAAAAATGATGAATGAAAAAATGAAAAAATGAAAAATAAAAAAACAAAGCAAAAGGCGTGGTAAAATGGGTGTTGTTCGTTTTAATGATGCTGTAGAAAAGAATTCGAAGTGTAATTATGTACATGCTATTTTTACGCAAAAAAAAAAAAAAAAATATATATATATATACATACATATATACATATATATATACATACATATACACATGCGTGTCGTACACGTAGGAGAAATAAATTAATGATGAAATGACTAACTAGACGAATATCAAAGTAACGGTAATAGATCAAAATTGAAACTAATGAAAACTTCGTTTAATTAAGAATGGCACTCTTCTTGACACCACTCCATGTTTACAAAAAATTTCAGACAGAAGTGAGTGTGGATGGGTTAGTATAATGGTGCAAAATTTTTTTAATTTGAGGGGAAAAGAATGGGAGATACAAACTTATGGATATGTGTACGATTTTTTTTTTTTTTTTTTTCTTTTTTAAATTATCAGTGGAAATGTTTATCAACCTTGTTATACCTGCACGATTATGTATCAGAAAAATATGAATTAATTTAAAATGAAAAAAAAAAAAAAAAAAAAAAGAAGAAATTTTTACAAATTCATTTCGAGGTTGCAAAAAATATAATTATGATGGAGTAGGAGATGGATATGTGCATTCTACAGGTTTCATTTATTTATCTTTTGTTCTGTACCTTTTCACAATTAAAGTTTTTTTTTTTTTTTTTTTTTTTTTTTTTTTTACCCTCCCAGCTTTATCAACTTGTTAGCACATTAATTTGGAATAAAAAAGTAAGACATAAAAATTTATCTTTTACATGTGAATGATTATAAATAAGTGAAAATGCATAAAATATACAAGTAAAGAGAAACATATGTACAAAAACTACAATGATATCACTGTCTATCAACTGTTGAATGGTAAATTGAGTGAAAGAGAATCTCTCAGTTGGTTAAACTTGTACATATACTCTCTCCTCCATGTAGATAACGTTTATGGTGTCTACAATTGTCGAATCTTGGTCTCTAAATAATTTATGCAAAAATAACGTACTTGCTTTAAGCACACGTGTATACATCCATACATATGTATGCATGTATGTATGTACCTATGTTTATACGTTTTTCATCACACCAACACAAATGTAATCTTCACATGTACAATTGAGGCGAAATGTAATATACACAAATAGGCTTTATAAACATTGGAATTTCATGGGTAGTGGGGTGCCTGGACATAGATATCACAAAAAATTAGACAACCATGTCTCTATATTCATTTTTTAAAATGTAAAAATAAGTGGTGGGGTGCGAAATAGATGATTAATGAAAATGTAGCAACACTACAACGAGGAAAAAAAAAAAAAAAAAAAAAAAAAACACTAAGCAATACTGACAGACGGTTGATAAGAATTTTAGTGAAATTTACACAGCCACACTTGTATGCATATGGATGAGCTTATGTAATATCGTCTACTTTCGCCTCTAGCAATTATAAAAAAAAAAAAAAAATAATAAATAATTGTACGTTTAATGCTACGTTCTTATTATTCATCCGAGATATACAACTAAATGCATGTGTATAAAATATGTAAACGTATGCACCTGTCCACCGTATATATATACATGCTTGTGCATTGGGGTTCACTTCATTTTTTGCCAAAACTTGCAGCTAGGGATCAATGGATTACATAAAAGCATGCACTATGTTGACCTGTACAATTCAGCTTTGTTCATATTATATACTTTTAAAACTTTAAAAAAAAAATTTCTTTGGGAGTGAAGTGTTCAGATGACACGCAAAAAAAAAAAAAAAAAAAAAAACACAAATTATTTAACGTATGTCACCGTTTGGAATAATACAACATCCTAAACAGAACAACATAGAATTATCATCAGAACGGAGAGATGAAAAAGTGCTAATCAGAAAATGGCGTGCTATTATGGGATGTGCACACTGCACGTTATGCATATGTATGTTTAACTGTATATATATGTATATACATATATGTGTATACATATATATATATATATATATATAGTATATAATATGGATAAATATTCATATATGTACATGCTGCAAGTAGTTACAATATTAGCTGTTGCAAAAGAAAAAAAAAAAAGAAAAAAAAAGAGAAAATTATGTGAATATTTCAAAAATTAGAAGGACCTGAATGAAAAGTTATTCTACGTTTTGTAAATTCGCACTTGCGTTCTCGTCACAATTTGCTCTTCTGCTGTTTTATCGATTTGTCGTTCTGCTACTCTGCTGGTCATCCGGTTTGTGAATTTTATTTTATTTTTTTATATTTTTTTTTATTTTTTATTTTTTTTTTTTCATTATGCACACATGCCCTATATGTTATTATTTACCTGTACGCGTTACGAACGTGCAGTTAATTCACTAGTGACATGAGCCACAAATAACAATAGCTAAAATCGTCTAAAGAGCCGGAAAATTTTTGAGTTCATAAAAAAGTAAAGCACAAAAGTGAGTGAAAATATAAAATAACAAAAAGATGAAAACAAAATGTGAAAAAAAGAGATACACAGAGGGAGATAAAAAATGGAAGGTAAGAAATGGGGAATAAAAAGTGGGAGATAAAAATTGGAGATAAAAATTGGGAGATAAAAATTGGAGATAAAAATTGGGAGATAAAAATTGGAGATAAAAATTGGGAGATAAAAATTGGGAGATAAAAATTGGGAGATAAAATATAGAGGACAAAAAATGGAAGATAATAAATACAGAATTAAATATAGAAACCTAAAAATAGGAAAATAACTTCCTCCCCTTCACAGAATTAGAAAATTCCCATACACATGGCTTTTTTGGAAAAAAAAAAAGAAAAAAAAAAAAAAAGAAACCCCTACCAGCATAAACAATAGTGAGGGTGATTTCTATCCCCTGTGTACCTATCACTCCTATCATTCCTATCATAACACTTGACTTGGAGTCGTAAAATTTTTTGAGAAACATAATAAATATAAAAGTTAAGGATATATATAATTTTATAATTCAAGAAAATTCTCTTCTTCGTTCCCTCCTTTCTTCCGCTACCCAATTAGTGAACACATTTGACTGATACATTATACATAAAAAAAAAAAAAAAAAAAAAAAAAAAAGGGAAATGGAAAAGAAGATCTTACAAAACGTTTATATAATTTAGCAGCAAAAATCATATTAAGAAAATATTGACAAGTACGCAAGGAGAATCCCTTGGAATTTTAAATAAATCAAAGTACAAAATAAAAAGAGTAACATGAATGAACAAAAGTCTAGCCGTAAGGAATTTACCACGAGTCTAGGGATGAAAAGGAAACGTGGCCACGCTGATGGGAGTAGTGGTCGTAGCATGAGGAGCACCAGTAGGAGAAGTCGAAGAAATAGGAGCAACAGAAGAAGTAGGAGCAGTAGAAGAAGTAGAAGCAGTAGAAGAAGTAGAAGCAGTAGAAGAAGTAGAAGCAGCAGAAGAAGTAGAAGCAGCAGAAGAAGTAGAAGCAGCAGTATCAGTCGAAGCAGCAGTATCAGTCGAAGCAGCAGAAGAAGTAGAAGCAGCAGTATCAGTCGAAGTAGTAGAAGGAGCCGAAGCCAAAGCAGCAGTAGCAACCGTAGAGGGAGAAACAAATTTTCCCATGGAGTCAACCAGGATTTGTACCCTGGGAAGGACCAAGGAAGGAACCCAGAAATGTGGAACCCTGTCATAGCGGAGTCGGGAGGAGTTAAAAAGTTTGTGCTTAACCAGAATAAGTCATTAATGGAAAGAACTAGTGAAGAGAATTATTACTCTAAGGAAAATAATTCTTTTGTAGGAGGGAAAAAGAAGGATCCGTATGAGGATGGAGTAAACAGTGGGATGTACAACTACCCCAGCAATTATCCCAACAACCAAGGGGATGCATATTGGCAGAATAAAACGCAATTTAGCAACTGGGGACATTTTTCAAATGATAAGACACAACTGACGCAACATGAGATGAACATTTATCAGAACAGCCATCAGAACGGCTATCCACATGCAGAAGAGTTGAACGTAAAAGATAAAAACGAATTAGAGGAATTACTACAACAATGTGAAGAATCAAGAAAAAATAGCAGAAATGTGTTAAACGATTGGATTTTAAAAAAGTGTACTAGTTTGCATAATAGTCAAGCTATATCAACTTATTTTTATAATAAAATATTAAAATGTGTAATATTTAAAAATAAGTTAAACTTAATTTGTACTTACAGTGAATTATTAAAAGGTCTTATGTTTAATGGGAGAAAAAAAGAGTTGGCCGATTTTAAAGTTTACATACATTCAATTATTCAAGATGGATACACTTGTGCATATTACAAAGATCACAGTTCGATAAATATACTTCTACAAATGGTGCATACATGGAAAGAGTTATTCATTACCAATTTTAACGAAAATAAAATGTTACTAAATATATTTCACAACGACAGTAGTAGTACAGCTACTTGGGGAGGAGGAAAAGTTTCCATCGATATGTATAATCGAATGATGACGGAAGAATCACACAATAACTTAGACAGAAGGGTAGGAAAACCTAATGTTGAGCACAATAATTGGGATAATTTCCCCCATAGATACTCTACAAATATTCAAGGTGGAAAACACGGAAATAGTGGTTACTTTAATAGTAGACAAATTCCACCACCACCACCTGCACTTCCTCCGCCTCCGCCACCTGTTCCTTCAAATGACTTTGTAAATTTTCAGAAACCATTCGATCGACATAAAAAAAAATATTTCTTATTGGACGAGAACAGGAAGAACTACTATAACCCTGCACCATGGGGAGCTGAAGATAACAAGAATAAAAACCCAGAAAATATTTCCGTTGGTTTTTTAGCAACTTTATTAAAATTTATTTCAAAAAAAGGGAAGAAGTTACAAATTCCTTTGGTTCCTTATACTCCCATTGAAATTTCATATACGTATCAAACACCACCATCTACAAATACGTCAGAAAAGTTAAATGAAAAAATAAACGATTTTTATGATGAGTTGGAAAATATTATGAATGATGAAAATGATGAAAGCAGTGACATTTCTGATTCTAGTGAAAGGATGAGGGCGTATGAAAATTATAAGGTGTTAAAAAGTTTGGACAAAAATAACAAGAAGAAAGTTTGCAGAGACGAGGAAGATAATGCACAAAGGGAAAACTGCCAAAGTGATGCTTTGCGAGATGAACAAAGAAAGAAAAAAAAATATAATAATAAAAGTAATAATAATAATAAAAGTAGTAATAGCAGTAATAATAAAAGTAATAATGACAATATGGATGATTATAACACTGCAGGGGAAGAGAGCGCAGGAAAAAATTATTCTAGTGACACAAACACGACCTTTTCTTCAGTGGAGCTTTTTGACAATTCAATGATTGATCTCTTAAATGACAGTGATGACAAATTCAAGAAAAACAAAAAAAGTAAAAACGTTAATTTTAGTCAAATAGCTATTGAAAATGCTCAAAATTGGAATGAAGAAAGCAATCCCATGACATCCAATTTTGATCTCTACGCAACTGGTATGCCAGACCCAGTGGAAAACGACGTGTTTGAAAAGTACAGGAGAAACAAAGCTTATGTCTATCATGAGGCCATTGCTCAAAAGTTTCACGAGGTAAAGAGCAAGGAACCTTGGCCAGCATGATATTCACCTCACCGTTCAGGTGCTCGTGTTGTGTGCGCTTGGTTGGTGACATGTGCCTGTTAAAATTCGACGGAAAAGCCAAATGAAAATAACTGGCAGGAAAAGTGTAGCGAAAATTTTGCCCTATTGCTCGTACGGGTTTTCCACGATGGCAGCATTTTTCGGCGCATTCATTAGTGCATATACATGTACGTATGCGTGCATGCATGTGTGCATGTATGTATGAATTTTTTTTTCTGAACGTGATAACGTGTGTAACCATCCCTTCATTATTGATTTGTCTTCTCTGAAAGTAACATGCACATATGACCATGTATATCCCCCTCTCCCCCCCCTCATTCTGTTTTCCATTTTTGGTGAAAATTTTTTTTTTTTTCAAGTCTACCTAAAAATTGAGGTTTCCTTAGCTAGGTGTCCAACCCTGGAAGCGTATTTACCTGAACAGTTCATATATTTTTTTATGAGAAAAATTTGGGTCTAACACAAGTTAATGGAAAAAAAAAAAAAAAAAAAAAAAATAAAATAATAAAATTTAAGACAAATAAAAGAGAAATATGTATCACTTAGGGGATAATTTTATGTTTTAAAAAATAGGAATAAAAAAAGGATAACGAAAAGGGAAAACTTTCGTATAATATATTTTAAACTAAATAAGAAAAAATATGAGGATTTTTTTTTTTTTTTTTTTTTTTTTTTTTTTTTTTTTTCAAATAACATTATATAATCCCCTTTTAAAAAAAAAAAAAAAAAATAGTTGTCATATGAAACATATACACAAAAAGAATAGGAGAATAAGATGTGTTTCTTCATATATTCATATAAAAACAGTCTTATATTATGATAACTCATGAGCTAAGGTATTGAGAGTGGTTGAAAAATTCACTGAAGACATAAGAATGTTGTAATTGTACAAAATGTCATCAAACAAATGAGTTAAAAACATTAACAAGAGATAATTTTTCACAATATTTACAAAAAAAAAAGCAGCTGTTGCACCATTATTCAAAAGAAATAGAATAAACTCCGATTGGTTACTTAGCTTGTTCCATACGCTCTGTGCATTCTGAGCAAATTCTTTTTGGCTAATGTTATTTTTTACAAAATAAGTATAAATATCAATTAGAGAAAGGAATATGTTGTAAAAAAATGAAAGGAAAAGAAAAAAATATTTTGAGTTAATAAAAATTTGGAGTTTCTTTACCTTTCTTTTTGGTCGTATTTTCATTGGCATCGGGTCATAATTACAATATTTGAATTTTAAAATGCTTACAAATACTGCAATAATTATTAATGTTGCAAACTGGATGAGTTTGCTTATGGATAACTTGAACTGGGAGGGAGATCCTAGTGGGGCAGCGTTCTCCTTGCTATTTCCAGCGTCCATTCTGTAACTGTTACTTTCACTTTGGTCATTATTTTTATCGTCTACACTGCTGCAGTCATCTATATCGTTATTATTATCGTTATCTATCGCACGCTTATTTATTCGCTTTTTTTTTGTTCGATTTTTTGCCTCATTTTTTTGGCCATCTTCAGGAGAAATTTCCTCCTGCGTCTTCTTATCGTCCGGGCTATTCTTGTCCTCTTTCGTGTCCTCTTTCTTGTCCTCTTTCTTGTCCTCTTTCTTGTCCTCTTTCTTTTCCTTCTCCCCTTCCTTCTCCGTTTCCCTATCTCTGTCATTCACATTATAGCTTGAAGTATCAACCTTTTCGTCTGAATTGTGAGACATGGTTTGATCCAGATAAGAGGTCTTTTCCTTCTCTATATTGGTTGCGCTAGGCACTGTGGGGGATTGCACTACTAGCATTCTGCCCACTCCACTTTGGTCTAACTTAGAAGTAGCATTTTGCATGTTGGTGATTTGTTCCTTTGTGCTTTCTCCACTAAGTTCTTTTATCTCGTTTCTGTCATTTGGTTTTTCTTTCAAAACATTCGTTTCCTTCTTACTCTCCTTTTCATTTTCTATATCCCCCACTTCTGATTTCCCAAGAAGAAGATTCATCCGAGCTTCATTTTTTTTAAGTAATCTGTTTCTTCTCTTGAGTGCATTTTTATCCATTTTTTTGAGAAAAATAATTTGGATCGATTGGGGTCGATGGGGGATAATGTATAAACGCAAGCATGTATCTGTAACACTGGTTCTAACAATTAAGTTTTCAAAAAAAAATAAAAAAAAAAAAAATAAAATAAAAGGCTGTGGAAGGGAGATTAACTAAAAAAATGGTGAAATCATTTCGTTATGTTTGTAGGTTTCATCTGTGTAGTTAGTGCAACATGGGTAGGGGAATTCATAAATACATAAGTATATATGTACATATATACACAAATATATACATATATTTATATTTATTTATCTGCTTTGCTTGTGCTTTGATACAAATGTCCACAGTTCCACTAACCAAACTGTGGTGCAGTCGTATGCATGCATGTGTTCATTTCGCCCCATATAAAAAAATACAAATTCCTAGTTATTGAAAAAGTATAGTGGTGAAGAAAAGCCAAGTCTCTTCTTCCCTTTCACTATTTAAGCGTTTACACTTTCATATGCAACCTCCTCAAAATGTATGCACATATTTGTATTGGTACGTATATATATATATATATATATATATATATATGAACACCCGTGGTTCAATTTTGACTCAGTTCTGAATATGCCTACAAATCAGTTGCTCCATAGGGTATCTCGATCGGTACAGCGTTTGCACTGATTCTTCAGTTTTTTCGTTAAAGAGAGTTTGCAGTATGGACTTGCCTTTGTGTATATGGTGTACTTTGATTGTGCAAAAATTTGTCATCATATTTATCAACGCTTTTTCTTCACATTTATCAACGCTTTTTCTTCACATTTATCAATGCTTTTTCTTCACATTTATCAATGCTTTTTCTTCACATTTATCAATGCTTTTTCTTCACATTTATCAATGCTTTTTCTTCACATTTATCAATGCTTTTTCTTCACGTTCATCTCTACTTTTTCTTCACATTCATCTCTACTTTTTCTTCACTTTTATTTTATCGCTACTTTTTCATCACATTTATCTTTAAATTTTACTACTGCGAATTTTTGTTTTTTCTATTATTTTTTTGGGGTTCATGGTTGAAACATAACTTTCTGGGGGAATGGAGAGGGAGAGGAAATATGATGGTGCATCAATCCCACTACCTTCGTTTTGAATTGCTTTTTTTTGTGACTTTACGTGTTCATAATATATGTATATATATAAACGTTATATGCCAAGAAGGAAATTTAGTTGGAGAATATATTGAACTTCATTTGTTCGTTCGTTTATTCATTCATCGTTTTTTTTTTTTTTTTTTTTTTTTTTTTTTTTTTTTTACGTTTCCGTTTGTTCATATTAGTATGACCGTAGGTCGACCATGTTCATAAGTTTTTTCCTTTTTTTTTTTTTTTTTTACTGACACATTTCCGATGGTTCCTCATGTTATATTTATGCAGTTTTACCTTCATGTTTTGCATAAGAATAGGAGTATAAATATATTATCACATATGTGGAAACAGAATTACTCCTTTTTGAGGCATTACTAACTCGAACATGTATTTATGTTTCGTACATACATGACATCCCAACCTCATCATGCGTTAGCTTAATTTCTCTAAAAAAAAAAAAAAATAATAAAAAATAAAAAAAGATAGCTTAGATAGATAGAGTGCATGAGAGAGAGAAACATTTGCATACAGCGGAGAATAAAATTTCTTAGCATTTCTCATCACGTCAGGGAAGGGGAAAGGTTGTTACAACTCCTCATTCTGACGAATGAAAAACAGGGCCTATAAAATCATATATACTTTCTTAACCTGCCCATTTGAGGTGTTGTTAAGAAACAAAATAAAAAGTTTTACCTCATGTAATACATCATGAGATCAAAAGCATCCCACGTGTGGCTTGTTAAATATTCCAGATGTGGGAAATGTATTCAACACGTGTAGGGAAGAGCATATACATACATGACTAAAACATCCGTACATATATATATATATATATATATATATATATATGCTTATGCATATATGCTTGAGTATACAGCCATTGCTAGGTCTCTGCCGTAGCTGACGTTGCCCATTTGTGCATATTTTTACATCCCCTCCATATTTTTTGGAATGTCACATGCCTCTGACCAACCTTGACATAGATAAAAGAGAAAAGAAACACGAATTATTTACAAAAAAAAAGGAAGAGATAGCAAAAAGAACAACTCTCACAATAAAGGCGTGCTTAACATATTAACACGTATGCGCACAGATATACGTACATATATGAGTAAGAATATTGGCTTGAGGGGGAGGAGTAAGAAAATAACACACACGGTACTAACGGGAGATTCAAACGCATAAATACATTTTAAAATTAATACAAAATGGAGACTTGTATTATACCCCATGAGAACTGAGAAAAGAAACCTTTGATGATATACAAAATTACATAGCATGCATATGAAAAAGGAATATTACATTAAAAAAAATATCCAGAACTTAAACGAATATCAGTGCCCTTAATTTTTTTTTTTTTTTTTTTTTTTTTGTATCTGTCCAAAATTTTCTGTGCCGATTATATCTATTTTTCTCACTTCTTACGTCGTCCATAACGAATTGTACATTTTGTCATAGAACAAAGTATAGAAAGCTGTAAGAAATTGTTTTAATTTTTTTTTTTTTTTTTTCCTTTTTTTTGGAATAATTAAAAACATGGCTGTAAAGATTGAACAATCTTATTTTTCGAATGAGTTTAATAAATCAGGTAATGCTACATTCATTTGTCGTCTTCTTCCCACATGTGACTTTTTTACATGTTGCAGTTGTTTCTGCAGTTTTTTTATAGCTATTTGCTTCTTCTGTTGCTTCTTCTGTTGCTTCTTCTGTTGCTTCTTCCTTTGCTTCTTCTGTTGCTTCTTCTGTTGCTGCTTCTGTTGCTGCTTCTGTCTCGGTCGCGTACACCCCTATTAAGCTGAGACGGAGATGATTTCGTCACCTGGGTAGAAGAGATAGAAGTTGGCTAAGAAGTTAACCCTACGTGTAATGCACTTTTTATGAACACACATTAACTACTTTCCCTAAATGCAGGTGAGAATCAGGAGGAGGTTCAGGAAACAGATGAAGAAATCACAGAAGAAGACAGTTGGGTAGTGATCGGGTCGTTCTTTGGAAGTCATGGATTGGTGAATCAGCAAATTGAAAGTTATAACGATTTTATAGAATACAGGATGCAAGAAATAATTGATGAACATCCACAGATAGAAATAAAACCACAACCACAATACAGATCAGATAGGGATGATAATAAGAATGTTATGTACGCTTTGAAATTCGGACAGTTGTCATTAGATAGACCTTTTTATGATGAAAAAAATTTAAGTAATAAGAACTTATGGCCACAAGAAGCAAGATTGAGAAATTTAACTTACTCATCTGCTATATATATAGATATTGAACAAAGTACATACATTGTGGATGAAGTTACAAGAAAACAAACTTTGAAAGAGAAATTCCTCTATGAACGTATAAATTTAGGAAGAATACCATTAATGTTGAAATCTATGTTTTGTTGGACTAAGGGATTGCCAGAGAACGAAATTGCAGACATGGGTGAATGTGCACTTGATCAAGGAGGTTATTTCATTGTTAATGGAGGTGAGAAGGTGCTTGTAGCACAGGAAAGAATGGCTCATAATTTTATTTATGTATTTAAAAAAAAACAGCCATCTAAATTTGGGTGGGTAGCTGAAATAAGATCCCAGATGGAAAAGTCTCAAGCCACATCAGCTTTTTCTGTAAAGATGAAGACAAAAGCTGGTTTTAGAGGTTCTGGAAGTACAGGTTCTGTCCGATCAGGTGGACAGCTAGTTGCTACCTTGCCATATATAAGAACCGAAATATCTGTTGGAATTCTTTTCAGAGCATTGGGGTGCACATCGGATAGGGATATTTTGCAAAGAATAGTGTACGATTTTAATGACAAAATGATGATTAATACATTAAGGGAGACTTTAGAAGAGTGCATAGATTATCCAACACAAGAAGTTTGTCTGGATTTTATTGGAAAAAGAGGACCAACCGTAGGTGCATCTAGGGAGAAAAGGATTTTATATGCAAAGGAATTGTTGCGTAAGGAAGTTTTACCACATATGGGAACAAGTCCAGGAGTGGAAAGTAAAAAATCATATTTTATTGGATATATGATAAATAGATTATTATTAGCTGAATTAGGTAGAATTAAAGAAGATGATCGGGATCATTTTGGGAAGAAAAGGCTAGATATTGCAGGTCCATTAATGGCTAGTAGTTTTTCAACTTATTTTAGAAAAATGGCCAAAGATGTAAGAAGAGTCTTGCAAAGGCAAATTGATAATAACAAACCATTTGATGTTGCAGGTGCAGTTAGGAGCTGTTCACAGATTACACAAGGAATGCAATATCAACTAGCTACAGGTAATTGGGGTAAAGATAAAGATGGAAAAGTTATAAGAACAGGTGTTGCACAGGTTCTTAATCGATTGACGTATTCGTCTTGCTTATCACATCTGAGGAGATTGAATACACCATTAGGTAGAGAAGGAAAAATGGCCAAACCAAGACAATTGCATAATACACATTGGGGAATGATCTGCCCTTTTGAAACTCCAGAAGGACAATCAGTTGGACTTGTAAAGAATTTGTCACTTATGTGTGACATAAGTGTTGGTACATCTACTAACAATATTTATGAATTTCTTCTAGAATGGGGTTTGGAATCATTGGATGAAGTTCCACCTCAATTAATGAAAGAAAAAGTGAAATTATTTCTAAATGGAAAATGGGTTGGATGTTTTAACCAAATTGATAATTTAATTGAAACTTTATACGAATTGCGAAGAAGATGTGATATATCACCAGAAGCTTCCATAGTAAGAGATGTGAACAGTAAGGAAATAAAAATATTTACAGACTCAGGAAGAGCTATGAGACCTTTATATGTTGTGAAAAATGTGAAAGGAGAAAATAAATTAAAACTAACAAAAGAACATGTAAATAATTTGAAAGCTCATCCAGAGACATATAATTGGGATTATCTCATACAAGAAGGAATTATAGAATATATAGATTGTGAAGAAGAAGAGACAACTATGATAAGTATGTTTATTGATGATTTAAAAACAGGAACAGGTTATTATAATAACTACACTCATTGTGAAATTCATCCTTCTCTAATATTAGGTGTCTGTGCATCTATCATTCCATTTAGTGATCATAATCAAAGTCCACGTAATACTTACCAGAGTGCTATGGGAAAACAAGCTATGGGTATTTATGTTACAAACTTTAACATTCGATTAGATACACTAGCTCATTTGCTGTACTATCCACAGAGGCCCCTAGTTTGTACAAAGGTAATGGAATATTTACGCTTTCGTGAGTTACCAGCTGGTATAAATGCCATTGTTGCAATTATGTGTTACACAGGATATAATCAAGAAGATAGTCTTATAATGAATCAGTCTTCTATTGATAGAGGTCTCTTTAGAAGTGTATTTTATCGTACATACACAAGTGAAGAAAAACAACAAGGAAGTTTAATTATTGAATCTTTTGAAAAGCCATCTATGAAATTTGTTAAAAATTTGAAAAGAGGTGATTATACTAAACTTGATGCAGATGGATTGATTGCTCCTGGTATAAGAGTCTTAGGAGATGATATAATTATTGGGAAAGTATCTCCAAATATTGAAGATGAGGATGATATAATAATACAAAGAAAAGTTCCAAATGTTCAGACCAACATGATGATGGGATACAACAACACCAATGGTGTTGCATCCTCTACATCAAATGAATTTATCTCAGGAAAAGATTCATCAGCAAGTAGTATGATCAATGGATCTGTTGGTAGTGTTTATGAAGGTCCATTTTCCCCCTATGCATCTTCCACAATAAATGCAGGAAATGTATTAGATACTATACCAGATTCTCCTATGAGTGATAAATATTGTAGTGGATCTGTCAGCCCATCTGTTTCCCCTGAAAGTATTGCATCACCTACTCCAAGTAGTACAACCATTTATAGAACTGGAAATACTTTATCTAGTTTGAATAGCCCTAAATATGGATCCACAATAGTCACGAATTCTACAAAAGATGACACTGAGGCTCCTACACTAACTATTAGTACATCAAGTGTACTAAAACAATATAAAAAAGATTGTTCTTTAGGTTTAAGAGAAAATGAAAATGGTGTTATAGATACAGTTATGTTATCTTCCAATAGTAGAGGTAATAAATTTGCAAAAGTGAAAGTGCGTTCTGTACGTATTCCTCAAATTGGTGATAAATTTGCAAGTAGACATGGTCAAAAAGGAACAATTGGAATTACATACAGAACAGAAGATATGCCATTCAGTTCAGATGGAACTTTTCCTGATATTATTATGAACCCACATGCAGTTCCTTCTCGTATGACTATTGGACATTTGGTTGAATGTCTAGCTGGAAAAGTAGCTGCGATTGAAGGAGCAGAAGGAGATGCAACACCATTTTCAAAAATTACTGTTCAAGAAATTTCTCAAAGATTACATAATTTAGGATATGAAAAATATGGTAATGATATTTTGTATAATGGTCATAATGGGAAAATGTTAAAATCAAAAATATTTATAGGGCCAACATATTATCAAAGATTAAAACATATGGTGGAAGACAAAATACATGCAAGAAGTAGAGGTCCATTAACTATGATTACGCGACAACCAACAGAAGGAAGATCAAGGGATGGGGGTCTTAGATTTGGAGAAATGGAAAGAGATTGTATGATTTCTCACGGTTCTGCAAAAATGCTAAAAGAGCGATTATTCGAGGAGAGTGATGCATATCGTGTACACGTCTGTGACAACTGTGGTTTATGTTGTATAGCAGATATTAACAAGAATGCTTATGAATGTACCGTTTGTAATAGTAAGACTAACATTTCACAGATATACATTCCATATGCCTGTAAACTGCTCTTTCAGGAGCTCATGACAATGGCCATATATCCTAAGCTTGTGTTGGAAGATATGTAAGAATTATAAGTTGCATGTGGAACCTACCTTTGCAGCTGGGTCTGTGTCGTAAAAAAAAAAAAAAAAAGAAAAAAAAAAAGAATCTCCCAGATGAGAGGAAGCATTAGAAGAAGCATTAGCAGAAATATTAGCAGCATCTAATTGGTGCCTTTTATGGAATATCTCCAACCTTCGGGTCTTGCACATCCCATGAGGGTAAGACACCCCATTCGTGCTTCCATCTCAAGTCTCGCATTTTGTTCAGTTTCTTATCAGTGGTAGCGGCTGCAGTACCATGTTCACCCCGTTTTTTCCTTTCCGTTCCTTTTTTCTTTTTTTGTACCATATTTATAAAGTGCACTGTTTGATGAACATTTTTATGTGTTCCCTTTTTTTATTTTTTGGACTATGCTCGACAAGATGAGAAACATGTAGCAAAAGAATCACACACACACATATATATATATATATATATATATAATTACACACACCTGCTTCATGCGTGTAAGCCAATCCTGCATATGTTCAGTTCTATTTTAAAAAAAAAAAAAATAAAATTCGATCAATTCGATCAATTCGATCAATTCGATCAGTTGTTGAGCTGGTTCGTGTTGATATCCCATAAATGTGCAGTTAAAAAAGTGTTTGTGGAGTTGCAGATTGGGTAAGTGATCCCCACACCACACCTCTGTCAAATAGGGTTGACGTACAAATTCAACGTGGCCAATATCATGGAATTGTTGTGCAATTGCCAACACCATCAGAGAATCAACTCATCGAGTGGTATCTTCATGTCTCTAGAAATGTTACGAATCGTTTCTTCTGGTACTTGAATAACCAACTTAGTGTAAGGATCTAAGGACTCGTACGATGCATTGTTGGAAGCATCTGAAAAAATGTTACTTCCAATGGAGGAGAAATTGTTTGTTGAGTTGAGTAAAGCACTTCCACAATATCCACTCCATTGCACACCATTCATTAAGCTGTTTCTAACTAGACAAGATAAACTATTGGTAGAGGAGAAGGTGATGAACCCAAGTTGTATAAGAGTATTTATTTGCTGACATATAAGACTATTCAATGTTAATTGTTCATCAAAAAAGCATACGAGTAAACAATCTGTTAAGCATAACCATCTGATGAAGGTAAAATTTTTTGGAATCGCCTGACCAATTAAGGTTAGAATGGATTCATTTTTCCCTTTTGCTTTTCTCTTTTTAGGCATGGTAAATGCACCACCTTTAACAGTAGCATTGAAAAAACGTTTGTCTGTTACAGGGACATTTCTTGAAGCTAGGTATGCACCAATTAATAAAATTTTCGAATAGAAGGATAGGTCAATTTTATTTTTTAAATTATTTTCATTTAAAAAAACAGAATCGATTAGTTCAAATGTAAAATGGCTAGAATGATTATATGTAGCAACACGAATATGTGTATCTATATTTCTTTGTAAAGCGTTCATATTTTCAACAATGGGTTCTAATGTTCCTTCTATAATTGGCTTGATGAAAAGAGGCCACATATGGGCACATACAAAAAGTAATTCATGAAAATCACTCTTGTAATCTTTATAAGATACATTAATTATGTAGTCTACATATCTACACCAAATATCATAAATAACTTCATTTTCTAAAATTACTTCATTTCTTTTTATAAGAAACTCTGTTTTGTTTTCTTTCATACAGTAAATTTTCAAATCCTTATCATTGTATGTTAGGAGTGATTCAAAGCACATGTTACTATATAATCGATACAAAATATTTTTACACATATCAGATGTGTAAGAATCAAACCAGACAGTTGGTGGTTGAGGTAATCCATCAAATATTTCATCAGGTAAAGGGGATCTATTAATTAAAATAATGCTGAGACCTCTAGTTGTTTTGTTTGCTTTTGTCAAATCATTGTATGGTCCTCTAATATATTCATGTATTCTAGTCAAAGCGTAAAATAAATCTGGATGGGTTCTAACTAGATACCTTACATTGTCTAGTATGAACACAACGGATCTGTCATAAAACTTATCTTTATAGAATTGCTTATTCGTGTATGCTTTTGTTTCTTCTTCTTCTTCTTCCTCCTCTCTCGTTTTGCAAGTATCATCAGTACTATTACTGTAATGCTTATGCTGATTCTGTTTCTTCTTGTTTTTCTTTGGTGGTGTTTTATTGTCAACCTCCTTTCCATCTTCGGGTCTAAAGGAAAGAAGTTTATGCAATACACTGAAAAATACATCTGTATTGGTTACATGATTCGGTACAAGCTTTGTGGGATCATATAAATAATTGGTAATACCATTAACTTTTTTATATTCATTAAACTCGTTAAGTAGATTAATACTTAATTCTTTTAGTATAGTGTGATATATAACATTTTTTGCTGATCTCCCAGATTGGTAAACAGCCATTAAACAATTTACATATGCAAATGGCACATTCATAAATTTTATATAACTTTTCACAACTTTTGTTTTCCCCATGCCTGGAAGACCTAATACTTGAATCACAGAAATGGGATCTCTTAAATCTCCTAACAGGTTTGTTAATCGATGCAATTGTGCTTCTCTTTCAAATCCACATGTCTTCAGACAGGTGATATATGCTTGTAGGATATCATGTGGTATTGCTGGGATTAGTTCCATGAAATATTCTTCATCTATCATTTCATTTAATTCTTCATCGTGCAGATACTTTTGTGATTCATACGGTTCGACTGACTTGACTAACTCTCGTGATATATTTGACATCTGTTCATTTTCGATTGCATCTTCTTCTCCCTCATCAGAAGCTATTTCCTCTGCGTACTCATCATTTGTTTCCTCATCTGATTCATGTACATCTTCTTTGCAATATATTTCATCTACCGGTTCACAATTCTTTTCATTTTTTTCCAGCCCTGTAATGTTCATTTGGATTCGTCTATTATTCTCTGTCTTCCCCATGCTGGAATCATTTCCATGATCCACTTCTTCTCTTTGATTTGTCCTCCCTTTGTAGCTGTTCCCCTTGGAGGCACATTCAGAATCGGTATCATTGCAGGTGTTACTAGGAGTATTACTAGGGCCATTACCAGATGATTTAATAGATGCATCTCTATGAGCACCGCTAGACACATCGGTCCTGACATGCCTCTTACTCTTCATGGAATCAGCCTCGTCCTTGTCCTCCAAGTTTCCTGAACAGAATCTCCTTTTCTTCTGGGGAAAACTGAACCCATAAATACATTCCTGTGCAGTTTCATTGCAATCATCAGAGTTTATGTCACTTCCATTATTCGTTAGCTTATGCATTTCGTCCCAAGCATGTATGGCTCAATGAAAAGAAGTTGAATAACAAAATGGGGACTGTTCTATCTCTCTCTCTCACCTCGCCTCATACATGCACATAAGGATGAACACACAAGAATATATGCACTTATACCGTGTATACACACTGGGACACATACACACAATTTATGGAAAATGGGTAGGGGAAAAAAAAAAAAATTATTATTATTAAAAATAACAAAAACGCAAAAGTACAAAAAAAATGTTCTCATGAATATGTTAAAGAATATAAACCAAATAAAAGGGCAAATCTAAAGTTGAAAAAAAAAACATAATAAAATAATGTCATACTCATCATAAACAACACACTGTGTGTGCTTGTAAATGCATTTGCATTCGTTAGATATAAATACACGGACAGTACAAACTAACTAATAGGAGAAAAAAAAAAAAAAAAAAAGAAAAAAAGAAAAAAGAAAAAAGAAAAAAAAAAAGTTTAGGTTGTGTGTTCCTAGTGCTGATAAATAGAAAGGGAGAAATAAGAACATGTGTGTGTGAGAGAATAAATTATGTTTTTAAAAAAAAAAAAAAAGGGTGGAGCAATACACAAAACGGGTTTATATAAAATAAGGCGAAAAATATGAGCAGAAATGGGGGAAAAAAAAATATGGCTATGCCGAGGAGGGGACATGACACATTGTAGATAAGTTTGATTCACCAGAGCTAATGGTCAAGAAGCACAATAAATGAAAAGGAAAGTGTGTAATAAATTGGAAAAGAAATGATACTCTTTCTCTACTCTGTAAAGAACTCGGGAGCTATGGATGGATCTTATTTACACTTCAATTTGTAGATGCGTGTATTTTGCATGGAGCGTTTCTCTCATTCCCAATTTTTGATTTCCCGCGAGGTCTACCTGTCACTCAAATTTACACATTTTGAAGCAATTTCTAACTAGTACACCATAAGTTGAAAAATTTTTCTTTTTTTTTTTTTTCTGTTATTTTTCACACCGTTTTTTTTTTTTTACACCTAATTTTTTTTTGCTATCTCAAATGGTATAATGTTTTTACTTTTCTGATAAAGTATCCAAAGGGTATGTTTCAAAATTGTGGCATATCACATGGACAGGTTCAAACATTGTTTTATGACAAAATGATCCCAATTTATGGAACACTTGGCGATGGGAAAATCGAAAAGTAAACCACACATACAGGTGCACTTAGATTTGAGACATGCGTAATTTTTGAGAAAAAGATGAAGAAAACGAAAAAAACGATAAAAATGAGAAAAAACGGAAAAAATGAAAATAACGATAAAAATGAAAATAACGATAAAAATGAGAAAAAACGGAAAAAATGAAAATAACGGAAAAAATGAAAATAACGAAAAAAATGAAAATAACAAAAAAAATGAAAATAACGAAAAACTAATAATTAAATGATAGAAACTATAATATACATTTAAAAAAATAGCTTCATTCGGGTAGACATGAAAAAAACGTAGGACCTGAGGGATTAAAAAGTTGGTGCTTGTAACGAGCAAAAGATACGAATGATTTTGTATGAGGAAAAATGGACTCATCGTGGTTTTTTTGCATAAATCATAAAGGGGGGAGGGGGGGGGTGGGGTGTAGTGAAAATATGCATATGACAAACATTATGTATATGCAAATATATTCCTTTTTTAATTAATTTTTTTTTTTTTTTTTTTTATGCATTTAAATTTTTGCGTTCTGAAAAATCTGTTGTTGGATATCCATCGATTGGCAGAAACCTATGGTAGAAGAAGAGGACCCCCAGCAAAAACCCCAAAAAAAAAAAAAAAAATAAAATAAATGAATCCATAACGGAGTAATCACCAGTCTATGTATATGAGAACATACATGCGTGGTAGCATGCTTTACGAGTATTTTTTTTTTTTTTTTTTTTTTTTTTTTTCTTTCTTTATTTTTATTTTACTTATCATTTTATGTCATTTTTTAATTGTGATTCATACCACAAGTAAGAAAATGGGTGACCGAACACATCCACAAGTGAATGGCCAAAGGGTTTTATTTCACCTCGCTGATTCTTCAGGTATTCTATCCCTGCGCAAGGTAAATACAGGTGTAAGTGTCCACGTGTGTATTTATATATATATATCCATATATATATATATATACATACATATATACATATATACATATATACATGTATGAATACGAACATTTTTAGGCAAGCATTTTTAGAAGGATATAGTCACTCGTATATGGCTGTATGTATGTGTGTGTGTGTGTGGATCATCTGCACATATGAATAGAGACTAGCACAGATGTGAATGCTTGTGTCACTCCCACACTTTTCTTTACAAACCTGTTGTATTTGTTTTAATTGCAAAGTACTGGTCGACAAGCATAACGAAGGAAAATATCCCAAACACCAGGGAGCTGAATGCATTCATCTGAAAATGTGGTAATAATGGGAGACACACGTATAACATTTCCACGTCAATTGTGCATATGAACACACAAGCATAGAGATATAAAATGAAAAAAATAAAAATATTTTAATTTTAAAAAAATGGATTACTATAATGAGAACAACTTCTGTTTTCGTTATTACACACTGAAAAATGAAAATAAAAAAAAAAACGTATGAAGAACTGATCAAGCGAGGATGTGCATTCCTCTGTGTTGCATATGTCTTTCTGCAAACAGACATACAGACAAGTTGGAGTACAAACAAGCATATTTCTCAATTCTCCAGCATATTACCATCCCTGCAGACTTAAATTGGGGTTGCATCTTGATACACGCTATAATTTTATACATAAGGATAAATTCACAAGTAATGCACATCAGGAATGTGTACTGTGTGCGTTCCAATTGGGGTATGCAAAAAAAAATAAAATAAAATAAATAAATAAATAAAACCAAATTGATTAGCAAACCAGCTAGCCAACCAGCCAGCCCATTACTCATATGCGAAAAGAAAAATCATGTTAACCACATGAGAAAAATGTTTTTACAAAAAAATTTTGCAGTTTCTTATGCGTTTATTCTATTATCAATCTGGTTATTTTTTTGTTTACTCACAAAATTTAGGAGGATAAAGAATTTCTGGTTATATAATCCGACACAGCCATTTATCCAAATGCCTTAATTGGAGGTATACCATAGAGAGAAAAAAAAAAAAAAATAAGTAAATAAACGAGTGTGATGTGGTGTGATGTGGTGTGATGTGGTGTGATGTGGTGTGATGTGGTGTGATGTGGTGTGATGTGGTGTGATGTGGTGTGATGTGGTGTGATGTGGTGTGATGTGGTGTGATGTGGTGTGATGTGGTGTGATGTGGTGTGATGTGGTGTGATGTGGTGTGATGTGGTGTGATGTGATTTGATGTGGTATGATGTGGTATGATGTGATGAGAAAGGTTAAGTCTTGAGCATCATCGTGGGCGTAACCGTTTGCCCCAAGCTTTAATCCCGAACTCTCTCATGTTATCACGGCTGTGCGAAAATTACAATGGTGGTCCATTTTGATGATACATCGATTACAAATGGAACAATGGTGAGACCTCTTTATTTTCAACAAGTTACACTTCATGCACATGTTTTCCCTGTCCTCCAATTTCCTGATATCAATCCTTGGAAATTCTACGATGAAATGTACAAATTAAAAAAAAAAAAAAAAAAAAAAAAAAAAAAAACACCTGTAAATATGTTCAGGTAACTTTGAAATAGAATGACAAAAGGTGTGAAGGTAGACAAAAGAAAAGAGAAGAAAAGGGACAACTGTAGTAGTGTCCATAACCCAGCGTACACATACACACACCGGACTCTCTCAAAACTCCCGGGCTTTTAATGAGGCACTTGACATGACACCACACAGTCATGATAGTTGAAAACCAAAAGGATGCGGAAGATGCTATTCTCATTTTAGTTCTGACATGGGAGTGCGGACCGAAAAAAAAAAAAAAAAAAAATACAAATAAACATTTGAACATATAATCGTTTGAACATATGAACATATGCATGTACGCAATAAGGGGAGGACACGAAACGCTGGTCTTCACTGGTACCACATTATGAATGCATTAACCCCATGGATCACTCAGGTTTGTGTTCGCGAATTTTAGAGATGGTTTGTTTGGAAAATTCTCCATGGCAATTATTCACGGGAATAAATATCCCGATACACACAAAAGAAAGACATATACATATGAGGCAATGAGGAGAATATATGTTTACGTAAAAGTTGAGATAAACTTGGGGTACAGGTACATGGACTGCAGAATTAAGACATAGATCTGTTAATCACAGTAAGGAAGAAGAAAAAAAAAAAAAAAAAAAAAGGGGGTGAAGAAGAGTTTCCATATAATGGTTTTAAACAAGTGCATAAATATTTGGGGCATCACTTTGGGCACCCTTTTCACTATTTTTGCTATTTCCACGACTGTTGCGATTTCCATGATTTTTGCGATTTCCATGATTTTTGCGATTTCCATGATTTTTGCGATTTCCATGATTTTTGCGATTTCTATGATTTTTTCTATTTCCATGATTTTTGCTATTTCCATGATTTTCGTTCGTCTATCTCTTTTTACACACGTGTGCTGTGTCCTCATCATAATCTAACGTACCAGAATAACGAAGAAGGATCTATAAAATGCTAATAAAAATGGTCTTATCCTGGTGCTCATGAGTTTCATTTTGTTGAAAGGGTATTCTTAAAAGGAGGAAGGAGGTTTAACTACTCAACGCATAAATGTTAACGTTTATAAACTCCCATATTTTTGAAAAGGAAAATGGTGACTAAACAGGGGAATTTCTTTTAAAAAATACCAAGTGTTTTGCTCTGTTTTGTTTTATTTTGCTCTGATTTTCTCTGTTTTTTTTTTTTTTTTTTCCATTTTCATTAAAATGAAAGAGGGGAAGATAAAAAATTGGTGTGAGAATTGAGAGAAGGCATTCACACACTTCGATACAGTGGAGAGTTAAAAGGTTTAAAGAAAAAAAAAAAAAAAAAAAAAAAAAAAAAAAAAAACCTTGTGCTACAATTTATTTCAGAGTTTTTTTTTTTATCGAACATGATTTCCAGTCCATCCCAATATGAAAAAATATCGGACTACAGAGGTTTACAAGTTTACTCTCATGGTTAAAACGGTTGAAAAAACAATGTGAAACAGGGATGGAAAGAAGTTACAAAAAATTCGCAAAAAAGTTGAAAATGTATCATGCATATATGTCTGTATGAACGCCTGTGTTTGTGTGTGTGTGTGGTGCATGCCACTGTTATATACACACTTGTGACACCCCTTAAGTATGCTTCCTTTTTTTTTTTTTTTTTTTTTTTTTTTGATCAACAATAGAAAAGGGTTGCAAAGAAAAGAAACCAATTTTTTTCTCCCTTATGTATCTTCCTTTTTAACTCATTTTATGTAACTATGAAGAGTCGAGAATGTGAACTTGAGTAAATTTGCAGACCCACGGGGTGTTCCTGAATTTATTTTATTTGCTAATCCCATATCTGTTGGTATTCCTTACTATTTTATTTGCTAATCCCATATCTATTGCTATCCCTTGCTATTTTATTTGCTAATCCCATATCTATTGCCATTCTTTACTATATTTTATTACTGCTATTGCTACTTTTACTACCATTTTGTTATTTTATTTATTTTTTTTTTTTTTCTGAACATATCAGCTAAAAATTGGCTAGTCCTTATGAACAGTCATATATTTTTTTTTTTTTCAATTTTTCACACACGTGAGAGGATGTGGTTGATCTATGTTGTGTACGTACTCATTACATAGGGATAAAATTCCAATGGGTTAGTATCTCCTTATGTGTAAACACGGATGCTGATATGTGGATATTATTTCGACGTATGAATCCCGATAGCGTATATGTGTGTGTGCGTGTGTGACTACTTTTTCCAAGCTCTTTTAAATAAACTTCTACTCATTTGGAAAAAAAGAAAAAAAAAAAAAATCCCTAATTAGGCCATAATAGTAATAGTGCAGGATCACTGGGTAAGTCTTCTAATTCAATCCAATTTTTTGCCTCCTTAGACATACACATTAGGATAAAATAGTCGTTTGAAAAAAAACAAAACAAATAAAAAAGTAATAAAAGTAAAGAAAAGAAATGCAAAATTGACTATTACTAAATCGTAATAAAGGACTAAGTTTCGATTTTTTTTTTTTTTTTTTACATTTTTCATTTTTTTCCCCGTTTTTGTACAAAATTGTCCACATTTCTAGTAACTGATCCATCCCCTTTTGTGTGACTGATTAGTCTTATTTGTTGAAAAAGGGAATAGAAATAAAAAGTCATCATTCTTCGGATCCGCACACAGACTTGTCTTATCAAATGTGTAATTCGTCAAGTCCTTCAACTTTTTGTTTTAATCCTTTTTTTTTTTTTTTTTTTTGTTTGTTCTTCAAAATGCTTTAAAGGAGTTCATCATTCCACACATTAGTAGTACAAATGTCATTAAGTCTTCTGAACAGTTTCAATATCGACAAGTGCAATAAATCTTATATTCCCTCCATTTTATCATATTGTGTTAAATCATAAGGGGGAAAACAAATATATGAAAGTGATGAGTGGAAAAAGGCATTTCTTTTCCCTTCTTTTCCTTTTTTTTACGCAATCATTTTGATATGCCACTTTGTGATGTGTAACCCAATTGAAAGGCTTGTGTTCTTTAAAAAAAAAAAAAATAAAATAGAATACAATAGAATAAAATATAGTAGAATAAAATATAGTAGAATAAAATATAGTAGAATAAAATATAGGAGAATAAAATATAGTAGAATAAAATATAGTAGAATAAAATAAAATAAAAACGCTCGAACCCGTGAATAGGTGTGTCTTTTTTAATGAGTATCTTTTCCTACACTCGTTGGCTTCTGCCAAAGTAGCACCCTCCTTTTTCTTTCTTTTCTTCCTCTCTCCGTCTCTCTCCTTTGTAACTTGATTTATACTCTCCAGGTATAAAAACCGCACCTCCGAAATGGACAACTTAGGAATTTCCAACAAGTGCTGTAGCACTCTTACCAATTCTGCTGCTGATAATGTAGACGATGTTTCAAGCATACATAAAAATTCAGCTCAAGTGGAGAAGAACACGATTTGTGAAGTTGAAAAAAAGGGTTCCTTTTGTGAAAATAGCAAAGGGGGGGAAATCCAATGTACGTTTGAAAAGAATAAGATCTCAAATGGAGGTCCACGAAAAGAAGACACAACTGGTGAAGAAAAAAAGTCTGAATTAATTACAAATCGTGAAGAAAAACAAACGAATGGATTGTCAACAAGTAGAGATGATAACACATTCGAACTAACTTCACCTCATTCTTTACATAGAATCGACAGTGCGAGGGCAGCAAAACATCATGAGATAAGTGATGAAAAGGAGGCATATCTTTACATAAGCGAACATCTAAGAATAAAAAAAAACAATGAAATTTTCATAAGTGCTCCTTTAAATGATTATATTAACGAACATTTAAATTTCTTCATTTCATGCGATGAGGATTTTTTTCGAAATAAAGACAACAAGGCAGAGAGGTTCATGGAAATTGGGCTGCGACTCAAGTATTTGAGATACAAAGATAGGATGAAAAGAAAGAAAAGAATGAACAGAATGAACAGGGTTAAGAAAAATAAAAATAGTAACAAATCGGGGGCGAAAGGTGGCCAAGTGTGTGAGAAATCCACTATCACAGTTGAAGATGATAAGTGTGAAAAGTTAATGAAGAAAATCAAAACCCCTTTGGAGAAAATTGACCAGGACTCTCAAACTTTGTCTTCTTCTTCTTCTTCTTCTTCTTCTTCTTCACTTTCCTCTCACTCCTCTGACAGCAGCAGTCTATTTTCCTACTCGTCAGAAGAGGAAGGAAATTTGACCGATAGCCCATACACATCAGATGAAGAAATTTTAAAGGAACTGAAATTTGATAAAGAGGAATTAGGTTTAATGAAAAAACTGGAAAAGGCAAAGAATGTATATTTTGGATATGTGAGTAACATGTATGTACAATATAACATATTCAAATGCTTCAACATGAAATATTTTGAACTAGTGAAAAAAACAGCACAGAAAATATCTACGAGCATGAAAAACTATAAACGCTTGTACGATGAATCTACAAATGCAATGCAACTATTTTTAGAAAATGAAGAAAATGTAAAGAGAATTGAACTATGTCAGAAGAGGCTAAGATCTGATGTTGTTAATTCTATGTTTGGTTTTCACATAATAAATGATACTCATCCAATGAAGGTCCCTATAAAATGCATCAATCGATTGGGTGCAGAAACCAAGTTGATCTCGGACATGAACAGTTCTACCAGTTTGGCTTCAAACACATTTACGTGTAAGTCTCTTCAGAGTAGGAAACGTGTGGAAACGATTCCATATTGGACAGTTCAGAAGTCTATCAATAGTAGTAACATATATGATCATAACAGAAAAATTTCCCCAAGTGAGGACCAAGGAGATAACAAAACGAGGAAAAGAAAAGGGATTATAGGAAAATCTAACCCTGCGAAAGTGCAAGACTGTAAAGAGACAATAGACGTAGGATGTAAAAATTATTTAGAGGAATTTATAAAAAATGTAAAAGAAAATTCCAAATTTCACAACAAAATGAGTAGTATAAAACAGTATATTTTAATGTCTAATTGGAGTGAATTGAAAAAGCATTGCATTAACATTCATATGTTATCTGAAAAAAGAAAACGAAATGCAAGTGTGATTGCAAATTTATGTTATGAAGAAATGAAATTAATTGAAGAGAAGAAAAAAATAATACTTGAGAGAGAAGAGAAGGAGAGGATGAGGCTACTGAAAGAAAATGACATGGATGCATACATAAAATTGTTAAAAAATACAAAAAATAAGCGCTTACAAGAACTTTTAGATGTTACTGAAGAATTTTTAAATAACATGTCTTCTTCTCTACTTTGTCAAAAGAAAGAAACTGCATCTGAAATGATGGTTCCCAACGGAGAAGCAGTCGATACGCACCAAATGGGTTCTACATCTCATTATGAAAAGGAAAAAAATATACTTAAATCAAATTATAAGCATGCACGAGATAGGTATATTTATCTCTCTCATTCGGTTAAGGAAAAAATCACACAGCCCTCTATCTTGGTTGGTGGTACACTCATGAAATATCAGTTGGAAGGATTGGAATGGCTAATATCTTTATACAATAATAATTTACATGGAATATTGGCAGATGAGATGGGGTTGGGGAAAACCATTCAGACGATAAGCCTGTTCGCATACTTGAAGGAGTTTAAGTGGGGTACAAGCGGGGTGAGTGGAATGAACGAGATGACCGAGATGAGTGGAATGAGCAGAATGAGCAGAATGAGCAGAATGAATGAGGTGCATCGTGTACCTATTAGAATGACCGAACCTAGAGAGAGAAACGGACACAACATTAGATGGAATATGAGTCAGCCGAAGAACCTGGTTATAGTACCATTGTCAACGCTTCCAAATTGGATAAGCGAATTCAAGACATGGTGTCCATCGTTGAAAGTGATTACTTACAGAGGAAACAAATGTGAGAGAAAGGGGCTATCAAAACAGCTAGTTGAATCAGAATTTGATATTTGCCTTACGACATTCGATTTTGTCATAAAAGAAAAGACATTACTAATGAAAATTTTTTGGATGTATATAGTAATAGATGAAGGACATAGAATGAAAAATAGTAAATCAAAACTTCACAACATATTAGCTGAATTTAAAAGTAAACACAGAATATTATTAACAGGAACTCCACTTCAAAATAATTTATCAGAATTATGGTCTTTACTTAATTTCCTTTTGCCAAAAATATTTTCTTCCTGCATAGATTTTGAGAAATGGTTTATACGTCCATTGAATAATGATAAGGATATGCAAGAGGTTGAAATAACGGAAGAGGAAGAATTATTAATAATCAACAGATTACATAGTGTTTTACTACCATTTATGCTAAGAAGGGTAAAGAAAGATGTGTTAAAATCATTGCCAAAAAAATATGAATATAACATACACATAGATTTATCCCTATATCAGAAAATGTTATACAAAAAAATTGAATTCAAAGGGTTTAAGATGGTAAATCAAAACGGATCTATCACATCTATGTATACTCAAAACATTGTTATGCAACTGAGAAAGGTTGTCAACCATCCTTATTTATTCCTTCCTGAATATGATATAGATGATTATATAATTAAGAGTAGCGGAAAATTTGAAGTTCTAGATAGAATGTTGCCTAAGTTATTAAAATTTAGACATAAAATATTGATTTTTTCTCAAATGACTAAATTAATGGATATCATGTGTGATTATTTAGATTATCGAGGTCATCTGTATCATAGATTAGATGGAAGCATAGGATTACATGAACGTAAGAAAATTATAGATGAATTTAATTCTGTAAAGAATGAACTAAGTTGTGATGTAACTTCCCAAGGGATGGAACCTATAAATTTTCAAAAGAATAATAAAAATAATATTCAGATGATACCTTCAAACGAACCTAATGGTGGTTCCTCAGAAACAATGATATTCATCCTTTCTACTAGATCTGGAAGTCTCGGGCTCAATTTACAAACTGCTGATACAGTAATCATCTTCGACAGTGATTTTAATCCACATCAAGATATACAAGCTATGTGTAGATGTCATAGAATTGGACAAAAAAATGTGGTCAAAGTTTTCAGATTCATCACATTATCAGGAGTAGAAGAACTCATTTTCAAAAAGGCAAAATACAAATTAAGTATTAATGACAAAGTCATACAGGCTGGATTATTTAACAAAATTTACAATGATGAAGATCGAAAAAACAAGTTAAAAAACATCTTTCAAAGGAATCAAAAATCTCAAATTTCGAATCACTCAACCAATCCCCTACTACTTAATTATTATATGCACAGATCAGAGGACGAGCTCAACTATTTTATGAATTTTGATAAAAATTACTTCGGTCAGGCTTACTACTCCCATTTGCAATCCTTGAATAAGGCCACTACGGATGCAGAGCAGTTTACCTACATGAGCGAGGATGATGAGGTGGAAAATGGGGAGGAGGTAAATGAGGAGGAGGTAAATGGGGAGGAGGTAAATGGGGAGGAGGTAAATGGGGAGGAGGTAAATGAGGAGGAGGTAAATGGGGAGGAGGTAAATGAGGAGGAGGTAAATGGGGAGGAGGTAAATGGGGAGGAGGTTAAGGGCGGAGGGGACACATGGGAAGACGAGCGCAGCTCCATTTTGAAGGAAGAAAATCAAAATGAAATTGAAAAAATTCTTATAAGAAGTAATAAGCTAATAAATATGGATGAACTACCATCCTACTTATTTTTCGACGAGGAGAAGGAAGCCACAGAAGTTCCTTTCAAGAGGACGAGGAAGAAAATTAATGTTCACTTAATGGACGAGGAAAACCTGCCCAATTGGGAGTTTATGCAGCTCATTGGAGAGGTGGAAAATGGTGAAATGGTACGTGGTGAAATGGCAACTTGTGAAGTGGCAACTGGTGAAATGGCAACTGGTGAAGTGGAAACTGGTGAAGTGGCAACTGGTGAAATGGCAACTTGTGAAATGGCAACTGGTGAAATGGCAACTGGTGAAATGGCAACTGGTGAAGTGGAAACTGGTGAAGTGGCAACTGGTGAAATGGCAACTGGTGAAGTGGAAACTGGTGAAGTGGCAACTGGTGAAATGGCAACTTGTGAAATGGCAACTGGTGAAATGGCAACTGGTGAAATGGCAACTGGTGAAGTGGAAACTGGTGAAGTGGCAAATGGTGAAATGGCAACTTGTGAAGTGGTAAGTGGGGCCACACCAAATGATGATGTGATTGATGGAGACGTGTTGGGAGAGGGGGTCCCAAATGGACGAGACACACTTGCTGCTGAACACGTAGGAGAATGGACTGGTGAGAACAACAACACATACATGCGTAAGAGCTTGGATGAAATGCAACAGAAATGCAATATCAGGAATGCCCTAGGGGACGAAGACAGATGTGTGTCTCCTCCACAAAGAGGAAAAAGGAAATCCAACAACTCAGTTGAATTGAGATCACATGAGGATGAGGAGAAAGGGGAAAAAAAAAAGGAACATAGGTGTAAAAAAAAAAAAAAAAAAGAAAAACATTAGGATGGTGTGAAAAAAAAAAGGAAGCAAGGCAAAGCAAAGCATTGGGATGGTGTGAAAAAAAAAAGGAAGCAAGGCAAAGCAAAGCATTGGGATGGTGTGAAAAAAAAAAAAAGTAGCACTAAATAACATACACATACGCAGCACCGATATGACCAAACGGCAAATGCAATTATGTCCCTAAAAAAAATTACAATTCACTGATACATGAAAGGAAAAATTTGAAAACTAAGAAAACTTAGTTGTGTTATAAATGATCAACTAGGTAGTAAATATGCGAGGCCATTTTTTTTTTTTTTTTTTTACAACTGCATGGTCATTTTAGCAACCCTAGTCCCATTAGACACATTTTGGATATATGTATGAACAATTGTGAAGAGGAAAATACACACTTCATACCTTTTTATGAAGTAACTTCATAATGAGAAGATTTTCTCCTCATGCATATGTCTACTTGAAATGGGTGATGAACAAACTCGCTTACAATTTCGCTCTTCGGGTCCTGAAAAGAATAATGTGTGAGAAAGGTGTTTTGAGAGAAGCACATGCATGAGGAAGGTAGTGCTTGACATCTTTTCCCGTCATCATCTTCATTGTTAATATCTTTTTTTTTTTTTTTTTTTTTTTTTTCACTTATCCATTCTTTCTTTTTTCCCCCTTTTTTTTTTTTTTTTTTTTTTTTGAAACTTACCACATATGTCAAGATGGAGAGGACTTGTTTGTGAAGTTTGGAAGATGAGGTGACCTTTTCATTGTTCATAATTTTTTGCTGTTTTGTGGAGAAATCAATGTATGAGCAACATAACATGTACGTGCTGTGAATCAAGGAGAGGTTTTTAATTGTTAGATTTCTCATTTGAGGTGCCATGTTGAAACATTGTAAGCAATTTTTGTGAAAACAGTTAGAGTTATTCTCTACAAGATAAAGAACAACATTTTGTATTGCCATAAGGACATTACGTGCATTGTTGAGATTTTCAAAATAGTGAATTTTACGATTGATTCTCTTCTGCTTAGTATAGGTTCCCTTTTTTGGCATGTGAGAGATTGGTTTATAACTACATGAATGGTTTATTTTTCCTACTCTATTTGATATGTTTTTCTCGTTTATGCAAAATTTCCTTGGGGGGTTTTCTCTTGCATTCACATCTGAACACGTGTTAGAGGGGTGAATTCTCTCATATGGGGTTCTTCTGTTTAGGAAAGAATCGCAAGCCTGTTCATGCATTTCATTATGGACAACTTCTGCCCCTTCATAATGGCTAACTTCTTCCTCTTCCCTCACTGTGTCACATGTCTGGGATAGAGAAAGAGGGTAATTGTGTTGCAACAAGTTCTGTTGACTAGCAGGAGGTGATTCATCTGACATGTTACTAGTACGGAGGACAGATGTGGTGTTTGCCACCCCTTCTGGACATTTCAAATAATGCGTGGAATCGAAAACGACACCTATTTGATAATCCTGTGCGTTTAATTTCATATGTGGAATTATGTCTTCTTTCATTTGGTCACAGGAAGGAATTTCCATTTTCATAATTTTATTTTGAAATTCTTGAATTTTTTTTTTTTTCTTTTTTTTCTCATATTTATTATTTTTCCCTCTTTCATACATGTTTAAATTGTGTATATAAACATTTGGCACACTTCTTACATTTTCATAATGGTTGTCGTCACACCTGCGTGGTAAGAAAAATATGCAACCCTCTTCTTTCCCCTTCTGCTGCTCCTCTTCATAATCATTATCATCTGCATCCTCACCTTTTCTGTATGCACCATATGAATGTACACAATTTCGATCATAAAACTCACGCAGAGTGTTAAAAAAAAAGGTAAAAAAATTCTTGCAGTTGTATGTGTATATGTGCAGACTTAGGAGCAGCATCACTTGAATCAGAACACTTAAGTGATTTGATTCTGTTAACTCATGAATTGATCCTGTTAACTCATGAATTGGCATTTTGTCATATATGTAATATCTACTGCATGGGTGGAAAAAGCTGGAGAAAATTTCCCTCGACTGGGTGTGAAGTAAAACGTGACAAAATATGGGCCAATCCGCTTTACCAATAAATGAAAATTTTTTTTTTATTAGAGAGAGGAAGTATTCTGTCCATGTTTCATCCATATGTATGTTATTGTCTATCAGTATTTTAAGAAATCGTAACAGTTCCTTGATTTTTACGTCTTCAAAAGTTCTGTAAAGTTTTTTTTCCCTCGTGGGGGTCGCACTTTTTTTATCCTCACCTCTGTCCGAGCGGGTTTCACCATATCTCCAATTAGGCTGCAAATGAGCACACAAACCAACAGACAAACCAGCAGACAAACCAGCAGACAAACCAGTTTGACTACTCTTAGTGGCCCCCGTTAAGCATTTCGAAATTTTTGTCCTCGATTTTCTTCCACCATTTTGATCTCTCCTTACAAGTGTCTTCTTCCTTTCGACAGGTGGCATATAAGTGTTCATTATTTCCAATAAAAGTTCAATCCTTTTATATCCAAACTTTTCGTACAAATTTATGGCAACTTTGACAACTTTTTTAGAATCAAGTGCATCTAAATTATCAATTAAGTATTCGGTTGCATACGTGAATAGATTCTCATCATAATGTTTATTCTTAGAACAGAGGTGTACTACTTTGCATACTTCACTAACGGTGTAATCTCCTGATTTGTTCTTAATGGAGATACAAATGTTTTGATTTACCTGTGTAAGTGCTTTCGTGAGTTTGTTCTCTTCAATTTCACTTCTCACCTCTCTGCTTCTTCCATTTTTGAGGCGTTTATCCTGAGTTTGCACTTTAGTGAGGTAGCTGATTGTGGTTAGAAGTTCATCTGGAGGAATTTGTTGACAATTTGAATTGACATAATCCGTAATTTTAGTATAAAATAAATTAGTTTCATATCCCATCGATTCTATTTTGGCCTCACCAGTTCTACTACATAAATAAAATCGCCCTGCATTTAGAACCTTCACATATTTCAAGATGTTGGATTCGTCCAAGTATCCTTTTGTGCTTATGATGTGATAAATACATTTTTCTATCAATTTATTACAATATTCCATTTCCAATTTATACATTCGCTTCTTATATTTTGCATAGGTCTGTTCAAAATGGAGTTTTCTCTTTTTGCAATGAAACATTTGAGAATATTCATTTTTTCTTTTTTCTCTTAAGCGTTTTCCACTATACTTCTCGTTATGTAAATGTTGTCCGTGGCGATGGATGCAGTTGGAGGAACCCCAATTGGAGTAAGCCCAATTGGTGTGATGAATAACCATTCTGCCCTTCCTCGAAAAGCATATCTCCTTTTGCACACTCAAATTTTTATGTATTTCCTTCCTCAGTTTAAGACATGATTTTATAAACTTAACTGATGCATCATGGTTAACACTTGTGATGTTTCCAATATTTGGTATCCATTTTAAAATTAATATTAAAAAATGAAATCTGTATACTTCAATATCTGTGTAGAAATTGAACAATTGCATGAGGTCTACAATGCTTGGCCAAATACTAAATCGGATATGCTGCTTAAACGACCCTTCCACATTATCATAACTGTTGATTCCTCCATTTTTTTCTTCCTTGTATTCAGCGTGTAGTGTTCTTTCATTCTGTAACTCTCGCGCGAATATATGTGCCAATTTACCATAGTAAGGGTCATTATTCCCCAATAAGTGATGTATATTATTGAAATTTTTAATGGTAATCTTGAGTAATTGAATCTTCTGTTCATACTTGCTTAATTGTGTATCTTTTTTGTGTTTTTTATCTGTATGATTATGATTCAAATATATATTTTTTTCAACATCCTCAATGCTGCTCCGATTTTTCCCCTTAGAGAACAGTCTATTCTCTTCATCAAAACAGACATTTCTGAACAGTTCTTTTTCAAAAATGGATTTCTTAAATGTCTCCTTAAATCGTAGTAATATATAACTACTTTTATTTTTTCCCTTTTCTAATTTTCTTTTCCGTTCAATCCATTTACATATTTCTTTCTGAAAATTCATTGCTTCATTTCGAGAAAATAGATGGTTGTCTCATTATGCCAAGAGAATGTAGAGTACATATTATGATTATTTTTATTTTACTTTATTTTGCTTGCTTTGCACACGGTGTACTTATCGTGTAGCTTTATTTTTGGAAGATCAATAAATGTAAGCGGACATTCATTTATGCATTATTTTTTTTTTATCACCTTCGTCCATTTATACTTTCACATACACATGAAGGTGCGGGTCCAGGTGCAGATACAGATGCAGGTACATATACACAGAGAGCGTGTTGTGTTACCCATACCTGTAGATAAATTTTCTGTGGTGTTCAGATTTATGGATTTATTCCCCGTTCCTATTCCTTCTATATTCGTTTCTCTCGCACCGCCCCCCCTTTAAAAAAAGAAAAAATATATATATACATACACATATGACTTTTAAACTTTTATCTTTTATATAAAATAAAAACAGCAATTGTAAAATGAGAAAGCGATGGGTGAAGAAGAAAATGATTTCTTCCCCACCCCCATATTACCCCTCTTTTTTTTTTTATTTTTTGGAATTCAAATTCTGAGTAAAAATTCCACGAACCGATTTTATAAAAAAAAAAAAATACCTATTTTTTTTCTTATGTTATATACATATATATATATATATAAGCGGCATGGTCCTATTAAAACTGCATAAACAACGTTGTTTTGTTTATTTGAAGCGATGGATTTAATCCATTATATTATGTTCATATTTGTCGTTTAAGGGGGTGGGAGTGTGTGTTTTTTCCCCGTTCCCTAGTAACCCCTTGGGCATAAATGCAAAAGAGAAACGAAAAAAATTAAAAAAATAAGTACGAAAAAAAGGAGGGTTGGCTAGCAGTTTATCATTTTTACGTATGAACAGAATGAACGTTTTTTTTTTTTTTGTTTTTAGATTGGGGAGTTCTCGTCCACCATTCCGGGGGGTGTCCACAGCAGCAACTTTTTTTTTTTTTTTTTTCATCCCTCATTAGTGGCATATATATACATATATATATATATATATATATATATATACATATACATGTACACATAAAAATATTTAAAATTCAGAATTTAAAGAAATAGTTCTGAAAAAAAGGAAGCGCGGGAGGAGGTATGTGAGAGAACATGCACAAATGCTTCATCCATATCTACATGTTGAAAGGCTTCTTCTTTATTGAGATGACGATACCAGTGATTCTTCTCTCCTTGCTCCTCTGAGGGGGTGAGTAGGAAAAGTGAAGTGGACGTATAAATGTTAATCGGTATGAGCATGCTTCTATGCACATGTGGTTTAAGCAGTTCATGTTGGTGGAAGCACATGGAAATGCAACTGAGCCAAATCATTTTGCATTCTTCGAAATGAGAGAAGTGGAGGTCTTAATTGATGACAGTTTGTGTCAGTCTGTATGAGTTTGTGTCAGTCTGTATGAGTTTGTGTATGTTTGTGTAAGTTTGCAAAAAAGCTGGATGGCATTAGATAACGGTTGACGGTGTGGTTGCATACAAGAAGGGGTACTACAGGCAGGAATGGGAACTTACCTCCATGTACTCATGGTTCTTGAAATCGTAGGGTTCCTTCGCGAGGGCTATAATGGAATCATATTCATCTTGCAGGAACTCGTCTTTCACTGTATAGGTATTTGTTATTACTGTGTCATTCATCAATAAAGTGTTACTTTCAACTGTAATATCAATAAAAGAGAAAACATCCATATCATTTTTATTTCTGTTCTGTTTGGATGTGTGTGGTATGTTTTTTAAAAATTCACAATAATAATTAACTACATCCTGTAGCAAGTAAGATGCCCTAAGTATGTTTCTGCCAACAGCATGAACATGAACTTCTTCTTCTTCCTTTGATGGTCCTTCGAAAATATTTGCAATTTTGTTTTCTCCTTCAATGACATGTTCAACTTGTTTTTTTCCATTATTCAGTATTTTAAGTATTCTGTCGTAGTAAATTTTCAGAGGTTTTTCTGATGTTATATAAATGTCTGTGCTTTTTTTTTGAAGTACTGTCTTGTATTCCCTTTGTACTGTTTCAAGTGTCACGTTTTTTTTTTTTTTTTCTCTATTTCTTATTGAGTTCTTCGCCATCCTTTTGGATGATACATGGATTGGTCTTTTCCACCACTTTATTTTGATCACACTTTTCTTAGTCACCAGTTCTTGTAATTGGAGCTTATTGGATAGTTGTTCAGCACAATTTTCACAATTTACCTGAACGTTCAGACAAAATGCTAATTCTTGCTTGATAAAGTTTCGACAGCTTTTTTTTTTTTTTTTTTTTTTTTTTTTCTCCATGCATAATATCATAGCATCAAGTAGAGGAATTTCAAATTGGTTCACTTGTTATGTATATACTATTTTGAAAGAGAACGAATGAGGATTGAAAAAAAAAAAAAAAAAAAAAAAAAAAAAACAGTTCCTACATGTTAAAATGAGGAAAACAAATAATACATCTTTGTATAGCTATAAGGTTATCATTTTCTCGTTAAGTTAAATAAAAAGATTATTAGCCCCTATAAAAAAAGGGGCGAAGGTATAAAAAGTTATATTAATCTTGCAGAGTTATGTTAAAGATGTACAATTAATACCATAACATGTAACATGTTCAATGTTGCAAATTTTGAAAAAGAAAAAGTGAGGATTTTTTTTTTTTTTTTTTTTTTTTTAGCACCATCCTGTGGCTGGAAAGGGAGTGTACATATTGGTGCTCGCTTATGTACATGCATATGATATTTTTTTTTTTTTTTCTCTCTCTTGTGGGATGTTGTAGGTAATAGAATAAGCAACTACAATGATGGAAAAACTGATTTAACGAGAGGTCGGATTTTAGTGAACTCCCGAGATATGCTTATGTACACACTATTCGATCGTGACGCTGTGAAGAAGAGAGAAGGAATGAAAAAAAAAAAAAAAAAAAAAAAGTAATATATAAATAAATAAATAAAATATAAAATAAAATCAGGTGAATGCAAATCGGTGGAGTGTAAGAATCATTCAAGTCAGTAGAATATGCAACTTAAACCACATGAATCAAAATGACACATATAATTATGTAGCATCCTTTTAGCCCGAACAGGTAACATGATTTTGTACAAACATGTTTTCTCCAAAAGAGTAATTAGGATTAAAAAAGAAAAGAAAAAAGAGTATTACTTATTCGCCAGAGCACAAAGATTGGCTAGCCACACATTCGTTGGGAAGGATGTAAAGGAAGACAGTCGTTATAACTATGCTTGTACGAGTACAGAAAAAAAATGTTTGAGAAATTTGATTAGACTAAGAAGAGAATTATATTCCTTGTTGAATGTAACTCATTGCCCAACCGTTCAGCTTCTTCCATCAGACATTCCACTTTGCAAAGAAGTAGTAACAAATAAGGAAAATTTTTCTTTTTCCAATGGTGTGAATTCGGGCACAGGGGGTATTATTTTTTTTCCAGATGGGAACCAAAATCGCCTGAACAAGTGTTCAGGCAGAATATTACGAAAATGGGACACAGTAGAGAGTGAAAATAAGATGGTTTTGACCAGCAAGGTGGAAGAAAAATATATAGAAGAGAAACTCAATCATATATGTACACTGCTTAGCAAAATTAGTCTTAAGAAAATTCTCGAATTATATGAAAAGCTAAAAAATTATAAGGATCTATATGCATTAATTTTAATCATGTATCTACACAAGAATAACAGCATAGATAATAAAAGGGGGCTGTATCAGGGAGGAAACATAAATTGGAGAAAAGCTACGACTAGCGAATTGTTAGGAGTTTTTCGTATATGTACATCTTACTTTATGAACATGCAGAGAAGCATGCACATGAACAAGCACATGGGATTGAACAAAAACACTGACTTGGGTTTGAACAGCAATATAGACATGAAACTACAACAGTGCATGATAAAACATTTCGATGATGCACCCCGTTTGTGCAAAGACATATTGAAGAATTTAGCATATGCAATTTGCAAAAACTTGTCGACATTAAATGTGAAAGAAATGTACGAAATTGTTATTGCTATACTTCGATTGAGTGTTATAGATCCAATTTTTCTGGATCAGAATATGGTTAATGAACTAATTAAGAAGTTTTCTTTTCAACTACATCTCAAAAACAATTTCATAGTAGAAAGAGTGCCAGTTGGATTCGCTAAGGTGTCTGGTAAGATTCAAGGAGAAGAAAAAAAAAAAGAAGATATGAGTAATGATGTTGTGAGAAATGTGAGTAGAAGAAAGAGATGGTATAGGGAGAGATACCAAAAGTATGAATTAGAATCGGGTACGATTCATTTTGTTGACTTGACTAAGTTACTGTACGAAGTTGTGATTTTAAATAAAAGTATTCATAGAGTTAAACGTGGGGAAAGATCATATCTGGACATGTCAGAGGAATACAAAAATTTGATAAACAACATCATTACATATTCATTAAATGAAATTAAAAAAGATAAGGAATATAAGGATAAATTTTTTTGGAAGAGTTGCACATCCCTACTTTACAGCTTAACGACTTTGTATAACAAAAAATGGCATGTCGATTTCATGGAAATTTTTTATCACACTATGAATCTATATGAACAATGTTTCAACATTGAGTTACGTGGATTACATATTCTGAAGTGTTACGAATTTAAAAATTTCCTTCTCCAAAAATTCTCAAATGGGCATAGGAAAATGGAAGAAACAGATTCTTATGAAGAGATGAAAAAAATACAACTTCATCGAAGTATTAACAGTGTAAGCAATTCCAAGACGATATCTATAAATTTTATCATTTCAACTACTAATGAACCTAAGAGGAGGAAACCTCCCATCTTCTGTCTTGAAGAATTCATCAAGTTCGTTTATGCCTTAACCTTTTTTCATAAAAAAATGGTGTCCTCCATGTGTGAAGGTAGAAAAGAGATTCATAAGGGTGATCGCGTGAGGAAAATTATTTTGTCAGCTTTGTTAGATATATCTGAATCTGTTGAAGAAGCCATTTTTAATGTTCTATCAGTGGCGGGAGGGCCGTCAAATGGAGGGCCATCCAATGAAGAACCGTCCAATGGAGAACCGTCTGTGGGAACCCACTCCAAGAAGAATCACATTGCGAATTCCCATCTGACAATCTGCAGTGGTGAAAACAAAGAAGGAAGCATGTATATTTTGCTGAAACGGTTGAGCCATTTGTTAAATGTATTTTATGAACACAGAATTGCAGACATGAAGATATTATACTTTTTAACATTTCTCATAAGCAAATGTAGGAATGTCGATTTGACTGTTCTGAGTAACATTTTGAATATTTTCACCAAGTTGGATTTTTCATATGATGCATATTTCCTTAGTTTTTACGTTTCTAATTACGTGGCTCACGTCAAGCTGGACGAGAACGCCCTCAGGGGAAGCAGCCAAGATGGGAGAAGCAACGCAGATGGGAGAAAGAACCCAAATGGGAGAAGCAACCCAGGTGAGGGAATCAACCCAGGTGAGGGAATCAACCCAGGTGAGGGAAACAACCCAGGTGAGGGAAACAACCCAGGTGAGGGAAACATCCCAGGTGAGGGAAACAACCAAGATGTGAATTTTTCTCCCAGTGTGGAGAAACAAAAAAGGGCATTGGTGACGGCGTACGTGTGGAAGGGCTTCCTAAGGAGCATAAGGAGAAGCGTGGAAGAGAAAAAAAAGGTGAAGGATATATCGCCAGTGAACATAACAAAAATTGCAAATGGTTTGATGTATTATAAATGTTTAAATAAAGAATTAATCGAAATGATCATAAAAATAATATCTACAGAGTATAGAAAAAAGGAGGAAAGTGGTGATAGAGAAATGAATTTAGCGAAGAAAGTTCAAGCTTGTACTAAATTAGGATTAAGAAATGAACACAAAAGGAATAATGAAAGTGAAAATTTTAATTTAATTTGTCTTGGATCGTTGTTAAACTACATGAGCATAACAGATGACATACAATGTTATGATGTGAAAATAAAACTGATTAAAATGATAAAGGATAAAATAATAAGATATGAGAATTGCTTCGACACGAGATTGTTGTGCAGTATATACGTTAGCTATGGCCGATTAAATATATACGACATAAATCTATTTTATAAAATATATGAGAGATTAAATAGGAAACACTTAAATTGCATGAACATGCTAAGTATACTATCTTACATGAACAAAGCAGGTATATATGACAGAAAAGTATTGCACACTTGTTTTAGTCATGTATTTACAAAGTTGAAAGGAAACATTGCACAACAATTGTCATATTCAGTTCAATTTTTATTAATATTAACATCCATCGGTCAGCTATATCTTTTTGATAATTTTTACACTATTTTAGCCTACGCGTTTGAAGTGATTAATTGGGTTTTTAGAGCATGTAAAAAGGAGAAAGACATGGGAAAAGAAAAAGAAAAAGAAGAAGAAAAAAAAATTATTTTAACCTATAACCATTATTCCATGCTCCTCATTAGTTTGCACATCCTCTATCATTACTTTTTGGATATTCAACATGGGGATAAAAATGAAAAATTATTAAATAATGTCAGTATGGCATATTTACGCCTTCTTCATTTTTTTCTAAGTCAGAATTATGAACAAATTCACCAATTAAGTGCAACCAATTCGGACATTCAAAGAAATGTTATGACTATTCTCCGTCACCTACTACCGCAAGAGATAAACATAGTTTATGAGTACGGTTTGTGTTACACACCCTACGTGATCGACATGGTTCTGCAGCCCAGACAGTTCAACGTCCATTCGACATAAGAAGAGAGGCCGATTCTCTCCACGTTTTTCTATCATACTTTTCTCGCCATGTTTAGCCTACTTTATTTTGCCCTTTGCTGCATCCCGTGCTTATTTTTCTCCTTTTTTATTTCCCTTTTTTTGCTCAACTTATGCAACTCATTTTCCACTATGTTCTCGCCCCACGGGTCTCTTCTCCTCTCTTGAGTAATTTCAATGGTGATGAGAAAAAAAAAAGGAGGGGAAATGTGGTCTTCATTCTCTGCCCTCTGGAAAGCCCTCAACGTTAAGAGGGTGGGGGAAAAAGGTTCAGCATTCAGATGTTACGAGGTTGATATGCCATGATATTATGCCACTAGAATATAGACACATATGGCTCCGTTAGCAGCAACTCAAATATACTATCAAACCACGAGCCACAATTTTATGCTTATTATATTTGGGGCTTCATCATACGCCTCTCTACCTACTTCAAAAAATGTGCATAAAGTAAAGAAGAGGGGAAGAGGGGTAAAATGGTGCTGTATCCTTTGCCTCATCACGTTCCAGAGATATGGATGTAATGTTGCTAAGAAAGCTGAGGGAACATCAATTTGGTTAAAGGGACGATGTAGTGAAGTGTTGAAATAGGAATAAAAAAAAAAAAAAAAAAAAAAAAAAAAAAAAAAAAATCACCTGTGGGGTAAAAATTTAACATACCTAAAATAATTTTTTATTTTTTATTTTTATTGTTTACTTTTTATTGTTTATTTTTTATTTTTTATTTTTATTTAATTATTTATTTTTTTTTTTTGCATAACCGATGAGGTATCACTTTGAGAAAGAACAAAAATGATGAAAAAAAAAAAAAAAACAATGTCAGAACCAAAATAAACAAAGTGAGGGCGAGCAATATAAAAGGATGTAGCAAATACTGTCCCCATATTAGTGCTCATTAAAAAAGTGAGGTCATAGCAGACTATATATCTTCAGCATAGAATGACGAACACATACACACACATTCACCCTCAGTATTTCCTTACATGTCCTCTTTTTATTTAGCTAAAGGAATGTTAGTATTCTACTCGAAGGTGTGACAAATACAGTAGAAACACACGTGTGTTTGATTAAACCCAAATCACCACGTTCATTTCACGGGGATCGCCTTTTCTCCCTCTCTCTGTTTCTCTGCTTTAAACTTGGCAAAAAAAAGAAAGAAGAATGGAGAACAATCCATATGTTTTTAAAAGCCTTGTTCAGATTTATGAGGAATATTTAAACTTGATAATACACCGAGTGAAGGGATACAAAGTACTAATCTTGGACGATGAGACGAAGACGATAATTTCGCTGATTTTCTCTCATTCCTACATTTTAGAAAAAGAAATATTTTTGACCTTAAATTTTAACGATAACAACATTTTTGAAGACTTAAATAGTAACAAGGAAAATGATAAGTTTGATTTTAAAAATTATAAAATAAAAAATTTAAAACATCTCAAGGCTATATTCCTATTGAGACCAACTCATACAAATATATTAAAATTAATGAAAGAATTAAGGAGACCAATGTTTTTAGAATACTACATATTTTTTACTAATGTATTGAATGATAAGTATGTAGAAAAGCTAGCAAAGGCTGATGAATTTGAAGTGATAAAGAATATCATGGAATATTACATAGATGCCTATGTATTACATGATAATTTGTTTTCTCTTAACATAGATTATACGTCTTTTTTATACAAAAATTATGATAAGCATTATCCTTCACGTATCGATCAAAGGAAGAAAAAGGATCCACTTTTGAAGAATAATCAGAGTGGAAAGTGGACCCTAGGAAATTATGATTATACGATTGGTCATATGGGTAATCATAAGTATGAGAAACTAGCCATAGAAGAGTTTGATCAGCTTGACCAGGGAGGTGAAAGGAAGGAAGAAGGGATTTTATCGAACTCATTTCCATACAAGAATGACAAATCAATGGGTGATGATGATACTAGCATTCAGTCCAATTTTGCACTATTTGAAAATCAAGTGGTGCAAAGAATAGTAGATGGAATATTTTCACTCTTGTGTTCTGTCAAGCAGGTACCAGATATTATATATAATAGGAATTCCACCATTTGTAAACATATAATCGATTTGATAAAAATTAAAATGCTAAGAAATGAAACTGTGTTTTCATCCGTTCTAGATTCATACGAAAAGTACAATGAGCAAGAGGATAGACAAAGGAACATATCGAACCAACAGAATGAAAACAATAACAATTACCAATTTAATAATATAATTGGAAATCAAAATGTGAACGGATCCTTTGAGGGGAACTGTTGTTATATGTTCATTATAGACAGGAGAGAAGACCCCATTACACCTCTGCTAACCCAATGGACATATCAAGCTATGCTGCATGAACTCATAGGAATTGATAATAATAAAATTAATTTAGAAAATAATTCTGAAGAAGAACAAATAGTTATGTCATGTATTTATGATGATTTTTATAATGAACATTTATTCGATAATTTTGGAGATTTAGGAAAGGCTGTTAAAACTTATGTAGATATATACCAAGAAGAAACATCAAGAAAAAGTAACTTAGAATCCATAGATGATATTCATAAATTTATAGAAATATATCCAAATTATAAGAAATTATCAGGGAACGTTACAAAGCATGTGAATATTTTACATAAATTTTCAGAAATTGTTGAAAAAAGACAACTATTTTACATATCAGAGTTAGAACAATCTATTTCTATTTATCATAGAAAAAGTGAACATTTCAAACAAGTTATAGAAACAATAAAAAATTACTCCTATACCAATTATGATGTTTTACGATTATCCTTATTATATTCCCTGAAATATGAAGATGAAGAACATGTCGAAATGATTAAAACTGAGTTGATAAAAAGAAATATAGACAAAGATCAAATATTACTAATAGATGCATTACTAATGTATTCAAATGAACAAACCAGAAATAATCAACTTTTCAAGGAACAAACTTTTTTAAATTTTGCAAAAACGACTATAACCAGAACCATCAAAGGGACATCAAACGTTTTCACGTTGCATAAATCTTATATTTATTACATCATTGAAGATTTAATAAAATCCAAGTTGAATCATCACATTTATACAAGAACCAATTTGCTAAACATCGAACCAAATATGAATAAAAAAATTAATTCCATAATTGTGTTTTTCATAGGAGGGGCAACATATGAAGAGTATAGAGATTTGCAATCTTTGAGCAAAAGGTATAACATCACCTTTCTCCTAGGGTCCACGCAATTGCACAATTCGCATTCCTTCTTGGCTGATGCACTGCAGCTGGTTAAGGAATAATTAAATGGGCTGCCAGCATTTGACTAGATTTCCAGTATTGCATAGATTATTTTTCCTAACTTGATTGTATTGAGAGGAGAAGCACTTAACCTAGGGAAAGAGGGATAGATATTTCCTGCTATAATTTTGTTGATTCTGTGTTAAGAGTATTTTTTTCTCCCATTTTGTATACCACCCTGTCGAATGTGCTCTCCTCACACACAAACAAAAACATCTCCCATTGATGTGATCCACCTGGTTGACTCAATGTGCTGACTTGTTCCTAATGTTACTTTTCACAACCTTCATTGCTTTACCTTACTATTCCACCTTTTTTTTTTTTTCCTTTTTTTCGTTAATATTCATACAAATGTACTTCAAAATTGAGAAGTTTTTTTTTTTTTTTTTTTTTTTTTTTTTTTTTTTTTTTTAAAAAATTTCCCCTTTTTTTTTAAATTTTAATTTTTTTTTTTTTTTTTTTTTTTTTTTTTTTTTTTTTTTTATAAAACATTTCCCCGTACAGCAAACTTTTTTTTAAACATATAATAGGAATTATAACTGCTTCATCGGCATGGCCTGTAAGGGTTCCACACATACTTATGTATATGCATCTGTATATGTATGCATATGTGTATACCACTTGCCAAAAGTTTACGTATCACATCACATTGTGAGTATTAAAATTTCACTATGTTGTAGAAATCGTTGTGCTTTCTATATAGTCCAGGTGAGAACCAAACAAATGCATCCGTCTTGCAAGACATATGAGAACATGTGCAAATTTACAAATAACTCCGACTTTTCTCCCTCCCATCCCCACAGTTTTTTTTTTTTTTTTTTTTTTTTTTGGTTATACAAAATTGAGAGATATTTATGATTAATTTTTTAGCAAAAAAAAAAAAAAAAAGAAGTTTCTCACATAACTGTTTATCCATTATGTGTAGTAGACTTTTTCTTAAAATAAAATAATATTGAAATGTAAAGGGAAGAAGAAAAAAAAAAAAGCCTGAATATGTTCAGGAAATTTCGGACTTTTCTGCACAACTATGTGGTGAAATACCTGACCAAAGAAAAAAAAAAAAAAAAAAAAAAAAAAACTGTTTAAACCTCTGCAAGAGTATACTTATGTATTCTAAATTGTTTTCATACATTTTGTTACAAAATGGTGACTAATCTAATCTTATAGAATTTGTTACATGCGAAAAATTATTTGACAGGTTACAAAAAAAAAAAAAAAAAAAAAACCGTAATAATCACACACTATAAAACGCTCAGGAACGCAAAACAAAAGAAAGTAACAGAACAGCTCTTGGCACACACACACACACACACCCTTTGGTATTTTTCACATAGATTTGAAAATAACTAAGTGTTGTCATATACGACATATGCTAACGATGGGAGGCAAGGCGAGTCCGTAAGGAGGAATACATACATAAATAGGAACATAAACATACGCACATATTTATGTCCCTGTTTATGTGCGCATGTGTTTATCATTTTTTTTTTTTTTTTTTTTTTTTTTTTTCTCCCCGGAGCTTTGCCATCACAATACTACCAACGTTGAGGTTGTCTAATTAAATTAACCGACAACACTGAAAAAATGAAATGAAAAAAAAAAAAAAAATGCAACAAACAATTCGTCAAGTGAAAAACGAAAGAGTTTACCACAACAAGTAGAAGATGGAGTTTGAAGTAAATCGTGGAACACATGATGGGAAGAAGGAAATTGAACTGAGACCTGAATATGTGCACGGGTACTGTGGAAGCAAAAATAATATTCAGAAATTTGCCAATAAAAAAGTCATGTATCCGGTTCATAATTTGATAGTGGTGTATGATCTGTTTGACAGAGTACAGTCTATTTTTTCTGAACATGTTAATAAGGTAGTAGCGCAAATATGTGAACGTTTTTGACGTGGAAAATTGGAGCCCTAATTTAGCGCATTATATAATTGGTGTTTTTAACAAAGTGGACACACCACAATTGGTTAAACTTTTTTTCCTCTTTTTCGTTGCATATATCTCTTGGGAACTTCTTTATATTGGGGAGTTCCATTATGCACACATGTGTTTACGTGGAAAAATATGAGAAACGAATACACGTCTATCTAATTGAACCTCACCGGAAGGCCATACCAGATCACCACACATCCCCATCTCTCTTCCCTCTTTTTCCCAATTTTTCCTAGGTGATCCTGCTCAAGTGTAGAGAAAACACGAGAAGTGTGCTCAGCGCAGAAGAGACCAAAAGTAATATAAAAATATATCTGTGGGATAAGCAGAATTTTAAAACATTAGCCATGATAAAAATAAAAAAAATAAACTTTTTGGATATAGATTATTTAAACGATGTACAAATACTTGTCCTTTGTAAGTATGCTGACAAATTAATATTATTCGTTTTTTTTGTGGAACGCTACAATGAAAAGGGCGTGTCCTTGAAGGGGCAAAAAGCTTATGTCATAAAATCTGTGCGCGATTTTTACCAAGCCAAGGGGGAAAATACAAGAAAAAAAGAAAATGAAGCAGGAAAATGCAATGCAGAAAATGAAGGAGGAAAATGCAATGCAGAAAATGAAGGTGGCAAATGCAATGCAGAAAAAAATGGCCATGGCCTTGCAATTCTTGAAAAGCGGATCATGGTAAAATGGCCCAAATGGGGTGATAGTACCACCGGTCTGTTCAGAAAAAAGCGCGCAACAAATAGAACACACAGAATGTTCGACATAAAAACAAAATCTAACATTCCTGAGAAGATCTATTTCAGGAAAATAAATGCAGCAAACACTGAAAACTTTGTGAAGGTAGAGGAACTAAAAAAAGGGACACTTTTATGTTATCATATTGTATTTATAAGACCATTTGGAAAAATGAAAAAAAGGTTCAATGAATTATTGAAAAATTTTAAAATATTTGTAGAAATTAACTATAATGTGTGCATATACAATCAAGAGTATGTGTTTGTACATGTGCTGAGAAATAATATCCTTTACGAAAGGTTGAGAAATAATAGGATAACGAGTTCAAAATTTTTAAATGATGGCACTTTTTCTTGGGTGAAGGAAGGTCTTCCCTTTTTCTCCTTCCTTTCGATAGACATATTTGTGAATGGCTTACTTTTGCATTATCTTGCAAGGGAAGAAAAAATAAGAAGCAATATATCACTGGTAGAGGTCTCATCATGGGGTAAAGCCAAAGTAGATGCAATTACTGATTGGAGCAAAAATCTCTGTGAAACCAATTTAAATCATGACGAGGTCCAGAATGATGTGCAAAGATGCATAATTAGACAACTGAAAGACTTCTTCAACGATGAAATAAGTGTGATCGAAGTTGTCAACTGTTTCTGTTCTGAAGAGAGAAATGATATAGACACATTTTTGAATATGTATGAACGTGTTCAGGAGAAAAGGAAGAAGAAAGGACACCATAAAATCACCAAGAGTAATGGTCAAAAAGGAAATCACAATTTCATGATTACAAAAAGGAATAATAGGAAGAATAGATATTTGAGAAAAAAAACATATTTCTTTGTAGGATCTAAAAGAGGAATAATCATAATCATAGATCTTTTAAGACCTCACAAAGTAATACATTTGGAGAAAATCTGCACTTATAGCATTGTTTCTATTTTTTCTTTTCAAAGCAGTATATTAATATTAAGCAGTTCCGGAATTTTATATTTTCTCAAAGTTCCCAATTTTGTCCTACATAAAGCGGTAGACATTCTGAATCTTGGGAGACGAGGTCCTGTGTCGACTAAGGCAGGAGGTACTTCTTTGTCGTCTGTCCTTTTAAAAAATGATTCCTTATATGCTTTTAGACAAAATTCGGAAAGTAAAAATAGCTTCTTTGTGAAGAATAAAGTGTCTATGTCTGAATGGGAGAACAAAGTGAGGAGCGATACCACCATGGCATGTTTCTGTAATGATCAAATGAGAAGACTCTTTCCTGGATCAATTTCATCTTATGTCGACAAAAATAAAAACTGTTCAGATGTGGAGAAAAATAAAAACTGTTCAGATGTGGAGAAAAATAAAAACTGTGCACATGTGGAGAAAAATAAAAACTGTTCAGATGTGGAGAAAAGACATGTAACAGTATGCGCTTCTTGCTTGTTAGATATTTACACTCTCGTACTAGGAACTTCAAATGATGATATGATTTTTTACAATTTGTTTTCCAATGAGATATGTTATATTTACACAGGAAGGCACAAGATTAACTGTTTTTTGCTTGAAAGGAATCACATCATTTATACTGTGCAGAACTGTATATACAAATTGAGCATAATTAATTATAATATTCCTGTTAAGATATTGACTCTAGGTAAGATTCGCATTTCTTCTTTTTTATTTTACTCTAGTGATGTACTAATATGTGGAACGTTGAAGGGTTGTTTGTATTTTTTCAGCATTTCAAACGAAAGTGCAAAAGTGATTAATAAGGTTGAGAGGAAGGATTTTATGCACATAGGTTTAAAACGGTTAGATGGGATGGGTTCATACCAGGAAAGAGAAAATAAACAAAAAGGGATAGTAGGGAAATATGAACATAATAATGAAGTTATATGTTTATTATACAAAAAAGTGTACAACAATAATGCATCTATCAGAAAATGGTACAATTTGAGGGAAGATGAACCATCGAATCAGGAAGATAAGATTGTGTGTCTAATTTTAAATAAGTCTAAGAATATTTTGTTATGTGCATGTGAAAAATGCCTATTTTTATTTAGAATACAAGTAGGAGGTAACGAAAAGATCCATTTGAAATATTTAAGGTCTCTTCATTTTGCGAATATCATTGTGGATGTAAATTTGATAAAAAATTATGATAATTTGTTTTATGTATCGACGAGAGATGTTATTACGAAAAAAAGTGGTGTCAATAATTTCTACAACATCTATCATTTGTGCTCGTTTAACTGTACCAAAAATAGAAGATACAAAATGAACACTATCTATAAAAAGGTCTTGTTAGAGAATATATGGCATTATCCATTTCTTTACAATCATGAAGAACAACTTGATTTATTAAAAAATAAATTCGTATGTCTTCTTAACCGATCTGTCTTTGTAGTGTATTCATACAGCTACCCTGTTAGGAAGTCTTGCACATGGTTTTGCACTTCAATTTGCAGTTCGATTTGCACTTCAATTTGCACTAGACCTTATACGTGTTCCTCGAAACGTGATCTCAGAAATTATCGAAAAGGAGATAAGAAAAAAATTCAATCTGGAAAAGCTATCAACTTGGGGAATTTAAAGTCAGAGGAAAAGAATGAAGCGAGTGAAGAAGTTTCTCGCCTTTCATGCAGAAATGATTACACGTATGTTGACAATTTTGTGAAAAGCGGGAAAGCGAAGCTCGAATGTAACAAATATGTGAGCAGTACATACTTGTCTGAGCAGAACGAATCAATTATGACGAAAGAGGGAAGAAAAAAAAAAAAAAAAAAAAAAAAAAAAAAAGATGAATTGAAAGAAGTAGCAAAGGTAGAGGTCTCTTGTAAATTGGCTCATAAGATAAAAGAGTCTAACACAAAGTCTCCGATGCTGATCGAGTCTAACACAAAGTCTCCCATGCTGATCGAGTCTAACACAAAGTCTCCCATGCTGATCGAGTCTAACACAAAGTCTCCCATACTGATCGAGTCCAATACAGAATCGCACACAATGGACGCTTTTAATAGGAAAAAAAGTTGGAACATCCACCAGCACAGCAAGGTTTTGAAATCAAAAGATAAAAAAAAGGTAAAGAAAGAGTATCCCCAAATGTTGAACGAAGATAAGGATTCAATGCAGGAAAAACAAACGGACATTATGGAGGGAAAAAAAAAGGACTACAAAAAGTACAAATTGTTGAGTACCATTTTGCAAAAAAGGGCCAACAGGGAATTTGGGAGGAACTATTTTTGTCACGAATAGAAATGCTTCTTCTGATAGGTTGATGGAGCATCAGATAGAGTGGCAGGGACAAGAACAGGAGCTGTCAATTAACCTACGAGTGTCTATGAGTGAAAGCCACGATGAGGTGGAAAATACATTCCTGAAGAAACATGATAGACACGTTCAAGATGAAAAAGAGGACAAAAATTGGAAAAGAATAATAGGGTCATAATTGATAAAAACAAGTAGAGAAGAAAAAAAAATTTTTTTTGAGGGAAACTATCCCAAAATTTTATGTAAAACATTATCTCGGAAAGTACATTGGGGGTGGGGGTGTACGTGCTGTTTTGCAGTAAAATGAATAAACTGATGAATTTAGGAACAACTTGGAGGATTCAGATGATGCATTCCCATTGATCGTGGATACGCAGGGAAATTCCTTTTAAGTGAAAGGTATGAACAATATGATGTATGTATGCAGTAAGTATACACAAAGGAGATATACCCACTATAAAAGGGGAAGCAAATCAAATCTTTAACACATCGGAAAAATATAGATATCAAAACATTTTAAAAGTAAGGGGATAAAGACGAACATGAGAAAAAAAAAAAAAAAAAAAAAAGAAAAAAAAATGTTGACGTATGAAGAGAAAATTCTTATAGATGACATGAGCCTCATTTCCACACGTTTATTCAAAATTATGCCTAATAAGGATCATGTACAAATTTTTTTTTTTTTTTTTTTTTGGAGGAAGTTTTATATGCATGTATTTGTTTCATTCTATTTTTTTGAACACGTGTTGTTCTTAAAAAGTGGGCTATATTTTGTACCTCCTCTGAGATGAAACTGATTTTAAACAAACTTTTTTTTTATATAAAAGGGTTCCCTTTTTATGTATTTATATAGAACGAAAATGAGAGTCTCACTCTAGGTTGTGTGTAACAAAAATAGTTTTTTTTCCTTTTCCCATTCCTTTATCTTTCAACATTTTTTGTATCCCTCTTTGTGGATGTTTATTTTATTTTTGTAATAATAAAAAAAAAAAAAAAAAGGCGTTGAAAAGAGTGAAATGAAAGCGGGGATGCCCGTTTTAAGGGGTGCAGGAATTTCTTTATTTTCCTTTATTCTGCTTTGTCCTACTTTATTCTGTTTTGTCCTACTTTATTCTGTTTTGTCCTACTTTATTCTGTTTTGTCCTACTTTATTCTGTTTTGTCCTACTTTATTCTGTTTTGTCCTACTTTATTCTGTTTTGTCCTACTTTATTCTGTTTTGTCCTGCTTTATTCTGTTTTGTCCTGCTTTATTCTGTTTTGTCCTGCTTTATTCTGCTTTATTTTCTCCCCTTTTCGGTTGCCCACATTGGTGAGATTCGGGCTTAAAGGAAATAAGTTCTTACTTTTCTCTTGTTTGGTCCACCATAAAAGAATTACCAAAACATATTATGCACGAGATTAAAAATTTCCTTTATGAATTTCTGCAGATCATATATGTGTACAATAGATACACATACAAGTGTGTGAAATGTGCATCGGATGGGGTGGCCGATTGGATGACGAGTGGGAGAGGTGTGGTGGTCGTTCATTAAGGGAAAAAAAAAGAAAAAAAAAGAAAAAAAGAACGAACGGAAAAGAGCGAACAGAAAAAGATGAGTTAATAAGCAAGGCATAAAATTTCAAACAAAATTTTTAAGATTAAGAAGGAAAAAAAAGTAGTAATAAAAACTTGACATACCTTTTTTTTTTTTTTTTTTTTTTTTTATACATAATGTTTTGTTACGCCATTTAATCATAATGTTTTGTTACGCCATTTAATATTAATTAAAAATCACCTCAACAAAGTAATACTGGAAAATAATTCCCCCCCTTCCTTCCCAACTTCTTGGGCACTCTTAATGGTAGTTATTACGTTGGAAAAGGTACAACATAGTATGTACAGTTTTGTCTTCTCCGAACATGTTATATGTATACATGTATATATGTTTATATATGTATATATACATATACATGTATAAAAATGGTATGTGTACAGAAAATATATAACACAAATAAACGTTTAACATAACTTATATTAACATATGTACTATTTTATACGTCCCTTGTTTCAGTAAGCTGCCATGTCCTGAGTGTGCCTGCGGACGATTAAACGAGCCATATCCCCAATCTTACTAATTTTATACTTACATTTTATAAACAAAAAAAATGCTAAGAATTTAACGCTCAGATTTTAATTAAGTACTTTTCTAAAAATAGAAAAAACAGCTCGTTAGTTTTCTCACTTTTTCTTCATTTCTTCTTTTCTTCCCTTTTTTTCTATTTTTACCTCTCAGTAAACCATCTTATTTTTTTGGCATCCTTCGAAACGGAAAAAAATTAACAAGGGGAAAAAAAAAAAAAAAAAAAAAAAAAATAAGGTAAGGAAAGGAAAAAATTTTTTTTTTTTTTTTTTTTTTTTTTTTTTTTTTTTTTTTTTTTTTTTTTAAAATTTCAATGATTTTTTAATTTATATTTTTTTTTTTTTTTTTTAAAATTCGTAAGAAGAGAAAAAGGAAAAGAGGGGGCATAAATATATATATATATATATATACATATAAAAACACATATATCCTTTTTGAATATCCAAATTTGATCGAGTACATTTTTCACTTTTTTTTTTTTTTCTTTTTTTCTGTAGCAGAGTTTACGTATTTGAATAGTCCCATATAAATTACAATTTTTCACATTTCTTCGGGTACATACATATATATATATATATATATATATATATATATACCCCTCCACTTATTTTTCCCTTTTTTTTTTTTTTTCCAAATTTAGTACATTTTTACCGCTTTACATATATTGAATGCATAATTTTTGAAAATTGACACGACTGAAAGGGGGGACTCGAAATAGCTACAACATAGAAAAAAAAAAAGAAAAAAAAAAAAAAAAATGAAATAAAATGAAATGAAATTTGGTAGCATGAAAAGGTTTCCATATCTTGTACTATTTGTGCTTTTTTTTTTTTTATGGCATCACGTTAAGGTCAAGTGTGATGAAGGGGTTGTAGCCAATTCAGTTAACATCTCAAGTGCAGAAAAACCAATCACTCCCAATGCTGCTAGTACTTCCAGTGCCACCAGTACTGCCAACAGTGCCAATATCTGGAACGCAGTAAATGAGACAAGTTCGGACAACTCATCAATGAACCATGCAGCTGAAAAGAAAGGTCAAGAGTCAAATGCAAATTTAAAAGATGACACTTTTTCCAAGGAACAAGAAACATCAAAGGGAAAGACGCCAACAGGTACTACCAACACGATTCCCACTATCACAACTTCGACAAATCAAAAGAAGGAATCAAATTTTACATCCAATGAATCCAACAAACTACAGACACCACACACGACCTTTTTACAAAACAGTGAACAGAACTCAGCGAACAGCAATGATAGCAAGGATAGCAAGGATAGCAAGGATAGCAAGGATAGCAAGGATAGCAATGATAGCAAGGATAGAAATGATAGAAATGATAGAAATGATAGCAATGTGCCAAAAGAAGAAAACACGACTAATGCTGCAAAGGATTCCAAGCGTAGCACAAACGGAGCAGGCGGGTTCAAGGAGGAAGAACATTCCATGGTTAAAGAAATGATTCCAAAGGAGGAACTATCGAAGGATGGAAGTAACATCGAAAAGAGTAAAAAAGGGAATGAGAATGGGCCAACAGATAAAAGTGCAAGTAAAAATATTGGGGGTGGGTTAAGAAACGGAAGTGGAAGCAGCAGTGATGCAAAGGATTTAGAGAAGGAGAATTATCTAACAACTGGGAGTGGCAGCAGTGAAAGTGGCGGAAGTGAAAGTGGCGGAAGTGAAAGTGGCAGCAGTGAACGTGGCGGAAGTGAACGTGGCGGAAGTGGCCTCAGTGATGAGGAGAAGAACTCAGATATGAGCATCCTAAAGATTTTGTCGATTGGATCGTCGATACTGATGCAGTTAGTGCTATTTCCATCGATCTTTAAAATTATAAAAAAAAAGACAACAGGAGAAATGGACGGATTGCCATATGTTGTGCTATTATTTTCGTCCTTTCTCTGGTTTGTATACGGAATGCTACTAAACAATTCAGCAATTGTATGTCCAAATTTAGTTGGCCTTATGTTAGGCATATTTTACTCCCTTATGTATCACAAGTATTGTAAGAATATGTGGTTAAAACAGAAATTATTTTCTTATTATAAAATTTGTGGATTTATATGTTTTCTTATGTACGGGTCTTTATACATACTGACATATGAACAGTATGAAATTTTTATTGGATTTATGGCCTTTATCTCAAGTATAGTTAACTTTGGTGCTCCATTATCCTACATACAAATAGTTATTAAAAAAAGAAATTCTTCATTAATTCCATTAGAAATTGCAACAGGAAGTTTAGCTTGTTCTTTCTTATGGCTTACCTATGGTTTTACGTTAAAGGATGGATTTATTATAATTCCAAATTTGTGTGGTTTTATTTTAAGTCTTTTACAGATAGTTTTAATATTATTATATTCAAATAAGGAAATTATTACAAATTATGAAGATGAGGGAGAAGAAATTGATTTTTCCACTCAAGGTGCAAGTATGAAAAGGAATCATCGACATGCATCAACAAAAAACAATAATAACTTCTTTAATGAATTTAACATGGATGAAGAAAACAGAATCAGTTCTTTAGAAACTTCAACAACAAGACCCACCACCACTAACTGTGGAAGTATTATCAGCAATAATAATATTAACACAAGTGTAGTAAGTAATAATAATTCTTCCTTTTTTGATTTATCATATGATGAAACATCTCCCCTCACAGGTACCAAATTTGGCCTCACGTATGATAACACGGATGGGTTATCTCGTCAGATCTACCTCAACCGATCGGGAAGCACACAGCAGGACGCACCCTTGTCCTTTTAAAACGCAATCCCCAGTGGTGTAGTGGTGTAGTGGTGTAGTGGTGGAATGGTGAAGTGGTGTAGTGGTGTAGTGGTGTAATGGTGTAGTGGTGGAATGGTGTAGTGGTGAAGTGATGATTTGGGCAGACTCAAATGTATTATCAAGCCCGATTCAGTGTGCTAACCTTTCGAATGGAGGTTCTCCGCCCCCTCCGTTTCTCACGTTCGTCCATTTTATTTCATGAACGTGTTGCTGTTCCCATAACTATTATCATTACAGTCACAACTGCAATCACAATTAAAAAAATTACCATTAGTATTATCACTATTTTTTTTTTTTTTTTTGTATATATGTGTTGATGGAAGCGCCCACTTGATTTTTTTTTTTTTTTTTTTTTTTTTTTTTTTTTTCTTCTCTCACGCTTTTTCGACATATTTCCCGACCTTTTTCGTGTCCTTTTGCTGGCGTTTTTTTCCTCATTCAATGGCGCCATCCCACCCCCATATTTCTGTTTTCGATTTTTCCTTTACTTTTTGTTGCGTCTCAAAAAAAAAAAAAATAACTGTTCCCTTTCTCTTCCTTTTTTTTTTTTTTTTTTTTTTTTTTTTTTAAACTTTTTTGTTTTTTTTTTTTTTTTTTTTTTTTTTTTTTTTTTTTTTTAAACCTTGCTGCGTAATGTTATATGAACTGCTCATTTGTTTTATCAACGTCTTATTTGTTTCGTGAACTTATTTGTTTCTTGAGGTTATTTGTTTTATGAATTTTTCATATGTTATATGAACTTTTCATATGTTATATCAACTTATCACTTCTCTTATTAACTTATCACTTCTTTTATCAACTTATCACTTCTTTTATCAACTTATCACTTCTTTTATCAACTTATCACTTCTCTTATTAACTTATCACTTCTTTTATCAACATATCATTCCTTTAATCAAATGTTTGCCTTTTTTTTTGTTTTTTTTCCCCATTTCAAATTGCAAAACATGGAGGAAGGAAATCCTTCTGTGTGCATCTTTTAGTTATATAAGTATGTACATATATATATATGGAATATGTATATACATAAGTTAAATATGCATGAAATCACTCCGTATGTACCCCTGTCTCTGATGTATTGCTAACCCTACCGAATAATTAACACATGTTTTTTTTTATTATTACCATTTTATTTCGATTAATTTATTTTCCTTTTCCAACTTTTTCACAATTACCTTTCGTTTCCACGAGTATACCAAGTTACCCGTATTATGTATGTATACTTATTTCTTTTTTAAAAAGGTACAAAAAAAAAAAAAAAAAAACTTGCATTTAAAGATTAGCAAAGTTGTTTTATTATCTCCATTCGTTTAACTTAAATACATAATATTTGCACATGCTCCTGCTTTTTGTTTTGCTTCACTTTCACTTGGTTTCATTGCTATCTAATTTAGTTTTCTTTTACCTCAATTTGCATGGAAAAAAAAAAAGAAAAATTCCCAACGTTTCATGGTTGAGGGGAATAGCAACCAGTTATGTCGCCTCGCCCGCATCTCTACACTCGTAATGAACGCAGCTTATAGTAGAAGCGAATTTCTCATGAAGGTATGAAGTTGCAAAGTTGTGAAGTTATGAAGTTGTAAAGTTGTGAAGTTATGAAGTTGCAAAGTTGTGAAGTTATGAAGTTGCAAAGTTGTGAAGTTATGAAGTTGCAAAGTTGTGAAGTTATGAAGTTGCAAAGTTGTGAAGTTATGAAGTTGTAAAGTTGTGAAGTTATGAAGTTGCAAAGTTGTGAAGTTATGAAGTTGCAAAGTTGCAAAGTTGCAAAGTTGCAAAGTTGTGAAGTTCCTGACCTGTGCTTAGCATTTCTTCTGAACAAGTGCAGGCGTAGGCCTACACGGGATTTTATATTGTGATAATATCTGTGACAACAACGGAATTGCAGTTTGATTACCAAGTATGATATTGAATATTTCTTCTCCTACTTCTTCCTCTTCTTATTCTTTTTTTTTTTTTTTTTTTTTAAACTACCCTTTTTGGTGCTACACATAAGCAGTGTTAAAAAATAACAAACTGTTTAAAATGCTTGACTTGGTTAAAATGAAAAAATGGGTAAAGCAAAAATATAGTAAACGCAGAAAATATAAAAAGGGGAAAAAAAAATAAAGTAAAAATGTTCTCTTTTGCACATTAAAAAATGGTAGAGATAGTTGCGTAGCTGTTACTTAGTCTAGAAAAAATCTTAGAATGAAATGCGTGAAAAAATGAAGAAAAAAAAAAAAAAAAAAAAAAAAAAAAAAAAAACAAAAAAAAAAAAAAAAAAAAAAAAAAAAAAAAAAAAAAAAAAAAAAAAAAAAAAAAAAAAAAAAAAAAAAAAAAAAAAAAAAAAAAAAAAAAAAAAAAAAAAAAAAAAAAAAAAAAAAAAAAAAAAAAAAAAAAAAAAAAAAAAAAAAAAAACCCCCAAAAATTAAAAATAAAAATAAAAAAAAAAAAAAAAAAAAAAAAAAAAAAAATAGCCCATAAATAAAGTTAAAGTGAAAAAAAAAAAAAAAAAAAATTGCGCATGAATAAAATTAAAAGAAAAGGAAAAAAATTGAAGAAGAAAAATGCAAAAGGTATGGAGGCAAAAGTGAGGAAGAAAAAGCAAGTAGAATTTTACTCTGAAAATCAATTTTGCCATCCATTGTTCGAGCTTTTTTCCCCATACCTATTCAGTAGTTATATATGCACATAAAATACATTTTCATCTACACTTAACTGCGCTCCACGGCAGTGTAGAAACTGAACAAGTGGCTTTTGCATTACGCTCCTAAAAATGGAACCAGATACATCGGGTGAGGAAGGCATTGTTGCAGCGCAAGGGGCACACACCATGGTATAAAAAATGTGTATACATATGTGTATACATATGTTTATACATATGCATATGTACATATTTTTTGTGTTTCTCCACATATTCTCATTTAACCGAAGCGGCACTTTTATCCATCTGCTAAACTGAACTAAAGTATTTGAGCGTTATTTCCTTGCAGATGCAAATCAGCTCTGCGTATACTTATATGAACATATGCATGCACACCGATATGCACATGTGTGTGTTTGGATTCACACGTGTACTCCCATACCCGAACGAACTCCTGGAAAATGGATGAACACACGAAAGATGAAAAGGACGACCCCTATATGGTAATTAAAAAAAAATAGAACCAATAACGAACTTTCAAGAAATAGTTTTATTTTTGATGTGGCTACGTTTTAGAGGTTCTACGGTGGATTCTATTCTACGAAGTAGCTAGCCAAAATTTACATGAGCGGTTGTTAAACCAGGGACATAACGGGGCATTTAAAGACGGATCTAATGAGACATTTACTCTTTCGTTTACTCTTTCGTTTACTGTTACGCTTTAGAAAAAATATTTTTTTTCCATTTTCCCGTTCCCAACCCTTCTCTCCTAATTTCAGAGTTACCATGACGCTAATAGGAACACTATCATATGCAAAAGTATAAAATAATATCTTGCACTATCTTAGCACCCGTTACAGTATAAGAGGCAAATACATGTGTGAAAAGAATTACATGTTTGCATCTGCATGGTTCCACTTTCTCTAGTGTGTGTTTATGTCTTAAGAACACTCAATTATACACAACGCCTGATATTTCTCGGCACTCATGTGTTGCATCTTCTATTATATCATATCTTTACATTTTTTATGTTTCATTTTGTGTGTCATATTTTTTTTTTTATTTCCCTTAAGAAAAAATTGAAGACTTGAAAAAGAACATCGAGAATTTATTGCACGATGGAAATACATTGCTTGATCTGGATAACATAAAAAAGTCTTTAACCAAATTGGAGATATATTCATATGACAATGAAAAAGTAATGAAATGCTGCATTCTGGTCTAGATACATATTTCTTACATTCTACATCTCTCTCTTTTTTTTTTTTTTTTTATATTTCTCAAAGAGGAAATTATTTTTATATTTTTTTTTTTTCTTTTTAGCAAATGGGTATCGATTTGGAACATCTGGAAAATGTTACTTGTGTCCACAACGATATAATGGTATGCACCAAAAAAAAAAAAAAAAAAAAAAAAAAATGTAGCAAATTTTAAAATGGTTCATATTATATGTGAAGGTGTGTAGTATTTTTTTTTTTTTTTTCTCTCTATGTTTAAAGTCTCCTAATGATAATTTTTTTTTTTTTTTTTTTAATCTGAAAATAATAATTTTTAAAGCATTTATTTTTTTATACTGTTACAATTGTTTTTTTTTTTTTTCCCCTTTTTACACATGATGATAAGTGTACACAACTAAAGAAGGAACTTTTGAAGCAGAAGAATTTGAACTGTTCTTTATCTCTAAAGCTTCGAAGTATACACATCAAGTTAAGTAACCTTTATGCCAAGAGAGACGAATTAGAAAATGTGATACAAAACAAAGTGAGAGAAATCGAGCATCAGTTCCTCATTTTGGCAGATGGTCTTGACAAGAGGGTGCCTCAGGTAGAAAGAGAAGCACAAATTCATCTCTCATTTGCAGATGATAGAGATGATATTTCAGTTTTAACAATTAGGATTCATCTAATCTGACGTGTGGAATGATATTCCATTCGTTGTTCCATTCCTTAAACGAGAATAATCTTTATAAGCACCAATGAAGACCCTTTTTTTTGTTGTTTTTTTTTTTTTTGTATTATTTTCCCTTTCCTTTTTACTCCCCAATATTTCTTAGACATCCACAAAAGAGGACGAATTGACACACGATACAATTAAGAAAGATTTTATAATACAGAAGAATGAGGAAGAATCAAAACAAAAAGACATCACACTTGAGAAGTTAAGACAAAGAATAACAGAATATGAAAAAAACATTCAAGTGCACGAAGCAGAAAGGGCGAAAACTGATTTAGAGATAAAACATTGTAAGGAGAAATTAAATGAAGAAATTAAAAAAAATAAAATTTTTTTAAATAAAATAAAAACATACGAAATAAATTTGGGAATTGTAAAAAATGAAAGCACAAGAAATCTGAATGAATTAAATGAACTGAAATTTGAGTTGCAAAAATGTAAAATCATAAGCAGTAAAGTAAAAATAAAAAACAAGCTATTACACGATGAACAAATTAGCTTAACACAAACCAATACAAAATTGAAAGTGCAACTACAACGACTCAATGTGTACTTAACTAATTATAGACGTATAGAATCTCTCTTTTCAAATTTTTCCAGGAAAATAATCAACATAGTCCTGTTCCTTAAGAACAATCATGCAATTGGAGTAAGTAGTGCACGTATCATCTGTGGAACTTTTGATTTGCCCATTCCTGCACGATGCAGTAATACCTTGGGGAGTGGGATCCCCTCCCACACGCTAGATCACGCTGTGGATGAAAAGGTGAACAACCATCTCGAAGACACACTAGATGGTACATTAGATGGTACACTAGGTGGTACACTAGATGGTACACGAGATGGTACACGAGATGATACACTAGATGATACACTAGATGATACACTAGTTGATACACTAGTTGATGTAGTGGATGTCATAGAGGGCAACAAGCTCTTGAATCCATTGCAGAACCGATCGATCACTCCAGTTGGTTATCCCGTAGAAGGAAATGCTCTTCAGACTTTACCCCTCGTTAGAAATTCCACATCTACCAAGATAGAGTTGTATGTAGATGCCATTTCTGCATCCGTTCGAGATTTGGTTCGAATAAAGCATAACTTCCAGGTGAGCATACAAACAATGCAAAAATAGAAAAAAAAAAAAAAATAAGAAGCTCATCTCGAGGTGGAAAAATCACGTGCATGTACCACTTTGCCACTTCTCCACTTTGCTGCTTCTCCACTTTGCCACTTCTCCACTGCAGCATCAGAGAGATGAACTTGAACGAATCAAAATCGAAATGAAAGAAGCAAGGCGAGAACTGCAAAAGAAACAAAGGAGCTACGAAGAAATGAAGCAAAAGGTGAATCAAATGGAAAAAACAGAACAAGAGAAAAAGGAAGAAATTATGAACGTGAAGGAAAATGACAAACGGATGATTGTTCATCTACAGGAAAAGTTAAAAGGTGAAGAAATAACAAATATAGAATTTAAAAACATAAATCATGGGAACATGATAAAAATTAGAAAATTAAAAAGGAGAGAATATAAAATGATGTTCGAAATTGATAAACTGAAAAGATATATACAAGAAAATAAATCCAATTTAGAAAGAGAAAAACAAATGAGTATTAAAAAATTAAAGTATATGAAAAATAGAAATATTCAACTGGTAAAAAATTTAAATGTTATAAATGATGAATTGAAAAGGTGTGTATGTAAAGTCAACACTGTAAGTAAGAACATCGAAACTGTAGAAAGAGAAAAGGAACAAGTTAAAAACAAATTGAACATAATTAAAGAACAAAATGATGAACTTACAAAAGAATTACAATCATTGAAGAAACAAAAAGGGTTAATGAAAATGAAGGTATATGCACATAACAAGAAAATTGGGAAAATAAATGACAAACTTAGCTCTGCAAGCAACAGATTCAACAAAATTGTAAAGCATCTACACAAATGTAATGAAGAATACAAAGAAGAATTAGTTCGAAAGAATGAAAAAATAGAAGTATTAAAAAAATATCAAAATGAATTAAAAAATGAAATAATAGAAAAAGAAAAAAAATTAGAAAAAAATGAAAAATGCATCCAAAAAATGGAAATTCAAATGAAAACACACGTAAAACAGAACGCTGTTCTAAATGATGAAATTGAGAGAAGGAATTTGTTTATAAAAAATAACGAAAAAAAAATTAATATACTAACCAATATTGAAAATGATTTATTAAAAAAAGAAGAAATTAATCAAATCAAATTGACAGAAAAACAAAACGCAATTAAAAATAATCAAATCGAACTCAGACATGTCAAAACAGAAAATGGAAAACTAAATTATGTTATTAATGAGCTAAAAAAAAAACTAATTAATGAAGAATTTAAAAGTAAAGAAATTCGCAAGGAAATTGAAAATTTAAATAAAGAAAAAAATAAAGAAATTACAAATATACAAAACCTCTTGGAAGAAAAAGAAAAATCACTTCAAACAGTACTACAACAATTTCACGATTTAAAATGTGAAAAAATAAATTATCAAACTGTTATGGAAAAAGATTTAGAACAGCTAAAGAACCAACTATTAGAATTTAAATCCTCTAATGAAGCATACCATGACACAATAAAACAGATGGAGAAAAATCTCGACCAAGCTAATGAAAGACTCAAAAAAGAGACATCCTCAAATGAAGAAAAAAATAAACAAAATTTACAACTGTCGAATGAGTTAAACAATTGCAAAAGAAAAATAAAAGAGAAGGAAGAAGAAATGGAGGAATTTAAAAAGGAAAAAACGCTTTCATATCTTCAAAAAATTGATGAATATACACAAAATGAAGAAAAATTAAAACAAAAGTTTGAAAAAGAAATAGAACAAATGAAAATCCAATTTCGTGAACAAATGGAAATACAGAAAGTAATGCACGAAAAAGAGATTAAAGAATTAACTTCTCAGAACAAGGTAGACGTTGAAAAGTTAAATAAAGAAATCCAATATCAAAAGGAGAGTAATCAAAAGAATGTAGAATCTCTAACCCAAAGACACAAAGAAATGGTAAACAAAATTCAAGAAGAAAATCAAAATGAAATTAATAAAATGAAAAAAATTTGCCAAGAAAACAAACAAAATGAAATTCTCAGAAACGAAAATGAAAAAATATTAGAAAACAAAATTGAAGAATACAATTTACTCTTGAAAGAAAAGGATGAGGAACTTATGCAAATTATTCAGCAATACGACAAAAAATTGCAAACACAAAATAAAGAAATGGAAATACTAGTGGAAGAATGTGAGAAGAAGCTCAGAGAAACTCAAATAAGCAAGAGAGGAGGAGGAGGAGTAGAATGGGACAGTAGTAGGAAAAGCACAGATGTATTCCCAAGTGGCGGTGATCATACCACCACAACATCACATGATTCTAACACAAACAATATTCGAAATACATCAAGCATTAACAACATGATGAATGCTTGTGACATGACTAATATGGAAGAACGTCTGAGAGAGAAAGAGGAAAAAATTATGGAAATGCAAAACGAATTGCTAGGGTTGAAAATGGAAATATCTGAGTTGGTGCAAAAAAATCATGTTCTACTAGTAAGCAAAGAAAAAGCAGATAAAGAAATCTCCAACTTAAGGAAAGAAAATGAAAGACTCAAAGAGGAACTTGTAATGGATGTTTCTCTACAGATGGGTGGAAGTAACATGGATAATGTTGGCTCGTTCTTACATCAGAAAAGTTCCAAAAGTCTCGAGAAAAAGAAAAAAAAGAGAAATGAAAAAGGGGAATGTAATGACCAAGGGGAATCTGACATTTGTGAGGGTACTAATCTGGAAGGGGAGGAAAATTCTGAGAGGGAGACGAAGAAAAAGACGAAGATGAAGAAAAAGAAAAAGAAAAAAATAAATCAAAGTGGAGAAAGTGATGGAGCTACACAAGAACATTCTCATGGAGATGAAACACTCCTACGTGGAGATGCAGATGGAACATCTATCATCAGCACCTTCAGGGGTAAAGAGGAAGATTGTTACTTGTATCTGAAATCTATAAATGATAAACTTGATGAAATTGTGGATAGATTAAAGTCGAAGGAAGGAGATCCACTCTTGATCAATGATGCTTTTAACAAGATAAATTTGGCCATATCCACGTGGAACTTGTTTTCTGACACGAATACAGCCGAAGCGGGGGAAGCAGCAGATGTGATGGCAAATGTGACAGAAGATGAGGAATCTGGGGTAGCAAATATGGACGAGCCGACGAATGAAGAGAATCTAAATGATGGAGACATGATAGAACTTAGCTTCACGGATGAACGATATGAAAATATTAAAAGGGAAGTTATAGAAAAGGTTGAACTCATTCGTCAGATGGTTTGATGGAGAAAGAGAGAGGGGGCGTGGGACTGGTGAGGGGAAAAAAAAAAAAAAAAAAAAAAAAAAAAAAAAAAAAATATATACTTCCTTCAAGCAAAAAGATTAATCATACATTGGAAAGGGTGTATAAAAAAATGGATCCAAATTTTTTTTCTTCATCTTTGCATAGCGAGTTGTTTGTTTTCTCCTTTTTTCTGAAGTTGTGCATGTCGATTCTGTGATGATCTCGTTGACTTCCCAGGATGCTCATTCAATCGCTTTAATTCATTGTAGAATTGTCCAGCTTGTCAGATTCGATTTAATGTGTGTTTTTTTTTTTTTTTTTTTGTTCCTTTTTTATTTTTGTTTTGCCTTTTCGCAACCAACTTGAACTTCTTATGTTTACGTGCCTGACTTGTTCACTGGCATTTTTCATTTTTCATTTTAAATTTAAAATTTTTTTTTTTTTTTTTTTTTTTTTTAAAATGATAAATCTTCTTGATGTGCACGACGGGTCAGATCGGCGAGGGAAATGTGCAAGTTCAGTGGTAAATAAAAAAAAAAAAAATAAATCCATGAAAATGATCGTTCATGATTTCCATCTTATTTCGCTTCTGCAACGTCTACAATATCTGTAACATCTGCAACGTCTACAATATCTGTAACATCTGCAACGTCTACAATATTTGTAACATCTGCAACGTCTACAATATCTGTAACATCTGCAACGTCTACAATATCTGTAACATCTGCAACGTCTACAATATCTGTAACATCTGCAACATCTGCAACATCTACAACGTCTGTAACATCTACAACATCTGCAACTCCCACCCCTAGATGAACTCCGAAAAGAGGGGAACCGTACGAACGTAAAAGCTGTTAAGCTGGTACTTGGCATAGAGATCCTTCAAGTAATAGTTCTGCTTCTGCTGGTATGGTCTATTCCTGGTGTTGTAGTAGATATCTTGATACATGGATTTGAGGTGTAGATTGTAGGCAGCACACAATCGTTTATTGTGTGATATAACGAGATAGCCAATTTTAAAAAGAATATCCAAGGTAAAGAGGAGAAAAACTGTAAAGTAAAATTTTTGAACAGAGTCATCTGCAAAAATTTTGGATTTATGATGGATGCAAATAAAAAGAAGCAAGATAAATCTGGTGAAAAATGTTAAAAGGATGAGTAAGACATGATTATTCTTTAAATTATAATTAAGTCTTAAATTTTTGATAAAATTATTTCCTATTATCAGAATTGAAAGGGATGATAATCCATGCATATGTTTTGTATTAATGTAAATTAAAAGAGATGCAATTGATATGAATCCTTTATAATCTCCTTTGAAATTGTTTTTATAGCTTGATTCATTAGTACTTAGCAGATTCAATTCGTCAGTGTGATAGACTCGACTTGGGGAATAATCACTCACTCCTTCTATGCCTCCTCCTGGGTTAATACTTAAAAAAGTTGGTAATTTACTTTTACTATTCTGATTCATGAAAGGACGAATTATATAACCTATAAATTGTCTTCCAGAGAGTGAGCACAAGAATACATAAATATTCCTTATAATTTTGAAGGACGGTATGATTGCGAATAGGAGATAAAAATATGGTGCATACATTTCTGACTTGTTCATATTCCTCAAAAATATTTCGAAAATGTTATTATATACAAGCAATAGTAGAAATAAAAAATCGGATGCACATTTTATAAATATGAAGAATGTAAAAAATAAAACTTCAATTATATTAGACAAAAATATAGAACAGAAAAAAGATATGATTGAATTCCCAAGGATAATAAAGAACGAAATGATAAACATTATATGATTATGCTCAAATAATTTGAAATACATATCTGATTGGGTTAAAATTATTTTCAATTCATTAATGTCTATTTTGGTGTAAAAAAAATAAATCACAATGGACATTGAAATCTTCCCTACACAATATATTATATATGGAATTATTAAACGTATCTGATTCAAATAAGATACCTTCAGACTATCATCCAAATAGCAATGATACCTTTCATTGTTCGATCCATTTGTATACATCAGTTTATTCATGGTGAATTTCTTTCCAATTTTGTTTTTTCTTATGTTTAGCTTTCGTAATGCTTCTACCTGCTTTTCAATCATGTTTTCAAAGTACTCCTTCAGATCCACTTGTAATTGGGCTTGTGTCTTTCCTTGCTCGTCAGCGTGAACAAATTCCTGCAACCCGTCACATCTTCTTCTCTCATTTTTCTTTTTCGCGCCACTAAGCTGGTTCGGAGTATGGTTCGCCAGTTGATTCGCTAGCTGATTCGCTAGCTGATTTGCTAGCTGTTTTCCTGTCTGATCTTCTTCCTGATTTGCCGCCTGATATGCCGCTTTATTTGGTGCCTCCTTTTCTTCCTCGTTCGCTACCTGATTCGATGGTCGCTCCGTGATATTCCTTATCGAGTGCATCGACTTGAAGTCAAGGGAGTTGTTGCACCCTAAGCCGTTTAGCGACACAATCGGCCTTTTCTTAAAAAAACCCGTGGATGGTCTGTTCATCATAAAACTTGATTTGTTTCCATTTGGGGAACCATAAGGAATGAGAGCACTATCGTCTGATTTCGTTACAACATTGTTTTTACTCTTATGTTTTACAAGCAAAAGAGATTCATTAGCTTGAGCTGCATTATCTGTGTGGTCTATGTTTCGACGTAACCTCTCGAAGACCAAATTGCAGTGCTTTATAGTGCGGCATTTTATTGGGATGAAACAGACATTTTTAATTAGAAGAGGAGGGAAATGAACACTTGAAAAGTAGGAAGCTAAGAAGTAAAAACGTAATATCATGAAAGGAATATCAACCAGTATAATACCAATCACAGCTGCATGTTTTCTGCAAAAATATATATCACCAAGATCTAAATTTTTTCTATTTTTTTCTGTCACTAAGGAAATGATAGGAAATGAATAAGCGTTTAAATAGAGAGAAAAAGAAATTAGTACCCCTCCAATTATTTTAATCCAAAAATTTGTATTCCTTACAATGTAAGACAACTTGACAAGAGTAAACAGCAAATCGAATATATCAAATAAGTCTATTGCAACATGTAGGATTAAGTTATTGTGGAAAATTTTTTCATTTGATATGGAAATTTCTTCTGGGTACAACTGTTTGTGCGATTCAATTGATAGGGAGGTATATATAAGAGTACTTAAACTTAGGAGAACAAATATAATGCATTTGTTGTAATAATCTTTGTCTGTATCTTCTGAATAAGTATTATCATTAAAAGCAAAAAAGTACATAAAAATTACTTTAAAAGAGATGGAGTAGACATACAGTATCCAGCAATTCCCTCCCTTAACAGCAGCAAACGATTGGGAGTTGTTGAAACAAAAATGGATAAAAATGTATATGTCGAAGGTGCATAGCAGCAATATAAGTTTATTGTATTCGAAGAGGATATAATACAATCCAAGTTGTTGAATTATGAAGGTGGCCAGATTGAAGAAAAAGGAAATTCTCCATCCGTTCAGAATTTTCGTTATCATCTTGGGGGGGGAAGAAGTTTTTTTTGAAGGAATTACAAAAATAGCGAGTATCAAAAAAGGGCAGAAAGTTACCTGCCCAGCAAGGTGTAAAAATAACAAAAAAAAAGTCGCGTAACAAATAAAAAAAAAAAAAAAATTAAAAAAATAAGTAAACACGTACAAATGTATGAACAGCGTATGAGCACTGTGAAAAACAAAGGACATACAATTTTCACATACACGCAAAAAAAAAAAAAAAAAAAAAAGTGTCCCTGGTTCTTCTGGGACAAAAGATATTGCTTATGAAAGAGTTTGTATAAGGATGGAACGCGCAAAACAGGTAGTTCTGGTTGTATACATTACCCATGTAACGTCTTAAGAATAACTAGCTGGATTTACAACAAATCTGTATCAAGCTAAAAATGTTTCTGACTAAAAAATAAAAAAAAAAAAAAAAAAAAAAAGAAAAAAAAAATTATTAATGTTCAGAACAAAACCAGAACAGCTTTGTTTGGTTAGCAGTGCGTACCCGTTGCACAAAAAAAAAATAAAAATAAAATAAAATAACAAATAATGAATAATAAATAATAAGCAATGAATAGTAAGCAGTAAATACTCAGCAGTAAATAGAAAGCAATAAATAGTCAGTAATAAATAGTTAGCAATAAATAGTCAGCAATAAATAGTTAGCAATAAATAAGTAAATAATACGGTGTGCCTATAGGTACGCATGTGTACATATGCACACGTGTGTAACAATTGTGTTCACTTGTGTTCGCTTGTGTTCGCTTGTGTTCGCTTGTGTTCGCTTGTGTTCGCTTGTGTTCGCTTGCATGTAAATACACACCCCTCGACAAAAATATCCCCACTTTATACACATTGGACACATGTACTTGCTTTATTTTATAAAAATCAAAATAAAATAACTGAGCAGTGTGTATTCTAATCAATTTGGCACTTCCTTCAACTTGAAATGTTGCTGTTCCACAATCTTTTCATACGAGATGATAAGAAATTGTTGCCTTGCATGTTGGCTAAAACGACAAAAAAAAAAATAAAAAAACAATAAATAAGATAAAATAAGAAGAAGTAATAAAATAAGACAAAGCAATAAAATATGGTAAAGAGATAAAATAAGGTAAAGCAATAATATAAGACAAAGCAATAAAATATGGTAAAGCGATGAAATAAAATAATAAACGGAATTTTACCCGGTTATTACGAGAAATGTCTCACCCACATTAGTGATATGTTTACATTTCTAACTTTCTCACAAGGAGAATAAAATTCGAAAGGTAGGAAATGGTTCAATGTGTGCGAAAAATTAGAGGCTTTTCCCATAGACATTTTTTAATTCCTTCATTAGCGATGGGGAGGGGGCATTCAAATATATGTTTTTATGCACATGCTAGTGTGTATGCGCATTTTGATAAATGCGTCTTTGTGTCTTTGTGCCTTTGTATCTTTGTGTGTGTGTGTGTGTGTGGTATACATATAGGTCAATGCATGGACAAGAAATACTTACAAGCAAATGTGAACACCCTAATATGGACATACTTGTGCCCCTCTCCAAAAGAGCTTAACTATTTTCATCTGTCTGAAGGAAAATATTAACACATGTGCGTATCGCATCAATTTCACACTCATCCTCACCTAGGTCGAAAAAAAAAAAAAAAAAAAAAAAAAAAAAAAAGTGCAGAAAAATGCGCGAAAAAAAGTCCGAAAAAAATATGTACAAGATGGAGGAAAAAAAAGAAAAGTATATATATATATATATATATATATGTATACAAAATTCAACAGAATAACACATCCTCATTAAGAGTTCCACAAAGACACTTGTAATGAGTTCAGCTCTACAAGTGCTTGAAAACAACAATATACTGAATACCCTTTAGAAAGAGTACTCAAGTTTATGTGTACAATTATATACCCCCATGGTAGAATCTATAAATAAAAAAAAATAAAATAAAAATTTGGTATTATATGTACAAAATGAAATATTAAAACGTAAAACTGCTGTCTCCTAGTGAATAAATGCAACAGCTTAGGAACCTTCACCTCTCAGTGAACAAAATTTTCCTTGTGTGAGATGGAAAGTACTTCTTGGGGAGGTTGTCGACTAAACAATTAGATACGGAAGAAAACACAGACGCAGAAGAAGGCAGAGGCAAAAGACGCATACGTACCTTCAATCTGTCTTCATAATCAGCTTAGTCAAAAGGACTTCGATAGCTAAGATCCAGCATGAACAAACCCGTGCAGGTGAAGGGGACGGGTGGGGAAGCCAACAGAATCGGAAAAAGTGACAAAATTGGGAAAAGTGACAAAATTGGAAGAAGTGACCAAATTGGGAAAAGTGACCAAATTGGGAAAAGTGACCAAATTGGGAAAAGTGACCAAATTGGAAAACCCCAGCAAAACCAGTCAAAGGGAAAACAGTCCAAAGTGAACAAGGAGAGACAAAAAATAAAACCAATTCAAGTTAGGAGAAGCATGAAAGATATCCTAGTGGACGAAAATCCAAGTCAGTATGTTCTTAATTATACGGGGAAAAAAATAGCAAACATTTTTTCCGAGGAGTTATTAAAAAAAATAGATATTTTAAACGAGTCTTCTCATACAGAAGAAAACAAAAAGGGCGAAAGCACAAAAGGAAAAAACATAGAACGAATAATGAGTACTGAAAAAATAGATTCCCATCAACAAATGCTGATGGAAGAATTAAATGAATTACTAAGCAAAGACGATTTAACAAGTGAGATGAAAAATAATATTAAATCTCTTTATATTCAAGTACAAGAAATTTATATGGAAATAAAAAATGACTTAAAAATGAACTGTCCAACATCAGAAGACATTTTGAATTTGTATCGGGCTGATAACATGAATATGAAAAGCAAAAATGACATATGGAAACGATTCTGCTTCTACAAACTGTTAGGAGATCAGATGAATGACATACACATATGCACAATCTCATCCTATAGATTAAAATATTTGAAAACTATTTATGGCTGGTATAAGAAGAATAAGCGTTTTTTATTTGATGGAGAATTGGACTATGTACCCCAGTCGTCCAGGTTTTCTGAGCGAGGAGATGATGATAGGACAAGCGATGGCAGAAGAATCGATGAGAGGGCAGACGATGGTGAAATCATTGCTAGCAGCACTGATGTGACAGAGGAGGAGAGAAATGATGCGTGTAATTTCAAGATAGATATAGAAAAAACTAACGAAAAAGGGGAGAATGGAAATGAACCATTTGATTCAGTTCCATGTGTAGAAAATAGTGAAGTGCAAAATGGAGAAAATAAATTGGAAGAAAATATGGACAAGTCAAGAATGTCCATAGGGAAAGAAAAAGTAGACCATGAAAATGAGAATTCTGAAAATTTCGATAATCTTTTAATAATACATATGAATGAAATAAATAAATCAATTGGTGAAGATGTGAAGAGAGAACTTCTGCACTCTTGTAAGGAGAAAGAAGGAGTACATGATCATTCATATGATCATATCTTAAGCAGTTATATATTCCCTAACTCACTTTTTGTAAATGATACTAAAAATATAGTAACGGATGAAGATAGAACAAAACTGGAAAGTCTTCCTTTTGATACATCTGAAAATAAATTTCCAGTTATAGTTGAAAATAAGCCTCCAAAAAATGAGCCTAAATTGGAGTACACATGGCATGAGGAGGAGGAGGAGGAAGAGGAAGAAGAAGAACAGGGGGTAGAGGAAAGTTTTTCTGCTGTCCCAAGTGACACAAAGAAAATCAAGGAACTTGAGGAAGAGATAAAGAAGCAGAAGTTGCTAATTAAGGAGAAAGAGACAGAAATAATTAACTCACCCATCGGCATTAAATTTAAGGGAATCTTTGGGAAGTTTCAAGACATCGATATGAGGGGCTGAGCTTCGTGTAAACACGCATATGAAAATATAAGCATTCATCCATTAGCTAACCCATTAGCTAACCCATTTGCTAACCCATTAGCTAATCCATTTGCTAACCCATTTGCTAACCCATTTGATCAACCATTTTCTAACCCATTTGATCAACCATTTTCTAACCCATTTGATCAACCATTTTCTAACCCATTTGATCAACCATTTTCTAACCCATTTGATCAACCACTTTCTAACCCATTTGATCAACCACTTTCTAACCCATTTGATCAACCACTTTCTAACCCATTTGATCAACCACTTTCTAACCCATTTGATCAACCACTTTCTAACCCATTTATGCGAGTGTGGGCAATGTGGAAAGGAGAGGGAAGAAGCTTCGCTCTCGTTGCTCTCACGCAAATTTGGCCCAACTTGGACGACCTCCCCCAATCGACTTACTATTTTTTAAGCGTGGTCATATTTACCACCACTATTCAATTTATCAATTTTGTCTTTTAAGATTTTTATATATTTTATTTTTAAAAGCTTTTCAAAGTTGTTGGTAGTGCGCAAGGTGCATTATCCCACTCCGTCACCCTCTCTCCTCTTCGCATGCAAATGTGAGGAGAGAGATGGAAATAACTACACAATTGTAAGCACTACCAATGAAGGAATCAAAAATAAGTCTAGAGATTGTGTAGAGCCATATGTATATGCACATGTGTATATACGTGGAGTATATATTTTATGGTCTTATGGGATCCTAGCCAGCCAGGCAAGGCAAATAGACAAACCGACACACACACACACACATATATTCCTCTCAAGGAGAGAACCTAATTAAAAGTAGTTTAAACAATTTTGAAATAAAACCGAATGATCATAGGAGTATTTTTCGTATAAACATGTATGTTCATTCATGTTTTGGCTAGTCAACTTCTTATGTTGCCTCTTTGACAGACCTGACCAATGAACCCATCGGTCTTCTCCTGAAAAGTGTGTGGGGGGGAAAGGTGCGTAAGGTGAGGGTGAAAAGCGACATGCACAGTCATTGCAAATTTATACTGATGCTGATGTATTGTCATGCCAAATTCATACTGATGCTGATGTATTGTCATGCCAAATTCACACTGATGCTGATGTATTGTCATGCCAAATTCACACTGATGCTGATGTATTGTCATGCCAAATTTACACTCGTGCTGATATACAGCAATACGGCACGCATCACGAGTCTAGTGTAGCCATACGGGGTCTCGCTGTGAGATCCAGAAAGAGAGCTTGGGTGAAGATGGTGTCCATGGCGAGATTTCTGTCAGCCTTGGAAAAGAATAAATAAGCAAGTGACAGAATAAAATTGAAGAGAAAAATAATAAAAAGAAAGGAAACGTTTATTATACTACTTCTGAGTGCTAAAAAAAAGCAAAAAAGATAAAAAACCAATTTAATGATAATTTCTTTTATGTGACAAATATACAAAAAATTGTCTAGTCTTGCATTTTTTATGAAATTTTTTCCAATTATAATTCTGTTAAGAATGATTGGCCCTTTCATGTGTTTGATTAATTTAAGCATAAATGAAGACACGATTGATATAGGTATGAACAGTTCTTCATTTTCTTCTACTCTTCTTTGTGTTTCGTTGCTTTTCTCCATTTTTGATTTGCATCGGTATGTGATGTACTTGCGTCCAAGCAGCATGTAGATGAACATGTAAGTGTCCTCAAGGAATAGGTAGGCCTGCGTTGGGTAAGCGGTTTGGGTAAGCTGCGTTGGGTAAGATACACTAGTTTAGCTACTCTATCTTAGCTACTCTCCCTCAGCTGCACTGGTTTAAGTGCTCCTCCTTAGGAGTCCTGTTCGAAATGCTGATAGTGCTGCGGGGAAAAATCTTACCAAGTGGGCAAAGGCCAAGAGAACCACAAGTGTGTTCTTACTCTTGTTAAAATAATCAAAAATATCACATGCTGGGTTGTATTGAGTCATAATGATAAGTGCAAAAAAATAAGAGAGGAGGTTAAAGGAATACAAGAGAAACATGAAAACGCCATCGAATATAGAACAAGTAATTATGTAGAGTATAAATGAACAGAAGGAATAGACGAAAATGATGAATAAATTAATTTTAAGTATCCAACATGAATTAACTGCATTGATATTCCACTGGTAAGTTAATTCATACAAATGTTGATTTAGGTCATCGTCAATATCTAGTGTATATGTGACTACAAGGATAGCAATTTTTGTTGCTATAAGAATAAAGAAAAAGAGAAAAATCATCAAATAGCTTTTGCAATTGTTTTCAATTTTATCTACATAACATGACATGTGTCTTTTAAAATTTATTCCATTATATTTTAAATACTGAAAATGAAAATGTGGTCTTATTTTATTATAATTTAAACTATCAATTCTGTCATAATCTGCATGTTCTATCCTGTTTATATTTATAGTGTCTCTAGAAATGAAACTCCTACTTAGAAATTCATTACTCAAGCATCCTTTTTTGAAACCAAAACTTTTCTCCTCTCTTCCATAAGTACTTAAGAAGCTCTTTTGTTTATTTTCCATTTTTGCAGTATGTGTCTTCACCCTTTCTATACCTTTTTCTAAGCAGTTCTCTGTGTATTCATTAGTTGCGTTTTTCCATTTTTTTGTCTTTTTTTTTCTTTTTCTTCGCTCCTTTTTCTTCCTGTGGTTGTAGAATTTAGACTTTCTGTAGATTCTCGAACCATGGATGATGGCGAAGCAGAGGTTTTTCGCGATGAACAGCGGGGAGCCTGCAGTGTTTAGGAAGAGCACGTGGGGAATTTCACATGAGGTGGCAGCTCCGATGGGGTAGCAGCTCCGATGGGGTAGCAGCTCCGATGGGGTTGCAGCTCCGATGGGGTTGCAGCTCCGATGGGGTAGCAGCTCCGATGGGGTTGCAGCTCCGATGGGGTTGCAGCTCCGATGGGGTAGCGGCTCAATGTATGGCCTACATGCAGTGCCCGAAAAAATTAAGTAGAGGAAAACCCTTGCAGTGAAAAGAGAAACATCAGTAAACAGAAAGCTGTATATACTCAAGTACTTTAGACAAGACATGGCATCTCCACCTACTTTGGACCTCAGGTGGAGGGGGGCGCAAGCGGAAGACGTGGAAGACGTGGAAGAAGAGGAAGAAGTGGAAGAAGCGGAAGAAGCGGAAGAAGCGGAAGACGTGGAAGAGTAAGGAGAAGAGCCCCCCTTCCTTGGCCCTCCGCACGAACAGTCTGCTTCTACGGGTGGAAGTCCAGCCATGTAGCTCCTCCTCTTAAGATACAAAACATTAGTGGGATTTCCATGAGTTCCGTAAGTACTTCCATTCGTTAATGCATCATATCGTGCACTTGCGAGTATCTCATCTGGAATGGTTTTCTCCATCCTGTTACAAACATTTTTATATGAGAAGAGATGGAGAAGTGGTAGTGAGCTATTGTAATCACTTAACACATGGGGATATTTTCTGGAATTGTTATTAGGATCCCTGCTCTTGGATAGTTCACCATTTATGAAAATTCCTTTCTTTGTAGTTTCATACGAATATGTGGGAAGTGAATATGCATGAATGGATATATTTATACATAAGAGTACACCAAAGAGAATAAAAATGACTTGATATGAATTAAGACAGAAGGTGTAGAATTCAATCAATGTGTTATGATCTATAGAGGTATTTACAAATATATTCGTATCTTTAAATATAGACAATTCATGTATTACTCTAAAATGGTAAAGAAAAAAATGGAAATTGATTGAATAGAAGAAATCAGAAATGTCCATAAAATCAATAGAGACATGACTAATTATGAGTGAACAAAATAAAATCTCCAAATTTATGAAATGAACTTTTAATAAATTAAAGTCAGTAATATAAAAAAATAAAATATACACAATTATCGAAATCAAAATTGCGATTGAAACCATATGTATCTTATTTGTGTAATTATCAAAATGTCGTATCCAATACAAATTTATTTCTGCTTTGTTTAATACCTCCTCCTTTTCATTAATCAAACATTTAGGTAGAGAAACATAATATATAATTGTTATTTTTGTCACTATGCTGTATATATATATCATATACATTTGTGTATTATTCTCTGAACTTATCTGCAGGTACAGGAAAAGCATCAGTAGTCCTATGTCTATCACTATCACCATCGTTCTATTTGTCATTATCTGCCATGAGAGAAGCCCCTCTTGGATTGTTATAGCCACCAATAACAATACCTTCAGCAGTACTGTTGTGTGCTTCATGGAAAAAAAATTTATATTTGTCTACACATGTTCTGATCGAGAAGGGTACATTGTACAGGGTGTGCATGTAGAGATAAGCACACTGTTCAGTTAAAACTGCTCTCTTTCAAAATGATACAGAACTGAATTGTGCCACCTTTGTCTCAACATACAACATTTATGAGTTGACCTCTTCTTTGGAAGAAAAAAAAAAGTTCCGTTTTTTTTTTTTTTTTTTTTTTTTTTCTTCTGACCCCACGATTGTGTGTAGGCAATTTGTATGCATTACGCTTTTATTGTATTTATTATCGTTTCCTTAAAGTTTGCTAAGCGGGGAAAAGCTTTTTCATTTTTTGCTGCTTTCAATTAGTGAGGGGAAATTTTTTGCCTTTTTTTTTTTTTTTTTTTTTTCTTATATTTATTTCCCACCCAGAAGACATGTTGTGCATGTGAAAAAAAAAAAAAAAAAAAAAAAAAAAAAAAAAGATTTGAATATTATCAGGGAAATGATAAGTCAGTCGAAAAATTATCACATTTTTTTCACACATCAACCGCAATGAATCATGAAAAAGTTGTTTTTCTTTTATTGCCTTTTTTTTTTTTTTCTGCACACAAAACCACCTTTAGTCATCGCGACTGTATAATTTATAAAAGGGAACATTTCCTTCCGGCTGGCTTGCTTTCCTATAACGTGCTTGTCCAGATGTCGTCCATTTGTGCTTGCATTTCTATTTCTATTTGCATTTGCATTTGCGTTTGCATTTATATTTCTATTTGCTTTTGTGTTTTCCTTTTTTTTTTTTTTTTTTTTTCCCTTAAATGGAGATACATTTTAGCTAGCTGTGCTTACGAAATAGGAGACATTTATAAATTTTCACATGTATGTATGTACATGTGATTTTGGTTTAGTTTGGGTTGTGGTGATATAAGTAGGGAGCCATATGTCACCTGTTGGAAACTCATTTCGATCATATTAGCAAAAAAATTTGTTGTAAAACAGGAAGGGAATAAAATAACATATATTGTGCATACAAATTAATTGATTTATAACCTAACAACATGAATAAATACCACTTGACTGTTTTTCCTTGAATAGGTCAGTAGGCAGGAATACACACACGATTAGCCGAATGAGGAAAACATATGACCAAAAAAAAAAAAAAAAAAAAAAAAATTCATATTTTTCTGGTCATAACAAAATGGAAGATTCTTTAATTTGGGAAGTATAATCGTTTTTTTTTTTTTTTTTTTTTTTCTGGTCATATGTTATCTTCACAAAATTTAGCTTCAATAGTGAAAAAGAACTATAGTTGGGGGAGGGGGCAGAAGAAGCTTAAACTTGTATTCATTTAGGGTTCAGCTATGTTATAATTATTATGTTGATGTAATATTTACATTTCTTACATGGAGAGAGAAAAAAGATAAAAAAAAAAAAAAAAAAAAAAAAGATATTATATGTGTATTCAATTTACTGTGTGCATGTGGCATATGTTAGGGCTAGGACTTTCCCCCAACCCCACCGCAAGTGTGCACAGTATATACACGATACAGGGGGTAAATTATGTGTACAAAAATTTGAAGCACTAAAAAATTGTCACTTTGAAAAGGAATAGGAGTGCTGAATGTATTATTTATCTACATTCACAGGCGAGCATATTATAAATTGTTCACTTTTTTGTGTACATTTTTGCAACCGCGACACACCATCACTTTATATTAAATCTTTTATCCATATTATTATCTTACTTATGATTTTATGAAATGGATGCTGGATGTCCCCAAATTTTCGTATTCCTCATCAGGCTCATGTTAACATAAGTGCATTATTTAAACTTTAACATGGGCAAAGAGGACAAATTATAGCACTGGTGAAAGAATAACCACTTTGTTTTAACTTCCAGGATAGGAAAGGAGGGGTGGGGGGGGGAGAAACCATCCTTAGTGTAAAAAAAAAAAAAAAAAAAAAAAAAAAAAAAAAAAAAAAAAAAAAAAAAAAAAAAAAAAAAAAAAAAAAAAAAAAAAAAAAAAAAAAAAAAAAAAAAAAAAAAAAAAAAAAAAAAAAAAAAAAAAAAAAAAAAAAAAAAAAAAAAAAAAAAAAAAAAAAAAAAAAAAAAAAAAAAAAAAAAAAAAAAAAAAAAAAAAAAAAAAAAAAAAAAAAGCGAAACATGAAAAGGAAAAAAAAAAAAAAAATAAAATAAAATAAAACAAAAGATGAACAGAAAAAAAAAAAAAAAACATAAAAATAAAAACAAAACGAAACATAAAAACAAATATATAAAGATAAAATATCGAAAACGAGAACAACTGTGAAAACACGTGTAAATCAGATTATCAGGTAATCAGGTACCTAGTTCTCAGTTAGAAAAAAAAAAGGGAAAATCAAGGAATGCACTTTCCTACCCTCGCGCCCTGATCTTCCAAACCACCCATTGTAAGTGTATTTTATTTTTTCCCCTTCTTTCATCAACACAGTTCATTTTGAAATCACCGAGGGTGTGCAAGTGTAAAAAAAATGAACAAAAAAAATGCATTCGTACGTGTGTTTATGCTACATAGTGTAAAACCTGATTTGATATGATACTTCATGTGATATAACACAACGTCATATGATTTAATTCGATTTAATTCGATTTAATTCGATTTAATTCGATCTAATTTGAATTAATTCCCCCGCGCTTTTTTTTTTTCCTTTTTTTTTTTTTTTTTGTATGAACGTAAAGAGGAAAGCATCAAGTGGTAGACCTACAAAAAGGAACCTTGTTTACATATCGGGAAGAACAGCATGTAAAGGGGATAATCATATATTCCTAAAATAGAAAAGAAAAAAAAAAAAAAAAAAAAAAGAGAGAGAGAGAGAGAGAGAGAGAGAGAGAGAGAGAGAGAAAGAGAAAGAGAAAGTAAACTGCAAATCAGTGAAACTGCTTGACATCTACAAGCATATCAAATCGCCAATCTGCCGCTTATTCGGTGCAAAAAAATAAAATAAAAAAATGCGACTGTTATCAGAACAGTTGAAGAAGAATGCGAAGGGAGCACTTGGAAGGAAAGTGAAATGGAGGAACATAGGAATGTTTCAGTATTCAACTAAGATAAGTCCGATAGAAATATCTAAAGTTTTGGAAAAGAAATTTGAAAACTTTAATTTTAAGACATCTGCAAATGAAGTAGGATATGTTCTAAGTGTAGGTGATGGAATATGTAGAGCGTTTGGATTGAATAATGTGAAATCTTCAGAATTACTTGAAATTCATAGCAGTGATGACTCAGCCGGGGGTAGTAGTAGTAGTGGTAGTAGTAGCAGTACCAATATGGATAACGTGAATCGTGTGAGTGGAAGTGAAAGTGGCAAAGAAAACATAACGTATGGAATGGCAACGAATTTGGAGTATGATAATGTAGGTGTAGTTATTTTTGGAAATGATAGGAATATAAAGGAAGGAGATATTATTAAAAGAACAAACAGAATTATTGATGTGAATGTTGGATATGAATTACTGGGGAGAGTTGTTGACGGATTAGGAAATGAAATAGATGGTGAAAAACCGATTCAGACAAAAGAGAGAAGAAAAATAGAAATAAAGGCACCTGGAATTATAGCACGTAAAAGTGTAAACGAATCCATTATCACAGGTATTAAATGTATTGATAGTTTAGTACCCATAGGGAGAGGACAGAGAGAATTAATAATAGGAGATCGACAAACAGGAAAAACAGCCATAGCTATTGATACTATAATTCATCAAAAAAATGTAAATGAACAGGTATCAGATAATGAGAAGGTTTATTGTATATATGTTGCTATTGGCCAGAAGAAAAGTAACATTGCAAAATTAGTTAATCTTTTAAAAAAATATGATGCTATGAAATATACCATTATTGTTAATTCCAGTGCCTCTGATGCGTCTCCACTTCAGTTTTTGGCACCCTATACAGGATGTGCTATGGCTGAATATTTCAGAGATAATGGAAAGCATGCATTAATAATTTTTGATGATCTAAGTAAACAAGCCGTTGCCTATAGACAGCTTTCCTTACTTTTAAGAAGACCACCAGGGAGAGAAGCATATCCAGGAGATATTTTTTATATTCATTCAAAACTTTTGGAAAGATCATCTAAATTGAATGATACATTAAAAGGGGGAAGTTTAACTGCCTTACCAATTATTGAAACATTGAATAATGACGTATCAGCATATATTCCTACAAATGTTATTTCCATTACAGATGGGCAAATTTTTCTCGAGAGTGAACTCTTTTATAAGGGAATTATTCCTGCTATTAATGTCGGATTGAGTGTATCCAGAATTGGAAGTAGTGCACAATATAAATGCATGAAAAAGTTAGCATCTTCTATGAAATTAGAACTAGCCCAATTTAGAGAAATTGTAGCCTTTTCGCAATTTGGATCTGATTTAGATGCATCCACCAAAAAGCTAATCGAGAAGGGGAAGATTCTAACAGAAATATTGAAGCAGAAACAGTATTCCCCAGTCAGCATAAGCTATCAGATATGTCTCATATATGCCGCCACGAAGGACTATCTGGCTAGCCTTTCCATCGACAAGGTGCAGGACTTTGAGAAGCAGTACTTTGAGTACCTGGATAACAACTACGTCGACGTTCTGAAGAAAATTCAGGCCAACTGCGACTTGTCTGAGGTGGAGGAGCAGATCAAGGAGAGCATCCAGCGCTTCTTGGAGATCTACAAGGGCGAGTGAGCGCTGCGTTGGTTAACCAGCCACGAAGCGGCAGACAAGAGGCAGTGCTGGAAAAAATGGCGAAGAAAAGCAGAGCCAAATCATGAACATGCAGGTAAAAAGGTTAAAAAGTGCTGGAAAAACTGTGCAAAATTATGAACAAACATGCCAGAACATTTTCTAACGCACGCGCACATATACAATATAAATGAATAGGGGAAGTGAAATGGCTAGCCTTGAAGTGTATTATCCCTCAACGCGTGCCATAGCGATAGTACTTACATCAATTCCCCATTTTTATACCAACATGTGCAAACGTGTAACACTCCTATAGATTTGTATAAGTATGCACCTTTTGTTATGTTATGTTATGTTATGTTATGTTATGTTATGTTATGTTATGTTATGTTATGTTATGTTATGTTTTTTTTTTTTTTTTTTTTTTTTTTTTATGTATATACATACGGATGAACACGCTCATACAAAAAAAATAGGATGTGTTTTTTAACCAACTGTTTTCTGCAAGCTGTATTTTCTTTCCAATTATAATAGCAAGCTCAATGTTTGAGTCAGAAAACTTTCTGTTCCCTTTTTAAATGTAACAACATAGCATAATACAACGATTTCTTACTTATTAAAAAATTGGTGCACACGAAATCATAGGACAAAAAATTTAAGCAAATATTAAACATTTCCTCTTCCGTTTTTTTATCAAAAATGTGGAAATTGAAAAGAAGAAAAGGATGATCATGCCTTTCTGTCTTTGAGGATGTTTTTTTCTGTAAGTACTCTTCTTCCAACAATGTAACCATTTGTGGTATCTTACTTTTTAAATGATCTTTAATTTTCCATATATTAAAATCGAAATGTATTTGTGCAAGATTCATTTTTTCATGCATGGTAGTTTTCTTATCATTTGGCCCTGTATCGATTGACTTTGTACTTGCTATATCATACTCGAAATTTTTTATTTTGGTTGATGCAATAATGTGTGCATTTTTGATAACAAATAAATCTATTGGGAAAAAATAAGTCCAAAGAATTTTCCCAAATTTTCTCTGAATATATGGAACATTTTTTAATTTTACCTGACCATGATCGTCATAATTAATTAGCATATAAATAAAATTACACAGAAGAAGGAGATTAATTTGTTTGCTTGTCGTTTTAATTTCACACACTTGTCTTAGTAGGTAAAAATATAATGGTTTATATACATGTTTGCAATGACTCAAGTGAAGGTATAAAAATATTTTCATCTCATCTTTGAGACAAGATAAATCATATCGAAATAACCATTTTGAAATATCATAATAAAATGTAGAGTAGTGGTAAAATCCGTTCAGGCTGTAAATTACGATAAAATTTATCAAATCATCCAGTGTAAAAAATTTTTTTTTTTTTCTAAATATATTCTCTACCTGAGAGTATACATCATATGTGTGTCTATCTCCCAACAAATCGTCTTGTGTTCTTGCGCATAAGTTGTAACGAGTGCAACTTAAATGCTTCTCTTTTTTGTGCATTAAGTAAGACCACTTTAATTTCGCTACATGAGACTTCTTTAGAATTTCTACATTTTCTTTGCACCCAGTGTGTATGTAAAAATATCTGTTCATAAACTTGTTATAATTTTGATATAGTCTGGTTTCGAAATGAGAATGGGAAGTTATATTTTTAAAAACTTGCATGTTTAAGTGATACAAAATAATTAGGAACCTCTTCATATGGAATGGTGAAAAGATCAAATAATTATTTAACATTGTCAAAAGGAACTTTATGCCGCTTTGGTACACCATCATTTGGTTCGTATGTCCATTTGGGACATTTCCTTTAAGGTTCTCTATGCCACCACCTCTGTTTGAGGCTCTCACACCGCTCTCTTCGTCTCCAGTCTGGGGAGAAGCAACCCTAGTTGAGTTCACTACTTTTGCCACGTCTGCAGTGGAGGCATTGATAGAAGCATTTTCTGCACTTTTTTCACTTTTTTCACTTTCTCCATTTTTTTCACTTTTTTCACTTTTTTCACTTTCTCCATTTTTTTCACTTTTTTCACTTTTTTCACTTTCTCCATTTTTTGCACTATTTTCACTTTCTCCATTTTCAGCGCCCTCTAGAGCCCATTCCCTTGGCAATGATATGCTGCCTCTACCACCAATATTGAAATTTCTCAAAATAATTCTGTGTAGAGTCTCGTAATTGGAACCTCCTCCTCCCACATGTGCCGCTGAAAGTTGAGTTGTCAATTCTTCACCTACAAGTTGTTTAATTCCACACTGACTAATGTGAAGATATCTCCGATTGTCTTCATCTTCCAGTATGCTCCTAACCTCTTCATAGCGATATGTCTCAACAGAAGAAATGACGCTTAGCATATTTTCCATGAGAGGGTGTTTTACTTTTTCAAGGGAAATCCCCGAAACCACCTGACCATTTATACCTCCCCTCCCCTGGGGTAGACTAACGAATTTACAAAAGGAAAGGAAGATATAGAACCAATTTGATAAATTCACGAGGTACATATTTTTGATAACATATGTGAATATTTCATAAAAGGTTTTTTCTACTTGTTGTAAAAATATTTTCTCTAGATGGATGTCAATTTTCTTGTTATAATTATGAACATGTTCAGAATATTGAAGGTACGAATTTGACAAATAAAGTAGACATTTTGCAAGAGAATTTATTTGCGATTTGTGAAAATATTTTTTATTGTAATATGGACTGAAGTAAATATTACTGACTAAACTTTGGATGTTCTTGTTTCTCTCTTTTTCGCAAGGTGAGTGGAAGAGATTGGTAAGTTTTACTTCATCGTTTGTGTTCAATGGATGTCCAACTTGCAGTGAAAACTTCCCTTGCTTCTGCTCCCTTTTTGTTTCAAACGGGTTGGTTACCTCTACCGATTTGATGATTCCACATGGAACTAGTGAACAGGCCGTATGTGCGAACATGTCACTCATTTTACCAGCTTTTTCACTGTTCTTTAATAAATCAAAAAAGGTGTTCCCAAGTTTATGGTTCCATGCTTGATTTTGATACCACCAATTGGTGAATTTCCAAAGGGGAGAATTTTGTGTAAACTCCGAATGGTGTATGTGTTGATATTTCATGTAGATACCTTTTTCATCTCTGAATCCTTTTGGTATATCCAATTTGTTTCGTCCTTTTGTGTTCCATTTACAGAGACCAGAAATGATAGTAGAAAGACTTTCTCTTTCAAAAGCTTTATCCAATGTTGATGAAGAAGGCATGCTGAAATTATGTGAAATTTTTAGAAATTTCAAGAATATCTTAACATTTTTATCAACCACTTTAGTGTTAATTTTATACTTTTGCTTCAATTCTTCATATTGTATATTTCTCAATTTATCATAAGGGGTTGAGAAAGCAAATGCTTTTTTCATATTTTGAAAAGTGGTACTTTCTTCTGTCAATCCTTTTTTGTAGTTAAACTGGTGGTATGATGTCTTTCCCAAATCATCATAATAATTAGTCAACTTTTTTTTATTCATCTGGTTATGTTTATCAGAGTCTGCAATTTTTGGTGGTGTAAGCAAAGAGTAAGAATCTGTTACGGTCATATTTTTATCTTCTACAAATTTGTAATGGCTATGCTTATTTGTACTTTTCCTCCCTTTACTAGTGCATCTACTATCTGGAAGTGTTAATTCATTTATATTTGTGACGAATGGAGCAGACTGTTCAGAAGATACACCATTTGGAGAAAAGGTATCCTGTAAGTTTTCCAAGCTAGATTCACTACATTTTTTATCTTCCTTCTCTTCCATAGGATGGTGTGTATTGAGAATGTCTACTTGGTTCATGTCTATAAAGGAAGGAAAAACTTTTATTTTAATTTTTTTTTTATTAGAATTCTTGGGAAAAAAGAATTCCTCCGGGAGAAGTAAATAGTTTAAGTGGTTTATACATATGTTACAACTACCCAGGTGAACTACTTTTTGTAGATATTCATAATCATTATTTTGTTTGATTACATTTAAATTTTCGATTATTATTCTTTTATGTAGTTGGACATAGAGGTCGTTAAAAAATATTTTGAGATAGACATTTTTACAACTTGCACACATTGTCAAGAAGTTTAAGTATTCATTTTTTAATTTTTCATCTAGGGGTATATTTTTTCTCTCTTTTACATTTTTTATTAATAAATTTTTAAAAGTAACATCTTGCTTTTCTTCATTCGTTTTAAAATCAGGTGTTATTGCAAATAAGTAACTGCCAGTGGTCAGCATATGTAACATTTGGCCGACAGTAATTTTGTGTATATTTCGAATTAAAAAGTGGATGTAACTATATCTAATATGATAATTAATATGTAATAAATTTATTTCATTTATTAATCTTAAACATTCACTAAGAGTCATCAATTCTTTTTCAAGAAAATTTCTTAAATAATGAATCACTTTCGTTGAATATTTCAATTTTTGTGGAAATATATAAAGAAAAAAAAAAAAATCATTCTTGCACATTACATAGCAATTATGACTTACATATTTGTAAATACAATTCAGTATGATATCCCTCTGTTTCTTATCGATATGTTTATTCTTTTTTATATTATTCACTAAAGCAAAAATGTTTTTAATCTTTATTTTATATATAAATTTCATGTACACAAATTCTTCTTGTAGTAGATCGTACATGTCTCGAAGTTTTTTTGCAGATTTTAGCAGCTTTCTCTCTTTCACATTACTTGAGCTAGTTGGGTCCATTTTTCTAATAGTTGAACTAATAACAACATTGTTGTGCCTCTCTCCAATGCATCTTTCTCCCCTATCGAATTGTTCTATTTCAACATTGTTCTTCACATATATGTATTTATTATTATCAAAAAAATATCTGCTGCACTTTTCACCTCTCCTGTTAAGATCAATCCTTACGACCTTTTCGTGGTTCGATAGACATTTCAGTTTTTCTCTGTATTCATTTATGGCTCTTAATGATTCCTTATTCTTCTGCCTTCCAAGAAATTTGCTCACCCCTTTGGAGGTGCATTTCCCGTGGAGTTGCATTTCAGCGAGGCTGCACAAAATGGGCCACCGTGAAGTGGGAAAACGTAAGTACGTCCATGGGAATGTGCGTATGTGTACATGTGTGTAGATATGTATGTACATACGTATGTGCACGTGCTGATATTCTCCCGCATGCATGGAAGAGTGCTCATATGCATATGAGATGTATGTCACCACAATCACAGTATCACCTGCACCCAGCCATCTGTTGCCACATTCGGAGCTGCAATATGGTATTCCTCTCTTACTTTTCTTTTTATTATTCTATCATTCTGTCACTTTTGTGCACTTGATTTGGAATGAAGTTTGAGGAGTTGCTTCGACGCAACTTTGCTCCTTCCATGCTCCTAATTTTCACAGTGCAGCATCGTTTGCATGTCGTACTGTTGTGCAACTGTAGAATTGTAGAATTGTAGAATTGTAGAATTATAGAATTATAGAAGTGATTGTGAAAAATAACTGTTCCTGAATATAAGCATTCGATGGGTAGCTTTTTTTTTTTTTTTTTTTTTTTTTTTCCCCTCCCCCATTTTGCACTTGTAAATAGGAAAAAAAAAAAAAAATCCACAGAAAAAATCAGGATTTATTAAAAAAAAAAAAAAAGGGGACGAGGGGAAAACATATTTTTGCTTAAATCCAACAATCCTTTTTTTACACATAACGTTCAGTGCCGTGTCATTTGTGCTCTTCCACAGATACGTGCAAAAACAGAAAAGAACAAGAGTTCAGCAAATTTGAGAATCAAGGTGTTTTGTTTTATCCTCTCATCATTTGCGTAGAATGTGACACAAGAGAGAAGCAAAAAAAAAAAAAAAAAATTAATGTCTCAAAAATTGGCTATTTAAAATTGGGGTTATTTTTTTTTTTTCAAAGAATTTCTTTACATTTTATGTATTCCAGGGGGATGGGGATGGGGTTGGTAGATGAATCAGAAAAATATGCGAAAAGTTGTGTCGGACTAATCAAACGAAGAGAAAGTTGTTGGTGAGGTGAAAAGCCAAACATGTAGGAAAAAAAAAAAAAAAAAAAAAAATCTCAAACTGGTACCAAAAAATATGCGAAAATGGCTTGAAAATGGTTCGAAAAAGGGGAGTTCTTTTTACAATTTCCAAAATAAGAAGAATAATAGGAATCTGTTTATATAGACAAAGAATCGCAAATTTTAAAAGTCGCACTTCTGAACGAGCCATGTGTACGCGTGTGATTAATATTCCTGGTTACATACATACATACATACAAACATACAAGCACACACACATATACATTCATTTCTTGGGGAATATATATACACCTTTACGTGTAGATCTTCCAACATAGGGCAAAAAAAAAAAAAAAAAAAAAAAAAAAAAAAAAAAAAAGATCGTATGGCACCCCCTGGTTTATATATCCCTTTTCAAAATTTTTCATATGACTTTCTTTATTTTGTTTATCTTGTCTAGTATGATATTTTTATTCACTTCATAAATGTAGCCACCAAGAATTATGTTGTCAAAAAAATAGTACAAAAAATGGAAATTGAATAAGAGATCCAATTCACAAACGTTTGTAAAAAAAGTGTCCAGAAGTTGAGCCATGAAATGAATAAACTCAAGAATGTACAACTCGTTCTCGTTCTCGATGCAGATGACAAAGTAGAGGCCTGAGGTCGGGGAAACGTGAACATAGAAAATGGGAGGAAAATGGGAGGAAATGGGAGGAAATGGGAGAAAATGGGAGAAAATGGGAGAAAATGGGAGAAAAATGGGAGAAAAATGGGAGAAAAAAGGACGAAAAAAGGACGAAAAAAGGACGAAAAAAGGACGAAAAAAGGACGAAAAAAGGACGAAAAAAGGACGAAAAAAGGACGAAAAAAAGATGTTGAATATAATTGTTAGTGAAAAATATTCAACCTAAACAGGTTATATATTTACCTACAATTCTGCACTTTTTTTCTGTCCCTTTTTTTCAGTCCCTGTTTTGCCATACCTGCATACAACCGGTACACAATTTTGAAATTCTCGTACACGAAAATGTTCGCATATGACCTACTTCTGTTTATTAAAATTTTGTTAATATCTCTCTCAATCTTCTTCTGCTTGGCTTCATTACAGTTAATGTACCTGAGAGGTGTGAAACACGGGCAATACAGTGTGTATGCAGTGAGAAAAAAAAAAAAAAAAAAAAAGGAAAAACATGAAACTTGAAAAATGAAGCATAAAAAATGAAACATAAAAAATGAATCATAAAAAATGAAAAACGAAACTTGAAAAATAAAACATTTTATACTTCACACATGGGTACTAATATTTCATTGGGATATATTTCTAATTCTCCAAAACTTTTACGTGATCTCTCCCGTGTGCACTCTCCCTCTATCTCTGCTTTACCATTTTGAAAACCTTGTTTTTCCTTGTCTATTTTGGAGAAGAATAAAATTCAGCATTTTCAAAAAATAGAAAAAAATGGAAAGTCTATAATATATTTGGATAGAACTGCTAATACAGAAGACGTCCACGTTATGCGATCAGGTGAAATGTCAAGGGCAGATTATATCGATCCGACGAGCAAAGACAAATAAAATGGTTGTAAAAGAGGAAAAAATAAAATAATACAAAAATATATAAAAAAACGGTTAACAAAACCAATTAAATAAATAAATGCATGAAATAAAATACAGCTGTGTCTGAAAAGTTTTCTTCTTCTCGATTGTTTTCTAAATATGCAAGTTTGTGGGGAAGGGGAGGGTATTACTCTGTTCAAGGTTAACAACACAGCGTTAATTAATTATGCTTCATGTTTCTCGTTTCGATTTTCGTGCCCCCACCCCCATTTCCTTTATACTCTGCTCATGCTTAAGGGAATGTTTGCAGTTTTTCAAAATGACAAATTCATTAATATTCATGCCATTAGTATGCATGTCATTAGTATGCATGTGGTGCTATAATGAAACAGAGAAAGATAGATACATATCTAAATACTTAATACTTCTTCGTGCTTTTTTTTAAAAATCAGAAAAAAGAAAAGCAGAAATTGAAAAAATTGACACCCATTCTTTTTATATATGCTTCAGAAAGTATGCAAAGTTGAAAAAAAAAAAAAAAAAAATGCACCATACCATTTTAACCCAAATTATAAAAATAAATAAAATGTTATATATCATATAATTCACATGTTCTGAATTTGTTTAGTTCTAATATTACTTTTTCCTCCACTATTTCGGATGGAGTTTTGGTTTGAAAATTTTACTTTCCCGTTAAAATAAGTTTGGGCTGGTATTTGGTTTCAGAAGGGCAACCTGCTTCGCGTGTTAAAAATGTAGGCACACAATTGAGGATGGAGAGGGAAATTTTGAGCAGTTTGAAGATTTTGAAAAATTTCTCATAAATTTACACTTGTTGATTTAAGCACAACCTTCTTGTCATATCCACGTCACAGAAAAATTCCAACACAATCGAATACCTCTGCTAAAATCGCCTATGCAAAAGCCCCGCTCCAAAAAAAAAAAAAAAAAAAAAAAAAAAGTATCCACTTCCTCCTCCCATGAGAAGTACCAAAACGAAAATTGTTGATTTTTTTTTTTTTTTATCTTGCGCTGAGTTCCTGGAATTCTAGGATTATTTCATTTGTGTGGTTCCATATGTAACATTTCTAATCCTACTACATTTGCTTTATTATCCTATTTGATTTTCAAAATGTTTTGCAACCTTTAATTTAAATTCATAGGAGATTTTTAATTGTCCTCTTGAGATTATGTTTCTCCCGTTTCCACGATTTTTAGCCAATATAAGGAGAAGAGAAACATAAATTACATGAAAAAATTGTTTAGATAATAAAAAAAAAAAAAAAAAAAAAAAAACACAAGAAAAGACCTACAACTTACAGAAATGTAATTACATATAAATAGGAACAGGAATAACTAGTTGAAAAAAAAAAAAAAAAAAAAAGATAAAAAGATAAAAAGATAAAAAGAAAAATGTGTACAAGTATTAAAAAATGAGGTTCTCTTTATTTCATGTAAAAAAAAAAAGGTGTCCCCCCGGGATTAAAGGATTTCGCTACCTGTCTTCCAAAAAGATATCCAACGTACTTTTTCATAAATTCTGTTTTGTGCAGACGTCCACATTTCTCCATTTGCTAACTGTCCTTACATGTTTCTGCATGATTATTATGTTCTTTTTTTTTTTCATTTTTCTCACTGCACGATGGAATTTATGTGACTAGTGGCATATACGAAAGGATGCACATGGGAAAACGCACAAATTGGAAAATGCTCAAATTGGAAAATGTTCAAATCGGCAAACGCGCGAATTGGAAAACATGCGAATATATTTGGACAAATTACTAATACCCACGTACTTTTTCCATTTTTTTTTTTTTTTTTTTTTTTTACATGGGTGTAATTCTGCTTCTTCAGTATTACACCCCCCAAGGACCAAGCGTTAAAGACATGGACGATGAATACAGGAAATTTCTTCAGATGAAAAGAAAAGAAAAGATTTTACCTGAATATGACAAAATTACAAACATAGACATTAATACATTCAAAAAGTATAAACACAAAAATAACCCAATTTTTTCCACCGAATTTAAGGTGTTTATAACTGGTTTTTTAATTTGTGGATGGTGTGTTTTTGCTATTTATCTGACTATAAGGATTATGTCCCCCGATGATTTTGAATGGGTAGAAAGTGAAAGGAAGAGGTTGGAGGATGCCAAAAAGAAAATTATGATTATAAAGGATAGGGAAAATAAAGTAGACAACGTGTGAGTCACAGCCAGTAAGAGGCGATGATGATTTCCCAATTTTGCATTCGCTATGTGGCGAGCGGGTAGGCACGGGTACAGTATCCCGACGTGGGGAGACAAAAATGGCAGGCTAAAGTGATAAACTAAAGAGATAAACTAAAATGATACATTAAAATGATGCACGAAAATGATAAAGTAGAACAATAAAATGAAATAATAAAATGCAAAATGTTCGAATAATTCTGAAACGAAAAAAAAAAAAAAAAAAAACAGAACATAACATAACATAACAGAACAGAACAGGTAACGTTATAAAGGATGGTAAGCTAGCTAATTTTTTTTTTTTTTTTTTTTTTTTTTTTTTTTTTTTTTTTTTTTTTTTTTTTTTTTTTTTTTTTTTTTTTTCCTCTGTGTGCAGTGTGCTTTTTTGGCTTTCTACTCATGTGAGGACTATAAAAATGCATGAACAGTTCATATTTATTATTATTTTATTTTATTTTTTTTTTATTTTTTTTTTTTTCCTTTTTTTTTTGGTGTGCAACATCATTCTACATTTTTAAAGAATTTTGTTTGTGTTAATGGAAAAACTGTAAAAGCCGTTGCATGGAGGATCAACAGTGGAAAAGCAGCTCTTATGTAAAAATATATTGCAAAGAGTTTTGGTACGTATAACTATTTGAACAACTTTTCCCATATGTCTCTTTAAATATTGATAAAATTTGCATAAGCAAAATACCCCTCTTATGCAGAGCTCCCCCTATTAATTTTTGCAAAAACAAATAAAAAAAAATTAAAGTGGAATGGAAATGGCGAGGTTACAGGATGGAAATACAATAACCATCATCGAATGGAAAAATTAAAATAATAAAAGTCATGCCAAAACTCTGTGCAATTGTTTCAGCTCAGTGATAAATTATGCGCACCAAAAAATTTCCAAGGAATATAATTTCAAAGTGAGTGTATGTTCATTCATTGTTTGTGCGTACCTGTATGTGACACATCTTTACACTTATTGAAAAAAGCATAATATAACCCAGTACTAGATAACATATATAAAATGGACATCTCTTTTAATGCATAACCGGTTTACAACACATGCAAGAAAATGAGCATAATACTTTTTAACGAAATGTTCTGTTTGTGCCATTTTCCGCAGAAAAATAACCTGTATGTGTGTACATTGATTTCTGATTGTATATTCCTTTTTTTTTTTTTTTTTTTTTCATCCCTATGAAAATATTGCTTCGTAAGATTGAAGGTGTGTGGGAAGTATGTAAAAAGTAGAGACTTGTTAGGAATAAGGTGACAGCAAATCCCACGTTACACATTGAATATTTGGTTGAATGTATCTGAAATGTGAAATTGCTGCGAGGAAAAGGATAAATCTTTATTTAGCTTTCGTTTATTTTGTTTGTTTTGTTTATTTTGTTTGTTTTGTTTATTTTGTTTGTTTTGTTTATTTTGTTTGTTTTGTTTATTTCGTTTGTTTTACTTTTAATATTACTTTATTTTGCTTTTCTATTTCATTATTTTTTCTTGCTCATTGGGCCATTCCCATTTTGGAGATTCAAATGTTGCGAAGTTTTAAATGAAATGCCCATGCGTAGCAAACCTTGCATATGTTTGATTTTCCCCTGAATAGCTATTTTCTTAATTTTAATTTTTTTTCAAAAGTTTTAAGATTATTGCATTGAAACTTTAAGCCCAGGAATCATGTTCCATAATTCGTGTATTCAAAAATATTTCTCCGTTGAGTAAGTGTCGGCAGAAGGAGAGTATGCATGGGTGTATGTGCGTATATATGTGTGTGAGGGGAGGTTAAAGAGTTGTCACTCTTTTATACTCACAAAACAGAAGATTATCGATAAGCTGTAACAAAAATATACGTTTTTGTTTTACACTTGTATACTGAAATGTAAAACTAAAGAACAGAGTTACTCATACGCTTTACACTGTGCGAAAGTCCTCGTTTGGGGTCCCTTCGGCTGCGCACGAAAAAAAAAAGAAGCCAAAAGGTAAAAAGGAAATAAAAAAACGAAACATTAAAAAGTATTATGGAAAATTCATAAAACTTATAAATCCTTCCAAATAGTCCAAAATAAAAAGGAAAAAAAAAAAAAAAAAAAAAAAAAAAAAAAGATTACATGAAACTTCTTTGTAGTTATTGTGCACTTTATCATTTTAAAAAAATAAAACAAAAGCATCTGATGAAACAAAAAATACTTTTACGAATCATTACTGAAAAATATAGTCGCTATTTTTTGTAAGGTTTTTTTTTTTTTTTTTTTTTTTTTTTTTTTTTTTGTAGACCTTGAAAAGTACGATCTCAAATGGTACCTTTGAATTGTCTTTTTTTTTTTTTTTTGAATATTGAAGAAAAAACAAGGTGTTGGAGGGGGGGGGTAAAAAAAAAAAAAGTTATTCTTTCCCTTTTCTTTTCCCTCTCTATGCCCCCCCCACCAATAGATGACCTCTTGATGTGAGTAGCATGAATTTACCGCAGTATAATGTGTGCCATGATAAGCATGGGGACCCTATACCCAAAGACCACTTATATTAATATGATTATTGTTTGTGTGTGCATGTTTCTATATAAGTAACATTTTACGCCTTTTTTTATTTTTTGACACTTCTTTTTGTGCAATTTCTTTTGTCCATTTGTTTGTCAATTTTTTGCTCATTTTTTTTCCCATTTTTTGCCCATTTTTTTGCCCATTTTTTGCCCATTTTTTGCCCATTTTTTGGCAATATTTTTTTCCCATTTTTTGGCAATATTTTTTTCCCATTTTTTGGCAATATTTTTTCCCATTTTTTTGCCCATTTTTTGCCCATTTTTTGGCAATATTTTGGCAATATTTTGGCAATATTTTTTCCCATTTTTTTTTTCCCCCTCCAATTCGCTATTTTTTTTTTTTTTTTTTTCCGTTGCTTCCACAGGTTTCTCCCCATTTTTACCGGAACATTTTTTTTTTTTATACTCATCCTGTGTGCAAATGAAAAACATATGTACAAAAATTGCCACTTAGGGGAAAAAATTGAGAGTGTGAAAAGGTACATATGTTACACACATGAATATAAAAAGAGTGTGCATGTTACTGCACACACAAATATGTATATATATATATGTATATATATATATATATATATATATATACAATGTGGATAGGGGCACTTACGAATTTATGTGGGCAATTTTATAAATTACATACTTCAAGCAGTATATAAAACATATTTTAAATCACATGTTATACAAGAGAATTATCTGAGGTTCATGTGCATGTGCATGTATGAATATGCCCATGTTTTCTACATCATTTCTAATTGCTGCATTTTCATGACATTCGAAAAATTCCATGTACTCGATTCCCCCAATTATTTATCCTGCATTTCTGTCCTTCGATGAGATAGCTAATTCTTCTGTCAATAGGTCAGCTACTGGGTTTTTGCTAATTCTACCTCCTTAGAGCAACAAGGGAGGGGAGAGGTGGTGGTATGCACACCTGCGTCTGTATCTACGAACATACAAATTTGTGCACGCCTGTGTGTAGTGTTTGTAGTGTGTGCAGTATGTATGCATGTATACATGTGCAAATTTTTTTTTTTTTTTTTTTTTTTTTTTTCCACCTGACAGGTCATATCCTTTTTTTTAGCTACTCCATTCGCCGTCCCATTCTGTCGCCCCTTAACCGCCGCTGTGTTACGTAACATGAAATGGGGTGTAACCATAGCAAAGGCGTGCAGGAGTTGAGAGGCAAGAGTGGGAGTTACTCAAATGAGGAGGGAAAAGGAAAAGATGGGAATGGAAACAAATGTGACGAATTAGCAATAAACCCAGGGATGTATGTACGAAAGAAAGAAGGGAAAATAGGAGAGTCATATTTTAAAATAAGAAAATTAGGAAGTGGTGCATATGGAGAAGTTTTATTATGTCGTGAAAAAAATGGACATAATGAGAAAGCAATAAAAGTGATTAAAAAATCTCAATTTGATAAAACAAGATATACAGAATGTAGAAATAAAAGTAATGAAAATGATGAGAATATAAATGAAGATATATATAATGAAATATCTTTACTAAAATCATTAGATCATCCTAATATAATTAAATTATTTGATGTATTTGAAGATAAGAAATATTTCTACTTAGTAACGGAATTTTATGAAGGAGGAGAATTATTTGAACAAATTATAAATAGACATAAATTTGATGAATGTGATGCAGCAAATATAATGAAACAAATATTAAGTGGTATATGTTACCTTCATAAACATAATATTGTACATAGAGATATAAAACCTGAAAATATTTTACTAGAAAATAAAAATAGCTTATTAAATATAAAAATTGTTGATTTTGGATTGTCTTCTTTTTTTTCAAAAGATTACAAATTGAGAGATAGATTAGGTACAGCTTATTACATTGCTCCTGAAGTTTTGAAGAAAAAGTATAATGAAAAATGTGATGTCTGGTCATGTGGTGTTATTATGTATATACTTTTATGTGGATATCCACCATTTGGTGGTCAAAATGATCAAGACATAATCAAAAAAGTGGAAAAAGGAAAATACTATTTCGATTTTAACGATTGGAAAAATATAAGTGATGAAGCAAAGGAACTTATAAAACTTATGTTGACATATGATTTCAACAAAAGAATAACAGCAAAGGAAGCTTTAAACAGTAAATGGATCCTCAAATATGCTGATAATATTAACAAAAATGACCAAAAAACTTTATTTGGAGCCTTGTCCAATATGCGAAAATTTGAGGGAAGTCAAAAATTGGCTCAAGCAGCAATTCTTTTTATTGGCAGCAAATTGACAACTCTAGAGGAACGAAAGGAACTCACCGATATATTTAAGAAACTTGACAAAAATGGGGATGGCCAACTTGACAAGAAGGAGCTAATCGAGGGATACAACATCTTGAGAAGCGTACGTCTAGCAGAGGCAGCAGAGGCAGCAGAGGCAGCAGCAGCAGCAGCAACTGAGGCAACTCCGCTACTGGGGAAATTCTACCCATGGCCCCTCCCCCATACTTAGGGGAATGGGGTCTCCATAATGCATTTCCAATATGTCACTCACGTGTTTTCATTTCTTGCGCTACTATCACTGTTCACCCCATTTTATCAACTTTGCAGTTTAAAAATGAACTGGGTGAATTGAAAAATGTTGAAGAAGAAGTAGACAACATCTTAAAGGAAGTGGATTTCGACAAAAATGGATACATTGAGTACTCAGGTATGCATTTCACCGCTACGTTAGCAATTCACCGCTACGTTAGCAATTCACCGCTGCGTTAGCAATTCACCGCTACGTTAGCAATTCACCGCTGCGTTAGCAATTCACCGCTGAGTTAGCAAGTTATGCGAGGTGCAGCAAGTAACTTTTTGTTGCACATCATTTGGCCCCTTATCCGGCACATCTTTTTCCCCACGTGTAGAGTTCATTTCCGTTTGCATGGACAAGCAAATTTTATTCAGTGAGGAGAGGTTACGTGATGCCTTTAATTTATTTGACACAGACAAGAGTGGGAAAATAACGAAGGACGAATTAGCCAACGTAGGAAAAAAAAAAAAAAAAAAAAAAAATTAACCAAATTGGCGAAATTGGAGAAACGAATCATAGCTAAGGGAAAGGAAAAAGAACAATGTTATGAATTATGCTGCCAAATGACCCGTTCCTAATACATACTCAGCGGCTCATTCATAACTTTTTTTTTTTTTTTTTTTTTTTTCTAGTTTACACAGTTTTGAACACGCATAAAAGCTGTTGTGTTCATGTTATTACAATTTTTATTGTCTCTCATTCCTGTTTTTGTATATGCTCATATGTACACACATGTATACACAAACATATAAAGCGCGAAACTCCCCCACCCACCCCCTTTCAGCTATTTGGATTAACATCGATAAGTGAAAAAATGTGGAATGACGTCCTTGAAGAGGCAGATAAGAATAAAGACAACATGGTAAGAAATATTAAAAAGTATCAAATGAGGAAAAATATGAAAAAAGAAATATGGAGAAAAATTTTTTTCCTTGTTCAAGTCTGACACAAACCTAGAATATCCCCTTAATCCATTCTTTATTCGTCATACCCTTTTCTGCCCATTTATATCTTTATAACTCTTTTTTTTTTTTTTTTTTTTTTTTTTTTTCTTTTTTCTCAGATTGACTTTGAGGAATTCGTGTCTATGATGCACAAAATATGTGACCACAAAACGCCCTAAGGTGCAGAAATGAACGGAGACTAAAGGGGACCAAAATGAAAAAAATTTGGCAATTTTGAAGTTTTCCCCTTATTATACTTCGTCATTTTTACTTCGCCATTTTTACTTCGCCATTTATACTTCGCCATTTATACTTCGCCATTTATACTTCGCCATTTATACTTCGCCATTTATACTTCGCCATTTATACTTCGCCATTTATACTTCGCCATTTATACTTCGCCATTTATACTTCGCCATTTATACTTCGCCATTTATACTTCGCCATTTATACTTCGCCATTTTTTCTTCGCCATTTTTTCTTCGCCATTTTTTTTGTATTTATTATTTCATTTTGATTTTTTTTGATTTATTTTATTATTATTTTTTTTATCACTTTTTTTGTGTGCCTTTTTTATTTTATCCCCCTTCCAAGCACTCCCGCGCTCCCTCACACCTCACACCTCACACCTCACACCTCACACCTCACACCTCACAAATTTTTAATCCAATATATTTTCTTTCTATCGTCATTTCGTACTTTCTAAGGCCATTTCGTTCTTGCCTTTCTTTTTTAAATTCCCATATGAACAGTTTTTTTTCACATTTTTTCCATATATAATAAATTTTATTTAATAATTAAGAAAAAAAAAAAAAAAAATCAAGGCAAAACAAAAATGTAGCCATACAAAACAGAGAGAGAAGGAAACGATGTGTTTATTTTTTTTTTTTTTCTTTTTTTAGCAATGTTTCCTAAGATAGTTGCTAAAGAAGAGGTAAATAAAAAAATGATTTGAGAAGGTGTTCAAGATGGTATAAACATCATTTCTATAATCCCTAGTTTGTCTGTGTGATTCTGACCATATGGGGGTAAAACAGACAGGACGACGGTTAGGTATATCTGTGCAAACAGTCAAGACAAACAAAAAAAAAAAAAAAAAAAAAAAAAAAGAAAAATATTCAAATAGGGAAAAATGAATAAAAAAAGGACAGAGACATGAGGGATAATAAATCCACCTTCATACTGTCTTTTTTAAGCACAAAAAAAAATATATTTAACAAAGTCAATCGGTTGTAGGGAGGCGGCAAAAGTGGTATTAACGAGACCTCGTGGGGTTATGTAATATATATATATATGTACGTACGTACGCACGCACGCACGCACGTACTTAAGGTTTATGTGTGTGCTCATTATTCGGGGAAGCAGCTCGGGTTTATGGGTATTGGTGGTCGTGGTGGTGATCGTAATTAGCACATATTAACAGTGTGGTAAAGCTTATTTACAGACTTGTGAAAAAAAAGATCATCTGCATTTGTCTTTGAAATGTTATTATTTTTGTTTTTACACAATCTGCATATCTCTTCATAGAATAAATTATATATATCATTTTTGTCAATGTTTTTAAAAAGTTTCATTTTATTTTCCTTTCTGACTTTTATTTTTTTTTTTTTGTAAAAATATTTTTTCTCTTTTATATAGATATCGGTACTGCTGGATGCATATTTGTATTCGACTAAATTTGGGTATCTTTGCATATTTCCATTTGATGAATTTTTTCTCCTGCTGATAGTAGTGTCTTGATTATCTTTCAGAATTTTATTTAATAAATTTTCGCTTTCATCTGATTCGTTTGGGCGTACACTATTTTGGATATCCCCTTCATTTGTTGCATCCTTGGGTGTGTGGTGGTCGTTTTCACTATATCCAAATTTATCATATGAACTCATAACATCATTGATAGATCTCCCCTCTTCCTGCAGAACTTTCTCATTCTCTTCATCATTGCTCATTCTATCATTTGATGGATCCCCATCTAAGTCTTCATTTTGAAATGCACTACTCTTACTGTTACTGTTATTGGAGTTGGAACTGTTAGAAGTGTTGTTATCCTGATCGTTCACATTTTTTTGTAAATATTCAGAAATAATTTTCTTTTCCATTTTCTCATCGTAACTTAAATTGGTGTATTCAAATGTTCTATCCGTTTCGCGCGTTAGAGAGTCATTTATTTTTTTTACCAATTTTTCGTAAGATTCATCGATGAACATTAGCTGTATGTTTTTGCGCAGTGCATTGTGAAAGATCTGAACAAGCAATGGAGAAAAAAAGGATGCAAAAGGTGGGGTGGGGTTTGGTGAAATATGAATAAATTCTGTGATGTACGAATGGAACACACGGACAAATGAATGAACACGCGAGGCAAACTGAAGCAGAAATGAACGGACATGCGAGGCGAACTGAAGCAGAAATATGTACGGACACACATGTAATTTTATTGAGCGTCTGACTGATTTATACAAATATATTAAAAACTGCTTTTCCACACGTGTCAAAACACACTCAACTAGCATGGGAAAAAAAAGGGCATCGGGGATAGATACATCCCCATTTGTGCACGCTTCTATAAATAAAGCTAACTATTTTTGCATCGAAGCCACATTTCTGCCATTCGCTTTCAGAAAAGATACTGGCCTCACTCCTAGAACAGAATTCGTCGTCCTCAGTGGAGGAATAAGTAGAGTTGATAACACTTATCCTTTGTGAATTGATAAGAGAATCGAAGAATCCATCACAGGAATATACTTTTTTTACTTCCATTAAGAAGTAAAAGGAATCATAAGAAATGGCATATTCTGAGTTGTAAAAGTATAATTTATCATTTTTTAAAACCATCAGTTTTCTCTCAAATTGATCTTTGGTATTTTTTATGTAAACCTTTGTGCAGTACTTTTTTTCTTCCTCTGTCATGCCGAATGGGCCACAACCACCACTACCATCGCTGTTACTGCCTTTGGTAGCACTACTTTTTTTATTTTTTTTTTCCTCAAAATCATAGCTGTGCACACTACTAACGTCACAACACAAAGACTCCGGATTAGCCATGGTATCTAAATCTTCATCACTTTCGAGGTAAACTTTTTCTGCCAATGACTGCTTCGACGTGACACTAATATTTTCAGATGCGATGAAATTACTTTGTGAAATTTTTTTTTCACTTTCGAAATTGTTCATAATTTTTCCTTGGCTAGCTAAATCGTTTTTTTTGACTGGTTCATTTTGTGCCTGATCGTGTTCATAATTTTTTTTTCCCACTTTTTCTGATCTCTTCGTTATTTCCGCTATCTTCGTTATTTCCGCTATCTTCGTTATTTCCGCTATCTTCGTTATTTCCGCTATCTTCGTTATTTCCGCTATCTTCTTTCTTTCCGCTCTCTCCGTTATTTCCCCTTGTAAACCAAACTGGTCCGTATCAACACTGGTGGGTCTGTCATAAGGAACGTTTCTATCACAAACGGATTGTATGAAACTATATTCTTGGTTTGCACACACCCCCAGGTAACAATTCGAGTGTTCTTCTCCATCCACCTTACAGGTCAGGTTAATCTGGCCAGTTGGACTGCGCGAACTGAGAGAACTGAACAAGCTGCAAATGGCCTGTTCTAGAATATTTTTTTTCAAACATTCTGTTGTTTTTTGATTTGTGCTCTCAGCGCCGTAATACTTGGTTTGTGAAATTTGCGAATTCTGACTGTTCAGAAGGATGTGATAGTTGTGTTCATTTGTTTTGTGCATAATATTTTCATAAGGAAATTTATATTGTTGTACAAAATTGTTAAAATTTATATCGACTCGTTTATTTTTTATGTAGAAAAAAAAGTGCCTATTTTTTAGAGGGTAATGTATTAATTTGTCTGGAGGTAAAGTGAGAATATTTTTTATATACACAAGAAAATTAATGTATTTATTTTTAAAGAAATCCTTACAATTTATTTCATTTAATTGATTGTATATTTTGATAAAACTACAGGTATCGTATATTAAAGTAGATTGGAAAGTTTCGAAATTATTTTTATTTACTCTTTCCTTTTTTATTTTATATATATAGCTTTTAATTAAATTTTTCAGAGTAACAGAATAAAAAAGGGTAAAACAAAATTTTTTTAATCTCTTTTTTAAACAATAATATGTATTATGTTCGAATATTTTCTCCACATAAGAATAGAGCTTCAAATCATTTATGCTTTTGCTGCTACGTATTTTTTTTATCACTTTCTTGAAGATATTTTTGTAAATTACTTCTACAAAACTTATCAGTGTGTTTACAATTTTTCCCTCCATATGTCTGAATTTCTTTCTTTTCTTTTTTTTTCTTATTCTTTTAGAAAAGTCGCTTTCCTGTTGTTGAATCTTCTGTCTTTCGATCACGTTGAATTCGAGTACGTCCATTTGGACAACCTTGTCTATTTCGCAAGGTGAACCTGCTTCAGGACTAATTTTTTCGTATTTGTCTAAACCGTTCGGTTTGTACACTTTAAAATTAGCATTGTACTTTTCTACATCATCTTCTCGTTTTATTTCAGATGTGCAAGAGTTCTCATTCGAAGGAACTACAGGTGGTGTCGTCTCTGAGTTGATTGAAGAATGAATATCACAAGGACATGGTTCATTCATTTCAGATGTATTTTTTTTGGGGGATAAGCAGTTTTTTTCTGATTCGAATGTACTACCAATTTTGTGCTCCGCATCATCATGAGAAGTTTCATTTTTAGTAGCTGACTGTGCATATTCCTTGTCAGAATATATATTTTTTGAATAAATATATAAGCTATTTACAAGTGCACATAAATAATCATTGAAATAACTTTTTATAAGTAAAATGAATTTATCTTCATTCTTATATTTGTGAATAAAAAAATGGTTGTATTGCATATCTAGGATGTCAATTTTATCTTTGTACATTTTTATTATTTGACACGATTTTTCCATTTCATCATTTTTTCTAAAAATGTCACTGCTTTCTTGTGAAGATAATTTATTACATTCATTTATGCGTTTCTTAGTCACCCCTTGATAATTTTCACTTGATGAACTTGTCGAATTAACAGAGTTGAAGGAAAATGAAAAGGAAGAATATAAATCATTTGTTTTTTCCTTTTCAGCAAAAGTGTTATATAAACAGAAATTTTCGAAAAATGAAAAAAAAACAAAATTCTCATTAACTGAATTGGTATACTTGTAAAAGCTGTTATGTAAATGACTAGAATCTCTCTTATTGGAATTGCACCAAATTGGGTAGTAGTTGTATCTACGATTGTCGATATTTCCTCTGTGGGACATAAAATTTTCATTTTTTTTTTTCTTGTTACATGTGTTATTGTTGTTATTAATTTGTAGATATTTGAAAATGTTGAGCGGTAACATATCCTGCTCTGTTATCAAATTATACAATAATTTATGAAAGAAAAAAAGAAAAAATAATTTTAATTCTTCGTACAAATTGACTAATGGGCTTATATTTGATTTTTTTATGATTTCATCATACACGTCTAGAATTTTTATAATGTCAATAAATATTGGCAAAATCAGAAAGGTTTTTTTTTTCTTGATAATTTTTATTTCACATTCGTCTATGAGCATCCTTTTGATAGTGAGGTACGTGCTGAACCTGCAAAAATTTTGTATGATCATATAATGTGCATATGGATTATAATGATTGAGGGAGCATATTCAGATGATAGTAGGAAAAAACAAAAGTTCGTTCCATATCATCAAACGTTAGTCATATTCTCGTGCTTTTTTTTTTTTTTTTTTTTTTTTTTTTTTATAGTGCATTAATACCAACACAAAAAGTAAGCTTCTCATCTCTGCCTTACCATAACATGGAGTTTATTTTGTTCACATAAGATGCGCATAACACATATATATTGTCAAACAAGTTCACATTTCGAATTTCGAATTTTTTCAGTATAATATAAAGTTTGTAAAAAAAGGCCAAAATTACCTGAACAGTTCATAAAAAAAAGTAATCAAAAATGAGTAATTTTTTTCCATTTTGGCTATTTTTTTTTTTTTTTTTTTTTTTTTTTTTTTTTCCTTACTATGTTATTGGACAAGGAAATAAGAAAGTAATGATTATTCCACAATAAAACGAATAGGTGGAAAACCTAAGATGGAAGAAGGATGAATATTTTTCAAATGAACAAGAGGGAGTACGTCGAATGAGGGGAAAATAACACAATACGATCATATAGACATGTAGTAGGTACATGAGCATATGTACAAATATGTATGTACATATGTATATGTATGTGTTACCGGCTGAAAGTAAATTTTGTGAATTCGCTTTTTTCTGCCATAGTGGGAAGAATTCATGTTCATTAGGAGGTTCACTCCTCGACTTATGTAACTATCACAAATATCTATAAACTGAATGAAATTGAAAATATGTGTTTTTAGGTGTGCACATAGCATTTTATGCATTTGTGTAAATATATATTGTTGCAATGTGAGGCAAATTTGTACATGTGTGTTTGTGGTTGTGCTTGTTTGTGGTTGTGCTTGTTTTTGATTGTGCGTGTTTGTGAGTGTGCGTGTTTGTGAGTGTGCGTGTTTGTGAGTGTGCTTGTTTGTGAGTATGCTCATTTGTGTGTTACCTTTTGAATTGGTATAATGGTGTAAGGCAAGTTGGACAGCGTGTTAAACAAAAGGAGAAGGAAAAAGTACTGGTCAATCTGTTTTTTCTTTTTATAAAGCTTTTTTAGCGTAACGGAATTTTTCCCAAATATCTGAATGAAGAATTTCTCATTTTCATTTTGAACTTGGATTTCTTCGAAGTATAAGTTGCATTCTATGGAAAGCTTCGGATAACAAAAAAAAAAAAAAAAAAAAAAAAAAAAAGTGAAGGAGTCAAGACATGACTTATAAAAATGGGATGAATTTGTTCTACAATGCTGATGCAAATATGCATATCTGTATAATTCACATAAATTTTTGTGAAATATGATAAGCTATTCTGGCATCAAAACTATACAACACTCAAAAATGTTGACAATATAAATAGATTGCCAATTTTTTTGACGAATGAAATATTTATCTCCATTTAGATGTTTCTCCCTAACCTTTTTAAATTTATGCAGTAGATATGAATACGCTTTTCGAGAAGACAAATGTCTTCTCTTCTTTTTGTTTTGATCATGTTCTAACTTCTTTTTAAAAGAACTTTTGATATAACTGGAATTTAGAAAGGAGTATAGTTGTGAAAGGTACTTATTTTCATTGCTATCATTTTTGGTTTCTTCAGTATAATTTTTTTCTTCTGTCATTTTTTTTCTCCTCCCTTTTATTTTTTTTTTGTTTTTTTACGCGTATAAAATTATAATGGAAATTTTTATTTTTGAAGCCACATAGATCTCTAAAAAGATGCACAAAGTGGATTGTCAGCCAGGCTTTGTAATGTTCTCGGTAAAGGTATAGGCTGTGTGATTATTTTGCATTTTTCCCTTTTGTAAAAAAAAAAAAAAAAACAAATAAATAAATAAGCAAACAAGCAAGCTGGCAGATAAACAGAAAAATAAAGAAACAAACTAACAATAAAATAAGCAAAGCAAAAGTGGGATAGAACGTTTTGAAGTTTAAACTACCAGTCGAATTACAACTCTTAAAGGGTACAGCAAAATTGTTGTACTATTTTTCACTTTTTTTTTTTTTTTTTTTTTTTTTTTTTGAGGTCGACTGGGAGCCCTGCTTGGAAAAGAGTCGTACCGAAGTCGTAAAGAAAAGAGACCAAAAAATTGCGCAACGAAAATGCAACGCAACAAAAAAGTATAAAAAATGGGCACATGATAAAATGGCTCTTAACCTATTTGTAATTTTCGCTGGCATGAAAAAAAAAAAAAAAAAAAATGAGTACCCTTACAGAGGAAAAATTTCAACTAATGCTTATTTTTGAGAAAAAAGTTAAAAAAAAAAAAAAAAAATAAGACGAATTCCGAATGAGTGTAATTTCCCAACTACTGAAAAAAAAATACGGCTAAGCACAATTCTGTATCAATTGGAAAAAAAAAAAAAAAAAAAAATTTAATTTATCGCAAAAGATGATTTTTTTTTTTTTTTCCCTTTTCTCTTTTTTTTTTTTTTTTTTTTATGTTTTCCTATTATTACATATTCCCATCGAAATGTATAAAACACACAAAATTCTACCAAGCTATTGTTTACCGAATTGAACACACTTGGGACCTAACTCATAGAAAGAAATAATGGAAGAAACTTTAGAGATCCTCCAGATTTGAAGACAGTACAAATATAAGTAGTTGGTCACGGAAAAAAAAAACAAATTAATCAATTCGAAATGGGCTTTACAAATGTTTTCAAATGAGGTTGGGGGAAAAAAAAAAATAAAATAATAGAGGAAACAAACAAATAAGCAATAAAAAATAATATGTGTAATATCATTCCACAAGTCTCATTTTTTTTTTTTTTTTTTTTTTTCTTTTAAAAAAACCAAGAAAAAAGAATTGTCACACATCTTATTGTACATAACGTGTTAGGAATAATATATGTACCAAATGATATAGACATTTTTACATGCACATTGATAAGCACACACCTGTAGAGAGATATGTCCCATCCACGCGATGGGAAAATAAATTGTGGCAGAAAGATATGCACGACGTACATTTTGTCATGTTACCACTCAGTCAGGTAGTACATCAAAAAAATGAAAAATGTTTTTTTTTATTTCAAGGTAAGCAATGTGATTATTGCAATTTACGCAAAAAACGGCATGATATATTTGCGATTTTTCCTCTTCCCCATTTTTTTCGTTTTCGGATTTTTTTACTCTCATTAGGGTGGTTTGATCTGTTTGTTTTTCCATTTTATCCATGTGTGAATCTTTTGGGTTTTCTGGCACGTTGTCACTACTGTTGTTGTAAGCGTCTCTATCAGTGTTACTACGGGCATTACTTTTAGGGTTACTTTTAGCTTTTCTCCTAATGTTACAGTTCGTCTCTGCATTTATTTCATGCTCATGTATAATATTTTTTTTGTCAATTCTCACATTTACTGCGTATAGGCTTCTGTACTGGTTGACGTAACTTTCGTGTCTGCGTGAATGGGGAAGAATCATAAGACAGGAAAATCCAAGCGACGTGTTAAGGGAAGCACAAATGAAAAGGATGAAAATTGCAAAAATGATAGAAGTGGCAAAAATACTGTTTAACACAGTTTATTGGGAAAAAACTCCTGTTAGACATTTACAAAAAAAAAAAAAAAAAAAAAAAAAAAAAAAAAAAAAAAAAAAATTCCCGTTAAAATTAAAAAAAAAAAAAAAAAAAAAAAAAAAAAAAAAAAAAAAAAAAAAACCTTTCTCTATTACCTCTGACTTTGGTAGCAAACAGGGATGAAGCAACCGCAACAGCATAAACTGGAATCACAGTTTTTTGTGCAAAATCCTGGAAGGGCGAAAAAGAAGCATTTATGTATATATATATATGCACATATCTACATAGACTTTCTTGTAAAATGCTGAACTCTTATAAGTGGGAAAGGAACAACACTCATGATGATTTAATTACATTTTTGTCCTTACTGTATTTTTTGTTTACATATTCTTCTTCATAAATATCTATCCGTTCATCATAAAATTCCAGTGCCTTTTTTTCTTCTTCTCTGATGATATCATCGTCAAAGTTTTCTTCGTCAAAATTGGTTTTCTGTTTCTCCTGAGAATTTACATTACAATTATTTTTTGGAATTCCTACATTTTCTGCACACCCCTCCCATTGCCTATATCCCCCCTTGTTTTGTAATGAGTTTTCACAAAATGGTTCTTCACCTGGATTTTGGAACAAGAGAAAAAAAAAAAAAAAAAAAAAAAAGCGTACAAAAATTGAAAAATCTAAATTATGGTAAAAATGACCTTGTTCAGCAAGGTGTGGAAATGTGGTGTTACATTGAAATAGTATCCATTTTAGTTTGGGGGAAATTGAAAAATTGGTGATATAGTCAAATTGTGCATATATATATGTATACACATAAATATCTGCATATGTGTGTGTCTTCTTTTTTTTTTTTTTTTTTTTTTACCTGAACCGTTAATATTCAAAAAAGACTTTGCGAAATTTATGCCCTTTTCTTTGGGCAATTCTTTTGCATTTTCTGACCGTTCATTCGTTTTTATTTCATTAATCAAAAGATTAATCACATTATTTACCCGTTTTGAATTCATATGAAGTGATCAATAGTTTCGCATATAAGTGATGATATAAACAAAATATGTCACCTATGAAGAAACATGTGAATTTAGCAGAATAAAATGTGTATGAACGGTTCATAATTTTTTTTTTTTTTTTTTCTTTTCTTTATTGTTGTTTCCTCCTTTTGTTAAAAAAGCTATTTGGATGCTAGTAGTTGGTACATAAGCAATAGTTGGAATTATAGACAAATTCGTTAGATCTGTTTTTTTTTTTTTTTTTATTCCTTATTGTGGAAGGGGACTAACTTTCATAATTACAAATTAACCAATCTAAGCATGTTTGTATTATGTTTTTTATTTTATTTTTGCTCACTTTTTTCATAAATATTGGATTTCCCCCCCTTTTTTTTTTTTTTTTTTTTTTTCTCACTTTTTGGGCAATATATTTTTCCCTCTTTACCTCTTTGTTTTTGCTTTTCATTCAAAGCATAGACCTGGTACTTTTTAAAAATCAAGGAATCAGTGATCCGTTTTAATTATAATACTGAATTCGTTACGAGATTGTAATAAAATTTACTCCTAATTAAAAGTTTTACATTTCCGTGATGTTGTTAAAGGGGGTGAACACTTTCTCGACAATTTTAAAGGATGTCTAAAATGAGAAGTGGAAATGTTTATAAGATGAAAATTTACTTACAAATGGGTTGGGAATGTGTATAAAAGGGGTAATAGAAAGGCAAGATAATTTTTATGCTATTTTATTTACTTATTTATATATTTATTTATTTTATTTTTTCTTATTTTTTTTACTAGTATGAATGGTACATGAAGAACAATGATTTATTTTATTCACATGGGAAGAAATAAAATTATTTGTGCTTCTCTTCTTATTCAAAAATTATAAAACATTTTCTCTCCTATGTTTAAAAATGAAAAAAAAAAAAAAATTCATTTTTCAGTTTCCACTTTTCTGGTATCCCTTCCACCATTCAAAATGTAACGCTTTTTTTTTTTTTTTTTTTTGTGTAGACCATATATATTACTACAATGTACTAAAGGTTACTTATTTCAACCCTGAGATTGTCACAAAATAATTTATCTTATCACAAAATGGAACATTTAAATTTTGTTTTTCACATTAATTGAGGTCAAAAAAAAAAAAAAAAAAATAAACGATAAAATTATTCTTTATTTTTTTTAAATTTTGAAAGAGTTGCTCTTATCGAAAAAAAGAATCAACACATTAGATTATATAGCATATAAAAAAACACCGATGATAGTTGTATAAGAAGAAGGAAAAAAATATATACCTTTCCTCATCAGAAGCTTAGGAAAAATGTATCTGGTTTTCTTACCCTTCCCCACCCCCAAACCTGAACCGCTTAAAAGTGTGAGATACAGATATGTGGCATATATATGACAAAGCACCAGAAAAAAAAAAAAAATATAAAATAAAATAAACAAGTAAAAGGGAGTAGGGGTTTAAAAGGGGGTTTATTTCAAATAGCACGACTCGAAATCGTATATAAAAATTGGCACTAGCAAGGACCAAGTGTTATTCGTCAGCATGAACTATAAGCATACTCTTTTTATCATTATATTGTTTTTTTTTTCTTCTTCACTGTGTAGTAAAACTATTAACATAACCTGCCTTCGTTGCTATATCTGCATCCCCACTATCTTTGTGAGGTGCATAAATTGATCATGTACATTTTTATATAATATACTTATAACATAAAGCAGGCCATATGTAATGCGGGATTATATATTGTAACCTGAACTTTGAATTTTTTTTTTTTTTTTTATATTAAGAATTGATAATTTTTAAGTATCATATTTTATTGCACAATTTTATTTTAATTACATTTTTTTAAATTTAGTTACATTTATGTTTATATATATTATTTTTCACAATTGTGAAAATTTTCGAACCCTTGATTATATTCCCCTCACCCAAAGAAATATTGCAAACAAAACGAAAGTTGTAAAACCTATTCGCGTCGCACTTGTATACGAGATAAAGGCGAGAAAAGATTGCTAAACCTTTTATAAGCAAAATTTTGAGTTAAAAATATTAACAGGTAAGAAGAAAAAAGAGATGAAGAGGAGAAATGTTTTACCCCCCCCCGCAGTCATGGCCTTGTAAATGTGCCTTCGAATATGGGGCCATATGTGAGCATACATGTATGCAAAGATGAAATATGGGAAGAGGTGTTCATAATGAATGTCATAAAGAGATATAGAGATAGAGAGATAGAAAGTTAGAGAGATAGCGAGATATAGAGATAGAGAGAGGTGGAATGTGACATGAACAAATGACCTACATAGTCACGCTTAAATATATGTATGAACCCTGAGTCGCGAGAAAGGGATTTAACCTACATCGATGTAAAAAATATGTTGCATATTTACATAGTTCAATCTATGTGATTTGGCACTTTGTTTTTTTTTTTTTTTTTTTTTTTTTTTTGTCATTTTATTGCCTACTGCCCCTGATCTTTTTTGCATTTAGCCAAGATGCCAAAGAAACGCAGAAATGGAGGAAGATCAAAACACAATCGAGGCCACGTAAACCCCTTGAGATGTTCTAACTGTGGAAGGTGTGTTCCAAAGGATAAGGCAATAAAAAGATTCAATATAAGAAATATTGTTGACACGTCAGCACAAAGAGATATAAAGGAGGCCTCAGTTTATTCAACATTTCAACTGCCGAAATTGTACATCAAACAGTGTTACTGTGTCTCATGTGCTATTCACTCTCGTTTTGTGAGAGTAAGATCAAGAGAACAAAGAAGAGTAAGAAAGGAAACATCCAAGCATGTTAACCCGTCGCAGTTATAGAGTAGGAGAAGGGGAGAATCTCTTTTCATATCCTTCGCTTCCCACCCCCTTTTTTTTTTTTTTTTTCACAAATTTATTATTCCCATCACTGCTGTATGTATATATGTACATATATATAATAGCACTATGCGTACACACTGTTTGCATACATTTTAATCATTGATATCATGCCTATAACTGAACGACGAAGATTTTTTTTTTTTTTTTTTAAGGAAAACTGTTGAAAAAAACTACAAAATTAATCATTCAAATGTAAGGATAAAATAAATAAGTAAAAGAAAAGTTATTAACACATTTATAACTTGGCTCAGAAAGTGGATATTTACAATGTTCATCACGTTCACATTTCTGTGTTCATGCAAGAATTTGCATTTGCATATAGTAGTATTATTTCGAATTGATGCATTTGTTTTTGTTTTCTCTTTTGCTTTTTTTTTAAACACTTCTTTTTCTTTTCAGTTTCGCACGATGCAAGTAGAATTGTGTGATATGAAAAAAGGGGAAGAATGTTTTTGTGGAATAATAATTCCTCCAAGCGTGTGCATATTTTATTTATAAAAATGCGTTTGAATCAAATTCATGTGGGGCGGTTGTACAATGAAGTCGAAGTAGTAAAAGTAGTGGACGTGGTGAAAATGGCAAAAATGGCAAAAATGGCAAAAATGGCAAAAATAGCGAAAATAGCGAAAATAGCGAAAATAGCGAAAATAGCGAAAATTGTTTTGCACATTGCTTTTTGTGCAAATTTCCTGAACAAGTCATACTTTTTTTTTTTTTATTGTACAATTTGGGGGTAAAAAAAAAAAAAAAAAAAACTAGCTCTATTACACTCGCTAATGTATACATATATTTATATACATGTACAAAAATACACAAGCACATGCTTCGATGCTTTATAAGGAAGGGATGGTGAATTATTTCAACCCTTTCTAACAATGATGATTACAGAAAACAAATAAATGTGGTTACCAGACGTGATAACTATATATATATATAACCCACACGCATATATGCACACAAAAAAAACAGTCGCTAAGGCAGCAACTGCGAACGGATGTACCCCAATAAGTATAGTTTAATCTCTTCTTCAGACAATGGAATAAAGGAAATTTCTGAATTATTTTTAAAGGATATGTCAAAAATGGTGGTTAAGTAGTGTGTATTTTTTTTTAAGTCAAAACAGTAGGCAGCAATTTTTACCTGAATTTTGTCGGCGTCACAATAGACCACTTTTCCCCTAAAGGATACGACAGAATTGTAGGGAACTGGTAAAATATATTGAATTTCATTTATTTCGATGAGAACTGGGTGGGAAACAAAATGCTTGATTATAGTCATGGCGTGACAGAAAGACATGTAAGCAAGGTGTCCACCAAAGGTAAAATTATGAATATTTTTAAATTCGGATGATATAAAATTCTTCGATTCTATGTAAGAATCTTTGCAATAAAAGATATTTTTTCCTGTGTAGAATGCTAAATTATTTGTATTTAAAATGTGTCCGATAATTGGTATGGTATTTTTCTGGGAAGCCAATGGTGTGGATAATACTGCAGATGATTGCTGTGATGCTTCTACTACTTGACCTTTTTCACTGTTAGTCAATTTTGCCTGAACATGGTCATAATCAAAAATGTCGACATTTTGATAAACATTTTTTTGAAAATTTTTCTTTTCCACTTTACTATTTTTAAAATATTCTAACATGAAATTAATATCTTCTTGTCGTAAAAGCATATTTTTCATATCCTTGTGATTAAACAAATTTTGCACTTCCTTAAGGTGGGAAGCAAAAATACTTACTTCTTTATACCTCTCATTATTGTGTGAATTGTTCACATGTATGACTTCTTGTGGTTTAAATGTTACGCTATTTATATTTACAAAAGTTGTGTATATATCGAATACAAGATTATTTTCTTGAAAAAAGTCCAGTTTTAATATGTAGGACGTATTTCCTGAATATACAATGTAACAATTAATGGTCAATGGTTTTTGCTCATGCAAGGAAAAACAAAACTCGTGATGAATTTTGTTCTTTTCATATATCTTCAGATTATTAAAAAGGACTGTTACAAAGTTGTATTTATCGTTTTTCTTGTATCCTCCCATGCTGTGTTTGTACACAACATCTGCAGCTAGAGTATCTATTATTTCAATGATGTGTTTATAGAAATAAAACCTTTCGAATTCATTCAAAACGGGAATATTGAATTGAATGAAGGAGTCCATGAAATTTGTTCCACCTTCTCCTCTATGTCCGATTTCTGCATTTCTTGCGTTTGTGATTATTTTCTCATTTGAATTATTTTTTCCTTCTGTATTATTTCCTACCCCATCATTGAATGCTTTTCCATGTCCTTTATGAATACATTCATTTGGTGAAGTATCAGTTATGACATATTCTGTGTCATCTCTACTTTTTTTTCCATTTACAACCTTGATTTGGATATTCTGTGTATCTATCTTGTACTTATGTTTTAGCATAAGAAATGTTAAGGGGCAAGTTTTCTCAATTGTACTTATGTTTAAATTTTCCCCTGAGAGATGAACATAAACTTTATCTTTCCTTAGGTTCAATGTTTTTTCTCTAAGAGCTTTAAATGTTTCATTGTTCAAGGAATCTAACTTGATGGGCATTTTTGTTGATAATGTCATTTTTCTTAAAGACAAAACTGGGATGGTTTTACAATTCGTTAGTACTTTGAGTGTTTGCATAAATTATTTATTTTTTTTTTTTTTTTTTTTTTTTTTGCTTTCTCTTTTATTTATTTTATTCTTTTTGTGCTGACTCGACCCTTCTGATGAACACAACATGTAGGGTTTGATGTGCACATGTGCATGCGGTATGTAAAATTAGGTTCTCCACTGCCCCGATGAGATGCTAGGTACAGATACACATCTATATGTATATATATGTACACACGCTGGTGCAATATTTACATGCTGTAGCACTTGAACATATGAATGAGGGTAAATTTGTTTACATTGTATTTTTTGAAAAATGTGGACAACTAAAATTGCTTGCGTCTGTGATATATGAACTGAGTAAAGTTGGTGTGAAAATTATGTAAGAACATGTTTAACAGAGTTAGTTCAAATGTAAAGTTGACAACAAAGGGGTAATAAAAAGAAAAAAAAAAAAAAAAAAAAATTAGTCCCAAGATAAATGTTTCACAAAATAGATGTAGTTTTAATTATTCGATATGTATTGGTTAACAAGCCAGAAGTCCGAGAAAAAATTGAGCACACTATTTTTTCATAAAAAAGAAAAAGTACAAAAAATCTGAGAATGTGTAAAAATAGGGGTAGGTGGGAAAGAGTAAAATCAGTCAATGATGAAATTATATGCCTTAATGAAATACATGTACATAAATGTATGGATCCATCGATTTTATATCCTGTTACCACTTTACTTTAAAATGATAAGATTTTTCTGTGAGCATCATTTATTGTTCATCTTCATCCAAGTTAGAAAATATCATTGCTTCATGTGCATGAATTCATGTACAAGCTTTTGACACTGCTGCAAGTTGTAGCGATTCTAATTATGATTATCTCATTGGATTAAGGAATTAATGATGTGTTTTTTGTGTGCGTGACAGGGATGTTTTTTTTTTTTTTTTTTTGAGGGTTAGCAAGAGGGTGAGAGAAATATATGTATATACCTACATGAATGCATATATATCACGGGTAGCTAATTTTTTCTTCATTGCTGCACATTTCTACATATACGTACGCATTATCATCTCATATATACAAGTTCACATATATTTACACTTCCATATGATGCATAAGTTGGGAGTACAAACCTTTTATACATACATAACACGTACATACATTCATGTATGCACAGTTATATGTATATACATTAATTTATGTAACTCTTTATGTTCACTATTTTTTAATGCCCCTTGTGTGATAAACCTAACAAGCACAATCTTGTTTGATACTTAGTTTAGCAAGTGTACAAAGAGCGGAGGTGGAGGTAAGGTTTAGTGACGAGAGTAGAAAAAAGAGATATAATGTATTTTACATAAAATTTGTGTATGCATCTAAATGAAGCAAAAATTAATTTTGAGAGATCATATAGGGGAAGGAGGTTAATAAAAAATGCAAACAAAAAAATGTGCTTTTGTTTGTTCATTAGTTCATTACTGTAACGGAGAATTTCCAAAAAAAAAAAAAGGCACATTACAAATGTGCTGAATTTGTAATTTTATGTATAACCAAAAGGAGGTGAAGAAAAAAGAAAAAGAAAAAAAATATTATTTTTAGGGCTCACCTATTACAATAGAAATAGGTCCTAACGAAAATGTAGTTCCCTCAAAAGTGAGTACTCCATTCGGTGTATTTTTAACTATTTTTAAAAGAAGAAATTACTTTTTTCTGTTTTTTTCGTTAATTACGCGTTGAAGTGTTTCCCTGTATCCACTAAAAATGTCTACATGTGTATGTAAACATATACATGTGTACTTATACATATGTGTGAATTTTTTTTTTTTTTTTTTTTTTTTACGTCTTTTCGCTTATACCCTTTAAGGGAATTACGGCCACTTGTGTTTCCCATTTTTACATGTTCAATTTAAATGTGTATCAAAAAAAAAAAAAAAAAAAAAAAAAAAAAAAAAAAACTACTTTGCATTCTTGTGGTGTGCTGCTTTAAAATGATTCCCATCACTTAAGGCTTCCTTTTTCAACTGATATAAATTTACTCATTTAAATTTGTTTACACAAAAATTTAAAAGAACAAAAGTAAGAGAGTGAATATTTAATATCAAAACTGCAAAGCAGCATCATTTCTGAATATTCACATTTCTTAGTTGGGGTAAAATCGCGCAGGTATATTTTATTCCAGAAAATTCACTGAATTAGGAAGAAAAAATAAAATAAAATCTATTTAATCTACATTTTTTAGGAAAAAAACCTGAAAGAAAATTTCCCCAATCAAATTAGGTGAGAATATGTGTAAACATGTGGGGCTATTCACATGCATACATTTGTACACACTGACATAAGCACACCCCCAAAGGGGATCATTTAACAAGTAAAATATTAGCCTCTAACAAAAAAAAAAAAAAAAAAAAAAAAAAAAAAAAAAAAAAAAAAAAAAAAAAAAAAAAAAAAAAAAAAAAAAAAAAAAAAAAAAAAAAAAAAAAAAAAAAAAAAAAAAAAAAAAAAAAAAAAAAAAAAAAAAAAAAAAAAAAAAAAAAAAAAAAAAAACACAGCTCTGTGTGTATATAGACCTGTCGAAATATCAACAGGAACTAAGCAAAAAAAATTTATCATAACAATTTTTAGTTCCTTACAAATGATGCCAAGATAAATCCGTAACACTCGGCACATATATACATATATGCATGTACGAATAAGCAGTAACGTTACAAAAATGTATGAACAAGTCAGAAGTTACAGACAATTATGTGCCTATAAAAAGAGCTGTATGATCGCAAAACGCACTATTTTGAAAAATTTACCTGAACAAAATTGAGAAAAAAAAAAAAATTACACATTTTGGCTAGTCAACCCATTTTCGAAGCAATTTGCGCACATTTTAGGGGTCTTTCACACCTGTGATCCGATTATTCCATCGCGGCGCAATATGTTTTTAAATGCAAAATATACACATATGTACGTATGTATATACATATGCTCGTGTGTGTGTATTTTTTCGTTTCATTCTCAAGCACCTTTTGAAAGAAACGTGTATTGCACGTTGCACATTTTTATGTTACTTTCAACTCGGATTCCCTTTTCCTGTTTTATACACCATCACAGACTTTGAGCCAAGGAACTCGTGAAAAAAAAAAAAAAAAAAAAAAAGAATATAATATAATATAATAGAACAGAATAGAATAGAATAGAATAGAGATATAAAAAGGAACGCAATGGATAACCTACCGTGGGTGGAAAAGTATAGACCAAAGAAACTAGACGACATTGTTCATCAAAGTAATGCAGTGTCTATGCTAAAGGAAGTTGTAAGAACTAAGAATATGCCTCATTTAATATTTCATGGGCCTCCAGGGACAGGTAAAACATCAGCAATTAATGCTTTAGCACATGAATTATTTGGAAGGGATAACATAAGTGAACGAGTACTAGAGTTAAATGCATCAGATGATCGAGGGATAAATGTAGTTAGAGAAAAAATAAAGGCATATACAAGAATAAGTATAAGCAAAAATAAAATAAATACAGAAACGAATGAGACATTGCCTCCATGGAAATTAGTGGTTTTGGATGAAGCAGATATGATGACAGAAGATGCACAGTCAGCATTGAGAAGAATAATAGAAATATATTCGAATGTGACAAGATTTATATTAATATGTAATTATATACACAAAATTTCAGACCCAATATATAGCAGATGTTCATGTTACCGATTTCAAGGAATTCCAATAAATATAAAGAAAGAAAAATTACTTTATATTTGCAAAAGTGAAAATATAAACATATTAGATGATGCTTTGGATAAAATTATCGAAACAACACAGGGAGATCTTAGAAGAGCCGTTTCTATTTTACAGTTATGTTCATGTATCAATTCTGAGATAACTCTTGATTCTGTTTTAGATGTGGCTGGTTTACCAGCAGATAATGTAATTCTAAAAATTATAGATGCATGCAAAATGAAGGATTTGAAATATGTTGAAAAGGCTGTACAAGATATTATCGAAGATGGTTATGACGTAGCATATATTTTTAAATCCATGAACAATTATTTTGTTATGAATACTGAATATCAAGATTCTGTGAAGAGTCAGATTCTGCTGGAGTTGTCGAGACATGATTATCGCTTGCATAGCGGTGCAACCAAGTACATCCAGCTGATGAGTTTTGCTTCCTCTGTACATTCCCTGTTGAATGTGGCTTAAAAGGATTCAAGCAGAACACGAGAAACGGACAAAGTGAAAAACACAATAATTGGACGCAAAACGTAGGAGTGAGACATATCAATGATAACCCATATTTATCGATCGAAATAATATTGTGCATGTGGTGTAAGTTGTCATATATAGGATAATGGGGGAGATATTCTTCGATTGAAGGATCCATCCAAAACGGAAATTTTTGCGTTCTTCTGTTTTGAAGGAAAATTTTGATAAGGTCCAATTTGGGATCTTTTTAACAAGCCCATATTTGAATGCTTATTAATTTTTTTTTTTTTTTTTTTTTTTTTTCATGTCAAAATTTTTTAATTATCATTCACTATTAAAGTAATTAAAAATGAAGATTTCTTCTTTTTTTTTTTTTTTTTTTTTCTTTTCTTATTTAAAAGGCATACAAATTTATGCACCTTTTCGTCCTTTTACTTATAGGTGTATAGTGTGTGCATAAGTTGAGAGACTTGTCTATTTACTATGTTGCAGTGATGGTGTAACTACATTATGGTGAAAGTTACCTGTACATTGGTTATATACTTTAAATAATGTAGTTTAATTGTTATGAATTTTTTAAGACAAAATGTGTTTCAACGTACGTGATTCTTTGGGAATGCTTGGGAATTTACACCAAGTCGAACATGCTGAAAAAGAAAAAAAAAAAGAAAAAAAAAAAAAGAAAGGTTGGCATGAGATGATAACATGGAGAGGAATAACCTACTTGAATAATCATTATTATATTCATTTATTTTATTTATGAAAAGGGGCTAAATGTGGTTAATACATGCGTAAGCACAAAGCAATTTTGTGTTAAAGTTGTCGCTCGGTCTTATATGTATGCATGTGTGTGCAACTTTTTTTGTGCGTGTGGGGTTATTGCGTGAAAAATATGTACATTTCTAAAAAATTTGTTTTATCACATTTTATTTTTCCCCCTGTCTTCTCTTATGGGCTTATTTACTCCTCCTCATGGCCATTTCCGTTCAATGGTGTCGGGAAATAAGTGCAACTCAAAATGTAAGTCAAAATGTACGTCAAAAAAAAAAAAAAAAGGCCCGAATGTGGGGTTCACATGGCTGGATGAAGATTGAGGGAGAGCATGGAATTAACTTATGAAAAAAATTAACATTGTGGTAAAATTGCGAATTGGAGAAGAAACCATTTTTGTAATGTAAAGGTGGTTGAAAATGAAGACACGCAAACATGAAGAAGATGAAGAGGGAGAAGTACCATCTTTGTGTTCTGTCTCGTGTAATTATAACGAATTGGTGGATGAGATCAATGGAAGTGAAGTTGCTTACAATATGAATATCCTCATGAAAAGGAAGCATATGAATGAAGGGAATTTAAGAGTAGAAAATGAGATCAGTGTTTTAAAGTATGCATATGAAATGATACAGGAAAAAAGTGAATTAAGGAAAGAACAAATGAAATTGACAATTTTTAGCATGCTGAGATGTTTTGACTTTTTTAATGATATGTTATTTTTTTTGAAAATTTTTTATGAACATTGTGCATGTAGACAAAACAAGAATATAGAACATGAAAACCTGTATAAAATAATAACTATTTGGTTATTTTTTTTGCATATTATTTCCTTTTTCACTTTTCATTCCCGTAAATTTTTTATTGTGAATATGATACCAGAGGAACATAATGACTTATTTAAACTTTTTGCAGTGTTTAGAAAAATTAAATCTATCCAGAGTACAGAAGTTAACATTTTGCATTTTTATAGCAGAATTGAGAAAAGTTATATTATAATAAATAAATTTTTTGAAGATATTCCTCAGTTTATTTTGTTCCTCTTACACATTTGGCTTAATGGAGAAGACACCATTTTTTTTATTTTTTTTATATTTTACTCTATTTTTTATGTAGCCTTATGTTCGTTTACCCATGTGTCCAGCTATCCTCGGCTTTTCTCAGTGTTGCGCTCTCGTTTTGCTTACCTACCGGGGTAAGTTTCCCCAAGAGTATTTTAGTTCTTTTCAAGGTGGTAGCGATGGGGATAGTGGAAGCGATGGGGATAGTGGAAGCGATGGGGATGGTGGAAGCGATGGGGATAGTGGAAGCGATGGGGATGGTGATAGCGATGGGGATAGTGATAATGATGGGGATAGCGAGGTACCTTATCACCTTTTCATTTCTCACGTCACGTCATTTCCCTTCACTTCTCTCCACTTCTCTCGTCTCCTCTCATTTTTAGGGACTCACTTATCGAGCATGACGCAGCACCAACTAATAAGTTTTTCTGTTTGTATGCATGGGCTGGTAGGAAAAATTCCGCAGAAGCATAATTGTCTGTGTCATTTTTTTACGTCTATCTTTTATTAGTTCTCCATTACTCTTCAGCACGTGAGTACTATGCCTTTTTTTTTTTTTTTTCTCCCCCGTTATTTTTCCTCATTTTTTCTCCCCCATTTTTAGTTTTTTTTGTATGGTCCCTTTTAACACTGACAACGAGGAGGTTCGCTACCGCACCCTGGATTTTGCGTAATGGAAAAAAAAAAAAAAAAAAAAAAAAAATGAAAACAAAACCATTGTAATTAATTCTCCTTACCAGTCGTAATACAGTACAATACAGTACAATACAATACAATACAATACACTTGATTTTTCTACCCCTTTCCCCCTCCCCCACAAACACATACACGCACACATAAAAAAAAAAAAAAAAAAAAAAAAAAAAAAAACCTATTCGTAGTTATACACATGCAGTTTTGGATTTTTTCTCTTATGTCACTTATATTCCTATTGCTCTTTCTTTATTTCCACTTTGATGACAAACAAAACTTTTATCTAAATTCTTATAACAGTTTTTGGAGACAAGTGTAGACAGGTGAAAATATGTGTGATGATATTTCAAACTACAGAATGGTAAAAAAAAAAAAAAAAAAAAAAAAAAAAAAAAAAAAACTAAGAAAAGTTCAATACATGAAGAAAATTTCTCTTTGGTTGATTTATTGTGGCATTTATTCAATGTTTCTACAATCAGGAGTTTATGTTAGCTTTGTACTTTGGAGCCTTCAGAGGAGAGAAGTTGGGGAGTGGGGGTAGTAAACTGAGTGTGCTTTTCCCCTCTCTCATTATATCAATTTATGTACATATTTTTTTTTTTTTTTTCCATGCTTATTTTGATTTTATTTTACCTCATCCTCTATCTCTGAATATGCACTTATCTATGTGTATGAACAATTTTTTGAAGCCAGACCTAAATGTCCAGCATTAGACTTACCAATGGTATTATATATATATACTTCATGGAGGTAAACATTTTTCATCATTTTTTTTTTTTTTTTTTTCTCAAATTCGTTTGTTAATATATAAACAGGGATATACACAAAAAAAAAAAAAAAAAAAGAAAAGAAACCAAAAAAAAAAAAAAAAAAATAGCGAAATGATGGATAAATGAAGGAAAACAATAATAAAACAGTAAAGCGTAATTTAAATTGAATATTAATGGTCTGTGAAAAAAATTGGGATACGCATAAAAGTGTGCATATAATACATATATATGTAATGCACAGAACACCATGTAAAATGGTTACAACTGATAAAACATTAAATGTAAGTTCAGAGAAAAACGCTGATCTCTTTTTTTTTTTTTTTTTTTTTTTTTCTGAGAATAGAACACAGTGTCTTTCTGAATATATACAAAATGAAAAGTTGTGTGAATTTTTTTTTTTTTTTTCTTTTTTTTTTATGCGATTTGCACAAGCTTAAAATATACACATACATATGTGTCGAAAAAAAAAAAAAAAAAAGAAAAGAAAATTATATTAAAAATCAACAAAAAATTGTAACTACACTTTGTGAAAGTGTAAATATACTGCAGAATCATGACCATTCAATTTAAAGGAGTTAATCACTTGGGGGTGAACAAAAAAAAAAAAAAAAAAAAAAAAAAAAGAAAAGAATAGAAAAGAAAAGAAAAGAAAAGAAAAGAAAAAAAGGAAAAAAAAAAAAGGAAAAAAAACTTCCTCATGCCCTTTCCCCCCATTCAGTCAATACAAAGAAGGAAATTCGGCATCATACCTTTTATTATTTTTAAACGTGTTGGTACCACGATCATATCTTTTTTCATATAATGATATGTCTCTGCAGTATTCTAATTCGTTCATTACACACAGCTCGTCATTGTATTTCTGATTGACGTTATTCACTTGTCCTGTTTGGCCAATCTGGTTGACCTTGTGCCCATCCATGTAAAAGTAATCGCCACTTGGCATTTGCCCATTTTGATCATAAGTAAGGTATTTTCTGTCTTCGTCATTCATGTCTAACTTTGGAGTGTACATGGAGGTATTATTCATATTTATCGAAGCAGAATTTATGTCATGTTTCATTATTGTGTTAGGTCCTTTTTCCGTAACATTTATTGGATTTTTTTTTTTTTTTTTTAAGGCATTTTTTTTCTTTTTTTTTTCTCCTTTCGTTTCTACATTATTCGTAATATCATCGGGTTTTAAAGGAAACATTTGTTTTCCTTTTATATTTGGACATGTGTCATTCGTATGAGCTATTATATTTTTATCTTCAATTATATTGATTAATCTGTCATTTGGATTGTTATCCTTATCGAATCGCAAATCTCCGTTATGTGGTAGTAGTGTGTCTATATGCTTTTCTCCTTCCTCTTCTTCATGTTCCCATTTGGGTATCCTTTTTTTATTACTGTCATCATTTTGTATTTTCATAGGAACAGTAGAAGTGTACATATTTTTACTACTCTTTGCATCACTTAACGGGAATGGCTCATTTCTATTCTGTAAAACCAGTTTTGCAATATCACACGAGTTCTGTTCATATAATAATTCGTTTTTTCTTCTAAACGGTTGCGTCGTCATCTTTGTCTCTTGAATTTGTGTATTTTTTTCATTCCTTTGGTAATTTGATTTTTGGTTATTCACTACTCCTCCCAGGGTACCTGCATCAGTTGTAGCAAAAATCACAGATGTTTCTACAGATGAGTTGGCATTATTCCTCGATGTGATGGTAGTGGTGATGTTAGTTCTGGAAGTTGCATCCATATTGGGACCTAGAGAAAATTTACCCCTTGAGATATCTTTTTTCTTCGACCTGGTAGTTTCTCCTCCCACCATGTTAACTGCAGGAGAAACATGCATATTCATCATGCCTGGAGAAAAGAATTCAACACCCGGGGTTATTAAATTCTGTGCATCATCTGTTCCTTTCTTTTCTGTGCTATTATTTATACGTTTACACATTTGTGATTTTTTATTTTTTTTTTTGAAACTATTATTCACTTTATTACTCAGAGTGTCGTAATGATTTCCTTCCATGTTTGTCACCATGGTATTCACTTGATTAAACACATCGACATGTGTCATACTCATTTGATTATTGTGTTTCGTATGTTTGCATGTCGCGTTTCCATATGTATATCTGCCTTCTGGATTACAATTTTGTGGGTCAAATGCATATACGCCCTTCTTATGCACCTCGTTTGGATGTGCACCGTTGAATGGTGCACTAGTGAATTGTTCCCCACTGAATTGTGAAGTTGCGAATTGTTCCCCACTGAATTGTGAAGTTGCGAATTGTTCCCCGTTGAATTGTGAAGTTGCGAATTGTTCCCCATTAAATTGTGAGGTCGCGAATTGTTCCCCATTAAATTGTGAGGTCGCGAATTGTTCCCCATTAAATTGTGAGGTCGCGAATTGTTCCCCATTAAATTGTGAGGTCGCGAATTGTTCCCCGTTGAATTGTGCACCGCCTCTCATATTGTAGGGAGAAGGGCTTTTCCCCAGGGTGTCGTGAGTCGGTAGGTTTCCTTTTGTTAAATCTACTCTTATTCCATTATCTGCCATTTGTGCATTCCCTGCATTTAGACCATTTCCCTTGGCACTGAGGAAATTATTCCTATTCTTGTTATGTGCATAAGCATTCACATTCATTTCAGTGGTGAGAGGTAAACTAATTCCAGATTTGTGGAAATTGTTCTGGTTTTGAACATCGTACATATAACTGCGATATGCGGGAGTTTGATTATTGGTGTAGTAACACGGGGGTGGAGGTGGTATATCTTTGGTTCTATTTACTGTATTCATGTTCATATTATTCTGTGGGTAAAAACTATTAGTATTATTATTTGGAAATATGCTATAGAAATTGTTCGCATATGGATCCTTAATAGATGCAGTATGAGGGTCATTCATAAGACCAGGGTAAGGGTTTCCAATTGGAGTTTGGAAATGAGAAATTGGAGGTATATTTTGAGGAATGTTTACATCATTTCTAAATAAATAATCATCTTGATTTTTTAAATTATTTTTTTTCTTTTTATTAAAATTGGAAAAAATTCTTGCGCGTATTTTATTATATTCCTTTTCTCTCTGTTCAAGTGTCTTTTGACATGTATCTGGATAACAATTTTTACTACCATTATTGCTATATCTTATGGGATCATTTTTATCTACTGCATTCTTTTCATATTTCAATTCATTTCTTTTAAGTAATGTGATTTTTTTTTTTTTTTTTGGCCATCCTTCTTCTTCATGTTTATTATTGTTATGTTCATTTGCACTTTCTGAAACATGAGGATCGATTTTACATTTTTTCCTTTCTTCTTTATCTCCCACGGTATTACAAATTATATATGTTTTTCTTTCCCCATCATCTATGCTTCTCGAGTATATTCCACTTTTCAGATTATCCCTGTCTTGATGGAGCTGAATATGCTGACTCGAAGATTTCTCTCCTTTCGAATCGTCTATCTCGTCCCACGAGTCATACTGAAGATTGTTCTGTTCTTTTGTAATACCCTTATGAGTTTCATTGTGGATTTCTATCGGCAGGGACGAATTGTTTTCGCCCCTGCTCATCGTATTGTTGCTAGCATTGATTGGAGAGTTGATTGCAGATTTCGCTGCATGACTGATTGAAACATTAATTACATCATCGGTGTTGTCCTTTTTCTTTTTTTTTTTTTTCTTCTTTTTTTTTTTTTTTTTTATTTCCTTCAAATCGTCCAAAATTTGTGAATCCCCACCTTCAACAGAAGGGAGTACAACCTCCTCATCCCCTTCCACCTTGGCAGGAAATTCATCCTTCCTTTTTTCTTCATCCGTTGTTTTGTTTAAATTTATAGTGCACGCGTTTCTTTTCACCGCCTTTTCGGAATGTGTTTCGATGGATGGAACATCTGTTTGTTTTGATTTTGTGGAAGCTTCTTTCGTGCGTGAAAGGTTCTTCTTCGTAAATGTTTGGATTACAATTTTTTCACTCTTCTGACTCTTCTCACTATTCGCACTGTTCGAACTCTTCAAACCCTTTTCACTATTCGCACTGTTCGAACTCTTCAAACCCTTTTCACTATTCGCACTGTTCGAACTCTTCAAACCCTTTTCACTATTCGCACTGTTCGAACTCTTCAAACCCTTTTCACTATTCGCACTATTCACACTCTTCAAATCCTTCTCACTCTTCAACCCCTTCTCACTATTCGCACTCTTCTTACCCTCCACGTGTTTATTTTTTTCTTCCACTTTATACATACTGGTAGTGTCCTCTTCATTTTCTATGTTCGTCTTTTTGTGGGTTCTCCTTATGGTATTTTCAGATATACATTCGATTTCCAATTGATTGTTCTTCTTTTCAATTAAGGATTCCTGTTTATCATTAGAAATGTTCAGGTTATGTGTTCCTCCTCCCTCAGAAATTTCTTTGGAGCAAATTATATGAGCGTCATTTTTATATTTTTTTCCAATTTTCTTTTCTTCATCTCTCGCCTTTGAATTTTTGTTATTTTTCTTATTCCTTGCCGTTTTTTTTAGTGATATGGAACAGGATGTTTCCATTTCATTTATGTATTTTGGACGAATTTTTCTTTCTTTCTCTGTTCATTCGTCAGGCCCCTCCCCCACTTTGCATGTGAGTGTGTTCGTATGTCAGTATATTTCTGTATGCATTCATGCGATTGTGTACCTATAACTTCTGCACACTGATGTGTGCACTGTAACTAGATTTTTAATTCTTTTCTTTTTTCCACTTGTCACGCCTTATGAGAAGGAGGGGGTGAAAATATAAATACGTGAAAAAAAAAAAAAATAAATAATAAAAAAGGAAGAACATATAAAAAAAGGTAAAAAAAAAAAAAAAAATTATAAAAATAATAAAAAAAAAAATAATAATAATAAATAAAAAACATAATGTAATGAAAAAAAAATATAATTTCGGTCTCAAATTGAAGCCTGGGAAGTTGACACTTTATTTGATGAATATTTTTTTTTTTTTTTTTTTTGTTCCTCTTTAAAATATACTCGTTGATCTTTAAATAATTTTTATCACATCAGAGTGGGGAGATATAATTTGAGCCATCTGTTAATGTACACCTATTTTTCCTTTCTTTTTTTTTTTTTTTAAAAATGTGTAAATATCGAGGGGATGTGAAGATTTAGTGCAAAAAAAAAAAAAAAAAAAAAAAATATAAAGAAAAAGGAAAAAGGAAAAAGAAAAAGCGACCGCAAAGGGGAAAAGCGAAAAAGAGTTCATGTTGTGATATTTTTCATTTTTTTCTCCTTCCCATGTACGAGAAATGCTAAAAATCTCCCTGTCATGTGACGATATAAAAGAATTACAAGTTGTATTCTATTTGTGCTTCTCATTGAATATAGTTCCTAAACTGTTTAAGCTTCACTAATTGGGAACCTGAGGAATGTTTTTTTTTGTTTTTTTCACTTGTTCTGAGTAGCTCTATCTTTAATTTTGGCCTTATAATTTTGCCTCAATTTTGCTTTAAATCTGTGAATTTTTTTTTTTTTTTTTTTTTTCTTTAACTGTGAGGAGACACATTATACAAAAAATGAAACAAAAATGCATATTCTCATTTTCCATTCAACGGAAACTTCACACTCAAATGATAACAAATAAATACTTGTACGCTGTTGGTTATATGTATTCTTCGATCTCACGCAACACTAAACCTTGTTTTTTCGCATGTATGTCTCGTCAGTTACTCTCCCCTCTTTTTTAACACTTTTTTTTTTTTTCCAGCGTTGAGGGATAGATCAATTTTCACATGTACATATATATGTACACGTATATGTACACGTATATGTACATGCACATGTAACTGTTTTTTGGGAGTGTATGATATTACGACAGTGTAGGATAGGGAACATTCACGTCACACACTTTCAAACTTTTACCTCCTCCCCCCAAGTGTATCCAAAAATTCGTTTGTTTGTGCTGAACCAACTAGAGTAAATACACGATGAGTATAAATTGTGTAGAAGAAGATTATCCTACTTGAGATGGAAATCCTATTACCGTCTGAGGTATTATTTTTGCTAAACTTTTATCAATTTTTTTGTGGGAGAAAGAAAAAAAAAATAAAATAAAAAAAAACGGTTAATGGGAGGGAAAATAGGTGATAAGAAAAAAATGGAACTTTGAATGGGAAGTATAGTAAAACACAATACGAAATGGAAGAAAAAAAGAAAAAAAAAAAATTTCTCCTAAAATTCCATTCTTTTTTACGTAAAAAATATGCATGTTTTTTTCTCGCTCTTCCTAATGTAATCACGGATGTTCAGAAAGAGGTTGACAAAATTTGGGAGGTTTTCTCAATTCGGGTATTTTATATGTTTGTTTATTGGCTCAGTTTTGACCTTTCCTCCCGCCCCCACTGGGGTGTGGAGTTGTGAGGAAAAGTACACTAAACGTGGTAAAACAAGATAAAAAAAAGAAAAAAAAAAAAAGAAAAAAAAAAAAACATCACTGAAACACATTTGCTAGCATCGAAGTACAACTTTATCTTTTCCCCAAGAACGTGAACAGTCATACATATGTACATGCATATATTCACACCTGCTGCAGGAGAGGGGGAGGCGGTAGTAAACTTATCATCAGATTCTATCAGATTCATGCCTTCTTCACCCTTTTCCTCGACAATGTATTATCAATTCGGTTGGTTGAAGTGAACCAAACCAATGTATGGAAATATATAAAAAAAAAGAAAAAAAAAAAAAAAAGGACTTGTGGTGAAATGAAAGAAAGAACTAAAATATTATTAGGAGATTAGGATACCAAACAGAGTAAACAATATACAAATTGCAGGTTGTAACACTGGTGGAAAAAAAAAAAAAAAAAAGAAAAAAAATATATATAGTAGTAAAAGTGGTGAAAAAAAAGCAGAAAAATGTAGTGGTAAAAAAGTGGTGAAAAAAAAGCAGAAAAATGTAGTGGTAAAAAAGTGGTGAAAAAAAAAAAAAAAAAACAGTTTTGTGAAAATATAAAAACTTACAATTTCCATACATTTTTTTTCTTATCCTGCGAAGAATGCCACACATGCACAGACATATATACACACACACATGCACAGACATATATACACACACACACACACAACTAACGCAAATGCAAAGTGAGGTGATATAAGATGACCGCACATGCATTATTAACATTAAGACTATCTAAACTAAAATTACTATTTTGTTTTGAACCATCAGCATAGGATTCTTCGTTACTTTTGCCATTTATGTATATGCAGACATCGGACTTGTTTATAATTTCATCACTTAACCCTTTGCTTTCATTTCCAAGAATAACTAATACCTTATCATTACTTTTTATCTTTACATTTTTCAACTCTTCCAACGGTTTTTTCATAGTGGATTCATTTCTCCTGCAACCTTTCCGAATATTGAGAAGAGTGTCATGTGCATTGGAGAAATATGTAAATGTGCATTGGAGAAATATGTAAATGTGCATTGGAGAAATATGTAAATGTGCAATGGAGAAATATGTAAATGTGCATTGGAGAAATATGTCAATGTGTATTGGAGAAATATGTCAATGTGTATTGGAGAAATATGTCAATGTGCTACTGTCGGAAAATCACACCGTGGAACCCGCTCCATTTGGACAGAACCCTCATCATGCAAGTCAACACACGTGAGTATATACACATATATGTACGCATCCATCTGCACATCCATCTGTTCATGCATCTATTCATGCATCTTCTCATGCATCTTCTCATGCATGTACGAACAAAGCTGTTGAGTCTTACAGGTGCTGAAAATTTGAAACCCACAGTTCTTCATGTTATCCATAAAGTTCAGCTGAAAAAATGAAAAAAGAATGCAGTTATAGACACAACTTTTTTGTGAACATCGAATGGATAGACATTTCTCATTTGTCAGATGGTGAAACTGCACGTGTTAACAACTTATTATCTTTGTCAATAGGTTTTTATTTTATTTTTATTTTTATTTTATTTTTTTTTTTTTTGTTCTCATTTTTCTCCCTTTCTGGACGAACCATATTGTTTACGTGAAAAAACTCGAGAAATTCGGAGGAACCAACGCTGGAATGTAGTATAGGTGTGTCAATCTTAATTCCATATTTTCTTTCCTGAGGATTTTTTTTTTTTTTTTTTTTTAAAAATATAGAATCCCCTCCAAAAAAGAAAACACATCGACATATATTTCCAATGTTCATATTGTCATACACATCGTGTAAACAAACGTAGATGTTATTCTGTTTGGTTTTCACCATGTGATCTTTTATGAAATCTTTGCACTTTTTCATGGTTCGATAGTGAGTCTTCAAGATTATATCATTGTGTGGGAATCCTCCGATCAGTTGATCCATTTCTTTTTTGCTTCTCGAGTTTATTGGGATATTTCTTTCCTTCAGTCTGTCGAATATATATTTGTATGACTCCTTGCGATTTTTTTTGTTCATTTTGATATTCCGGTTTATCTGTACATGTGCATGTTTGTTTGTGCATGTGTATATGTGTGTTTTTGTGCTTGTGGCGAGGGGTAGGAAGTAGGGGGTCGAAAAAGGTAAAAAAAAAAAAAAAAAAAAAATGGCAGTTTGAACAATTATGCATTCGAATTTGGTGTAGATGCGAGTGTGTATATATTATTTCATACGCACGCTTCTTTTGCATCTACATGTACACACATAGAAGTAAGAAAATGTGTAGATAACGTGGGGTGATAGAAGAGAGAATACATGTGTGGTAACTGTCTCCCTGCTTTCTATTTTTTTTTTTTTTTTTTCCCCTTCTTACATATAGTGTACGTCACTTACGATGGCACTGTCAATGATTCTCTCATTCTTGAGAAGAACAGAACACACAGAATTTATTCCATATACATAATCTATGTCATTTTTTTCCTGAGAATCTAGAAAAGTGTTCCTTCTTATATTCACTGATGGTGTGTCCACGTTGTTGTTCAGCAGAGACGAGAGTATAGATGTTATGTTCTGGTATCCCTTGGCACGATTGGGCACTGACTTTTGTGAAAGTTTCAACTGAACATCGGAAGGTGAGAATTGTGCACCGCTCAGAAATAGAAGCGAGACATAGATGCAGCGTTTTCTTTGCATAGGTTCTGTGAGCTGGTTGAAAGTTTCCCCGGTTGGAAAGTTCTCTGGGTGGAAAGTTCTCTGGATGGAAGTGTCGCTTCCACGGTTTGACAATTACACTTTTCTAGGATTGGCACGAAGTGCAAAGGAGAAACTGAAAAAGCATAAAGGCCATAACCATGTGGTATTATTCTTTATGTGCACATGGGTTTGTATACGCAGAGATCAAACTAAAAGATTCCGTTTTTCTCACCTCATCATTGAGATGATGTCGCTCATGAACAACCTTTGAGTTGTAAATCGAAATGAGAAAAAAGGTGTAATGGGGAGGAGGAGGAGAAGAAGTGACGAATATATACAACAACACGTTATATTTTTGGAGTGAAGAAAAAAGGAGAAAAAATAAAATGGATTGTATACCTCCTATTATTGTCACAAAGAAAGTGTATATGTAACTACCACAATAGCAAGCGTTGATAACAATGACACGAGGCCTCCCTCCTCCTCCCTTTCCAATCAACTCCTCTCGTTTTGTGAAGTTTGGCCAGTCATTAGGGGATATTCACCAGATTGTTCACATTTTCAACTGCTCACATTTTCAATTGCTCACATTTTCAACTGCTCACATTTTTAATTGCTCACATTTTCAATTGCTCACATTTTCAATTGCTCATATTTTCAATTGCTCATATTTTCAATTGCTCATATTTTTAATTGGTTCTGTGCTTAACTAAGTGTATCCTTAATCGTTTATATTCTTATATGTTTTAATTTATTATTTTTTTGTTCACTTTTTTAATCCCACCGATGATGCAAAAAAAAAGGAGGAAAAAAAAAAAAAAAAAAAAAAAAAGAAAAGAAATATCAAAATCGTACAAAACTTCCAAGTGTACTATCTTTCTCGTCTCTTTTCAAACGCAAAAAAAAAAAATAAAAAAATAAGGTAAAAAAATTTATGTGACAAAAAATAAGGTAAAAAAATTTATGTGACAAAAAATAAGGTAAAAAAATTTATGTGACAAAAAATGAGGTAAAAAAATTTGTGACAAAAAATAAGGTAAAAAAATGAATGTCACAAAATTTTCAAATGACGTATCACAACAACTGTTCATGAACTCTTATAAACCGTGAAAAATATACACTACAATGTGTGGAGTAAAGCATGGAGAATGTATGAAACAAAAAAGGGGAACGATTAAAAAAAATGCAATAATACACTATAAATAAAAAGGCAAAAATTAAGAAAAGCGTTTTTCTCAAGTTACACATGTGTAACGAGCAAAAAATGGAGAAAATAGTGTCTTGACGAACATATGCTTATAACACATATATGTATGTATATTGTTTTTCCACCTCTAACCAGTGCGTATGCTTCTTTCCCCTGTGTCGCAAACTCGCAACCAACTCACTGCCAACTGGGTGACCCCTCTCTCCATCGAAATCATGTTTGAAATACATAACGGTACCTACCTACCGCTTCCCCTTCTTGAACTTTCGTCTAAGGAAGATATCTTGATTTTCCTTCATTTCGACATCAGCAAGTCGAAGGGCTTCCACAGTTTGTTCATGATAGAGGAGTACATCATTTTCATCCAAATCTGTAAACTTTTCAATTTTTTTATTTAGTTGCTTTTCTATGGAAAGAAAATTTTCAACATCATATTGAGTAACGAATGTGATTGATTTTCCGGTACGACCAGCTCTAGCTGTTCTTCCAACCCTGTGTATGTATTCCTTGCATGAGCAGATATCAAAATTGATGACTATTTTGATATCTTTCAAATCTAAACCTCTGGCTCCGACTTGCGTAGAAATTAAAATATTGTATCGATTACTTTTAAACAAGTTTAAACTACTCAATCTCTGATTTTGAGTTAATTTTCCATGTAAGCATATCGATTTTAATCCCAAATTTCGACAAAAAAAATTCAATTTTTGTGCTGATGCACATGTATTTGCAAAGATGATTATGCATCGACTTGAAAAGTGAAAACAAAGACTACAAAGGTAGGTATATTTATATTTCAAGGGGATGAATATATAATTTTCTATCAATGTACTCACTGTGCTATATTTATTGGATACCTCAATTTTTATTGGATTTTTTAAGGAAGCTTTTTTTAATTTCGCTACACTTTTCGTCATAGTAGCAGAAAATAAATATGTAATTCTTTTAGATGGTAATACAAGTAGTAGTTTATTTATGGTTGATTCAAAATCATGTGATAATAATTTATCTGCTTCATCAAAAACTAGATAGGATAACTTATTTAAATTGAATCCTTTAGTATTATTTAAATGGTCTAATATTCTACCAGGGGTACTTACAATAATATTTGGTTTTTTTGCTAAGTTTAATGACTGTGTCACTATGTCTACTCCTCCAAAAATTGTGCATATGTTGATTAATAAATTCGATCCTAGAGCTTGAAAGTGTTGTGCTATTTGTATACATAACTCTCTTGTTGGAGCAATAACTAAGGCGAAAAAAGTTTGTCTTTTTTCTTTCAACTCCTGTAATATAGGTATTATGAAGCAAGCAGTTTTCCCACTCCCCGTTTCGCTTAACCCTATAATATCTCTTTTTTGAAATGCACATGGCAATATTTTCTGCTGAATCAAGGTTGGTTTTTTCCATCCGAGTTCATCTATGCTTTGCAGTATTTCTTCGCAGATGTTAAGTTCTCGGAATGTCGCTGCTGCACTGCTTGTGTTTTCTTCTCCGTTAGTTTGACAATTTTCCTCATCTGGGTTAGATTTGTTCCCTTGATTTTCACTTTCGTCCTGTGTCTGTTCTTTCTCCTTCCCCTGCTTTTCCTTCCCCTGCTTTTCCTTCCCCTGCTTTTCCTTCCCCTGCTTTATCTTCCCCCGCTTCTCCTCCTTTGCGTTTTTTTTTCTCACCTTAATCTGTCCCTTCTCTTTCATCTTATATTCGTACTCATTATGCATTTTTGTTATGTCATCTTCGTCAAATATTTTATAATTCTTATTTAATTTTTTCTCAAAGTTATCTAGAACATCACTTGTGTTGTAGCTTTTGTGTTGCCTCATTTCGTTTTAGCGAAATCTGTAAGATGGGCTCGGATATATTCATAATTCAAATTTGTATTTCCCTTACGCTGTTAGGCTGTTAGGCTGTTAGGCTGTTAGGCTGTTAGGCTATTAAGCTGTTTTTTATTTTTTATTTTATTTTTTTTTTTTTTTTGTGTTCATACGAATTTGTCACCTTGTCCTGTAACTTTGGAAAAAAAAAAAAAAAGATCGTGCTGAATGTTATATCAGGGTTTGGCTTTTTTTTTTTTTTTTTTTTTTTTTTTTTTTTTTTTTTTTTTTTTTTTTTGTTTTTTTTTTTTTTTTTTTTTTTTTTTTAAAAAAAAAAAAAAATTTTTTTTTTTTTTTTTTTTTTTGTTTTTTTTTTTTTTTTTTTTTTTTTTTTTTTTTTTTTCATCTGTAGGATATCAAATTGAAGAAAAGTTCACATTTCAGTGGCTGGGTGGCCTGGAGTTGTCATTTATGCAGGTTATCAAAAAGAAAATACGATTTGGTAAAATTTGTATGTATTAGTACATATTTGTTCATATTTGTAAATATTTATACATGCTTGTGAAAATTCATACCGTTATTTATATATTTTGTTATACATATGCTTGGTGCGCAAAAAAATGGGACGAGACCAAGTATTAAAAATAGGGAAATTTTGAAATACAATGGGGGAAGAATTCAAAGTGTTATTTTAAAAAAAAAAAAAAAAAAAAGGAAAAGTATTAATATCTTCTCCCGATAACATAGGCAACTTTTCATCCTCATCAATATGAAATAAAATACTACGTTATTATATATTTCTCTTTCGAAAGAACAGTAGAAAAAAAGTTAGTGCAAATTTTTTCGAATCAAAGGTGTGGGAAGAAAAAAAAAGTGCGCTAGTATAAAATAGTATAAAATTTAACGCATAAAAATATAGGTGAACCATACGGAAGGGGAAATAACAAATGGGTAAATCAAAAAGGGAGAAGAAATAGGAAATAAAAAAAAAAAAAAAAAAAAACTCCTATGTCGTTTTACTTTCTTATGCTGTTTTTTTTTCTTTTTTTTTTTTTATTACCTTTTTTATTCCTTTTACTCTTTTTTTTCCCTTTCGACATTTACGAATAGCAGAACAGTAAGAGAGTGGGAAAAAAAAAAAAAAAGAACAATCACTTAAACGGATATGTTCGAAAGTAGATTGAAGCAACAAGATGTGAAGTTCAATATTTTTATAAAAAGAAAGAATTTTTCACGCTAAAAAAAAAAAAAAAAAAAAAAAAAAAATGAAAAGAAGATATAACTAAATTTCGTTTCAACATTGAAAGAGACATTGTGTACATGTTGAAAAATCAGATCTGGATATTAAAATTCCTCCTAGTGAACATATATTGCATGTTAATATAACCTTTCCCACATGGTAAGAAAAAACGAGCAAAAAATGAAGAAACAAATGGATTGTTCATTACATCCCATTATGTCTGTATTTATATATATGTACACATATACCTATGTCTGAAGTTGTTCCAACTTTACACAAACGTATGAAAACGTCAACATGACCTTAAGCAATGTCTTAAAAGTGGAGGATATTTGAACGCTTAATGGAAGAAAATACGAACACGAAAGCGAAAGAAAACGCATGTTTTTTTTTTTTTTTTTTTTTTTTTTTTCTTCTTCCCCTTCGCTGTCCCCATTTTGTAGAAATTCCAAAGGATTTCATGTGCCCACATATATATAAATAAACGCTACTCTATTTTCACATATACAAAAATACGGACAAAATTGCAAATCCAAGTTCTGTTACACTGATTTTTGGAAGAGTCGAATTGAAGTGATTTCCATTTTTGAGAAGGTTTTTTAAGAGAAGATGAAAGCCGAAACTGCAGTGGATGAAAATCGGGACAACCCCGAGGATGGACCTTTAGGGTTACTGTCCGAATGTGTCAAAGATAATGCTCAAGTTTTAATTAACTGTCGAAATAATAGGAAGCTTTTGGCACGGGTAAGAAAAAATAAAAGAGAAATTGGAGTGCCAATAAGGCACCTGCGCGAGTGCCAATTTTGTGCGCCAATTTTGTGTGTCAATTTTGTGTGCCAATTTTGTGTGCCAATTTTGTATGTGTGGATCGTATCAAATGTACCGAATTTACATGATTGTTCATACGATTTTTCGATTTTCCCACCCCACTGCTTTCCATTCGCATGACTGATAAGCTCATGTCATCTGCCCGTACTCATATTTAAACGTCTTCTTATACGTATCATTAAAAGCACATATGATTGATATACCTGAGAATGCAAAACATTTGACAAATTTTCTTTCGTTCAGGTTAAAGCGTTTGACAGACATTGTAACTTATTACTCACTGAGGTTAGAGAAATTTGGGTAGAAGTGATAAAAGACAAGAAAAAAAAAAAAAAAATTAACAAGGACAGGTACATAAGTATACTATTTTTAAGGGGAGATTCCGTTATTTTAATTTTACGAAATCCAAAGTAAAACTAGAGAAAGGGAAGAAAAAAAAAAAAAAAAAAAAAAATATTAACTAGGAACAAGGTATATATATGATCTATATATATACTATTTTTAAATTGGTACTTAGATTTAAGAAAGAGATAATAAGAGCTTAGGAAAAATGGAAAAAAAAAAAAAAAAAAAAAAAACAGCTAAAATGGGTTATATATATATATATATATATATATATATATATATATATATATATATATACATACTTGTTGCTTTTTTTTTTTTTTCCTATGAACAACTATTAAACATTTTCACCCTGTATATTTTCCATCAGAATTAAAGAAAAATTCTTTTTCTTTTTTTTCGCAAACTACGGAGAAGTTGAGTTTTATATGTGTACTTGCGATTTTCTATAAGTGAGCAAATTCATGCATACACAAATAAGGCTATAAATGCAGCCTTTTTTTCGTTATATGTAAAAAACTGTTTAAATGTTACGCGTTCCTTGTTTTGTTTTGCTTCATTCTGCTTTGCCTTATTTGGATATATTTTCCCATATTTCGATTTATTTTGTTTTCTTTCACTTTTTTCATGGCAAACATTTCAATTCAGAAAAACATCACCTCCTTTTTAATTTCCCCATTTTTATGTTTATAGTTTTGTATGCACTGATTTATTTATATATTTCCTACACCTACCCGTCTTCCTCCTCCCGGCATTTACAAAACTCTACATTGAACGATTCACAACGTGTACTTTTTGCTGTTGATTTTATTTCTGCACATGGTAGAGCATATGTACATGTACATATATATATATATATATATATACACATATATATGTACATTTATGTATGTTTTTTTAAACTGCAAAAGACTGCTTTTTTTTTAATGACAAAAAAAAAAAAAAAAAAGAAACAAACTTAAACCATTGTTTTGTTGTGAATGAGGTACCCCTTATCAATTTTTAAAAAATAAAAGTTTGAAGGAAAAATAAAAAATCGTAAAAGGGAATAAGGAATTTTTTCTTTCCCCCCCCCCTTGCTACTTTTATACATTTTTGTTTGTTTTTATCTTTTTTCTTCTTCTTTCCCCGTTTTTAATTTTTTTTTTTTTTTTTCTTCTTTTCTTATCCACAAAAAAAAACGAAGGCTTTTAAAAAAGAAAAGAGTAATTAATTAAAAATGCCTATAAAAAAAAGGACATTTCTCAAATATGTAAGTATATATATATATATATATATAAAATAGCAATTTCCATCATGCTTTTTTATATGTACAATTTTTTTCATTATGTGTATTCGTAGGAGTATAAATACATGTGTATATATTTGGCTTAAGGGATGATAATGCCCCGAATTTTCTCTTGGAAAACAAACTTAATTCAAATGTGTCACATTAAGGTTAATAATCCATGTGAATGATTCCCATGAATAATTGATTTCCTATAGCATCAATTCACACATGTTATTAACGAATAATACTATTCGTTCATATAAACCTAAAAATACAAGTTAAAACGAGTGAAAAAAAATTTATAGGGAGACATGCAAATGTATTAAGAACTCTTCTATATGTATGCTGTGCCAGGTCAAGAATTGAATTAAAACCTTTTTTACAGTATAAATCTTTCCCGATCTTATGACAAGAAAAAAAAAAAAAAAAAAAAAAAAAAAAATCACTTGTCAATAAGGAAATTTAACAACAAAAAGGAAATGGTATTGTTAAAGTCATAATTTATTCCAAAAATTTGACCAACAGGTTTAAGCTTTTAAGGAATTCCCAAAAAGTTTTATTTAGGACAAAGCAAAAAGGGGGAAAAAAAAAAAAAGAAAAAAAAAAATTATTATAAAGAGGAAACTATTAAAAAGAGGAAACTATTAAAAAGAGGAAACTATTAAAAAGAGGAAACTATTATAAAGAGGAAACTATTAAAAAGAGGAAACTATTAAAAAGAGGAAACTATTAAAAAGAGTAAATAATAAACAATCACAGTTAGAACGAAGAACAAATTTATATCTTCCTTTAAGGAGAAAAAATATCCTATTATAGTCACACGTTGTGAGAAAGTAGAGGGAGTGAAAAACATAAGCAAGCGTAATTGTGTGATATTACAGCTTTTTTGGAAAGATGGTGTATGGAAAAATTGCGTCTTCTTAAGGGAATCATTTCGTCTGCAGTAGATACACATATATAGGAGAAGGGAGAGAGAAAAAAAAAAAAAAAAAAAAAATAATAGAATAGATTAAAATATATAACGGATAGATATTACATCCCCTGAGGAATTCCAAACTGGAAGCAGTGGCACAAGACAAACACACCTACATACACGCATATATATACATACATACATGAACGATCTGCCTAAAAATGGGTAACACTAATAGAAGAGAATCGAACAAGAAAGAAGATGAGGACGACGATGCGGACGACTTTTTAAAAATAATCCAAGAAGAAACAGAGGATGTGGCAGGAATAAGTATAGAAAGCATGGATTACCCAGAGGTTTGCAATAACAGTAAGTCGAGCCCTCAGGAGAAGGGTGACAAAAATGAGATGGCTGAAACAAGTGTAAAGGGAATGGATGATGGGGTCGCAGTTCAAATAAAAGGACAGGGGATACTAGACGAGAGTTTGGTGAACATTTTTTTTTATGAAAATTATTTTAAAAATTTTTTCCATCTAAATGAGGTTAAAAAATTTGGGTTTAACATGAGCAGTGGGAATGTGGCAGATAGCGCTAATAACACAAATGGAGCGAATAATGAAGCAATAAAAGGAAAGAAGAGAAAAAGGATTGAGGAAATTATTGCTCATAATAATAAGTATATTATAAACTTTTTGAATAATAGCATGGGGTCCAAAATAGAGATAGCAAATTTCATTTCCTTTTACTTCTTTTTTCAAAACGTAAGAAAAAATGGAATAAAGGATTCAACAGACAGTAAGAAGATACATGGAAAAGATCTGTCCGATGTTCATAACATATATCTCCAGGTTAAGAATTCTAAAAATTATATTTCTTCTTGTGACTTGGACACATGCATTAGGAATTATTTATATCACATTGATAAAAGAAATTTTCCTATTTTGAAGAAAATTGGAACAAAGGAGAGATATGATGGAAGGGATCATGTGAGGAAGAAAAAAAAGGGATATCCAAAGAGATGCACAGTGCCAGGGAGGAGGGCAAAAAATTCAAAAGGTGAAGTAGGAACATATGAGGAATCACTTGCAGTAGTGGAAGAATCAGTTGAAGTGGCAGAAGAATCACGCGTAGAGGCAGACACATTGGAAAGGGACGTGCCAAATGAACTTTTTCAAGAAACGTTGAACGAATTGAAGAATAACCATGGAAGAAAAATAAATTGGGATACATACAATCGAAAAAAGAAATCAATGCAACATAGAGTGAAGATAGAAGAAAACAAAATTCTGCTTAAGCGGAAAAGTAACTTGGGTAGAAAGTGCAATGATAATTTTTATATGTACAATTCAGGGGCTCTTAGAAATATTCGGAAGGGAAGAAGAGACAACAAAATTGATGTATCTGAAAAGAAGAAAAAAAATGATATTGGTGATGATGGTTGTATGAGAAAAAGCAACGAAATTGCCTTTGCAGATGTGTGTGATAAAAGTGCATCTTCAGATGTTCGTGATGAAACTACGTCTGCACGTGCTTGTGATGAACAGGAGGTTATGTCGCTGCGTGGAGAGAAGGAAGGTGTAGTGGAGGTAACGCAGGACTCTTTGCAGAAAGAGATAAATAAAAGAAAAAGTGACAGCTCCTCGTACGCTGTTTATATTAAGAAAACATTGTCTAAGGTGTTTAAAAAATATGAAATTAATAAATATAGATTCATGAAGAAAAAGAAAAGTAGTAGATTATTATCATCCCATGTTCATAAGGAATCGACAGAGCAGATGAATTTAGGAATTTCCTTTTCCCCAGCTGGTCTATTAATTCCATATCATTTAGGAGTGAGTAGTTTATTAATTGAAAAGAACATATTGAATATGCATACAAATATAGCAGGTTCTTCAGCTGGTAGTATTTGTGCATGTTGTTTAGGTATTGGGTTGAGTGTAGACAAATGTTTTTTTTTAATTCAAAATGTGATTAGTAATGTATACAAAAATGGAAGTTATCAGAAATTACAGAATATGTTAGATGTTGAATTGAACAAGTATTTGTATACAGGTAGTTCTAATTTTTTGAATAAGCGTTTAGGAAATGTTTTTGTTGGTATCACACAAATATTACCATATTATAAGAAGCTGAATATTACAAAATTTTATGATGATAATGATTTAATAAATGCAATAATTGCATCTTGTAACATTCCAATGTATTTATCAAATAACATTTTTGTAAATTTTAGAAATAAAAAATGTATAGATGGTTTTTTTAGCACAAAAAAAAAAGATTTTGGATGTCCAAATACTAAGACAGAACGTATGATAAAGGTTTCTCCATTTGATTCTGATTATGTGGGTATTGAAAATAAAAATAATAGTGTTATTAGTCCCCATATGATTAAGTATAAGCATTTGATTTTTCTCTATTTGTGCGTTAAAAATATGTTTCATAAGTTTATAAATAATGTATGGATACAGAAAGATTATTTGTTTCTCATTCGATGTTTGAAGCAGATTATGGATATGAAGTTATTTGATTGGTATGGATTCGTTAGAAATTATTTTTTCTTCTTTCTAGAGCAACATAAGGTAGAGGAGTTAAGAACAGGAGTATCAGTGAACAATGTGGAACTGATTCATCGTCTCAAAAAAAAACTAAGCAAGTTTAATTATAGAAATGTAAATTCGACATGGATAAACCTTTTCTTGGACATCAATAGGGAAGTGTTGTCTCAGTTTAACAACTATAATTGCAAATATGTGAATTTTTATAACTTTTCTGTGTCACTGATAAATCTTATGAGTGCATATTTCAGGGAAAATCTTCATTCTGTGAAGAAGCTGAATAAAATTATTTCACACTCTTTTCAAAAATGGGGTTATTCTCCGGTTTGTATAAGCAGCATCGCTGATTGCAGAGTTGCTTCTAATGGTGTGGCCACTTCTAATTGTGGAACTACTTCCAATGATGTGACCACTTCTAATGGTGTAGAAATGGTTTGGAGGCAGCGCCTCACCCCCTCTTCGGAAAATGCATCAGAAGGAAATAAGAAAATAAAAGTAGATATGAAATTAGAAAATATTTTCCTCCTTTTGAAAAAAGAGAAATTGTTAAGAATGGAAGAGTACATATACTTTCACCCACAATTAGAAAGTGACATAATTTTATTCCTTTTTAAGGAACACTTTTCAAATGAAAATATCACAAAATTGGATAAAAAATTTTTGAAAAAATGTATACACCAGATGCTGGAAGCTTTGAAGGAGATACTTTTTAATGAGTATCTTAAGAACTGCATTTTGAAATTGCATTGTGTGAAATGTGTTCAAGATGAAGAAACGTCTGTTTTATCACACTCAAAGAGGGAGCTAACTTGTGGACGAGGAGATCACTGCACCAGTTTGGGCAAACTACAACAAAGAGAAGAGTATAAGAAGACATGTGAGGGAAGCAGAAAAGGAATCCCAGCAGAATGTTCTGGAAAATTTATTCAGCAGTGGGATAATGGGAATCTGGATAGTGGGAATCGGAATAGTGTACGAATAATCGCGCATTATTTGAAATATTGCCAGATTTACAGAAATTTTATTTACATACTTAACGAAATAAAATCTGCGAACAGTAGAGTCTTAAAGATCAACAGAAATAATTACTACAGCTTTATGAATATGAATGCGAATGATATGGGAGATTCGTACCTCTTTTTGTATCTTTACTTGTATTCCAATTTATGTTATCGGAACTTGTTTGCAAACAATGCTGCTGTGGTTGGAGGTGGTGATCATATTGACGTTGTGGATGGGCACGGTTGCTTGAAGCTGATTAGAGGTGTTCAACACATGGAAAAGGAGAAAAAGGAGAAGAATGAGAAGAAGAGAAGTGATAAGATGAATAATGAAAAGAAGAGAAGTTATATAATGAAGAATGAGAAGAAGACAAGTGATATAGTGAAGAATGAGAAGAAGACAAGTGATATGGCGAAGAATGATGTTTCTTCCCTAATTAAAGACAAAAACAGTAGCAACTGTACAGAAGCTCAGCAGTGGTTTTGTTTATGGCAAGAGGGAGGAATAGGAGGTTTTGACAACCAGGAACATGTGAAGTGGGGGAGTGACTATCAAAAGAATTTGGAAAGCGAATCCAGATCAGTAAGCTTAACGCAAAGATTTTCTGATTTATGGACTGTGAAAAAGAGCTGGAAGGAAGAGGAGCAGATGAGGGAGAAAGATTTCATTGAAAGTAGCAATATTTATCACAGAAAACTGTTTAAAAGAAAAGATGATGAAATGGGAATTGGTAGAAGAGGCAGTAGCAGCTGTGGTAGTGGTATCGGAGTGCACATCTTCACGAGTCTCAGTGAAAGAGGAAAAAATGTGAGTGATGTGAAAGGTAGCAGTGAATGTCAGGCATATGATAAGAAAGATAACAGTGGATGTCAGGTATATGATAAGAAAGATAACAGTGGATGTCAGGAGTGTGATAAAAGAGACAGGAAAGGAGGTACAAGCAACATGAATAACAACAGAAGAAATAATAATTATTCCATTTTTAAAGGAATAAAGAGTGAAGAAAAACACAGATTGTGTTTGAATTCTCTTCTGAGAAGTGATTATAAAAACTTGTTCGAGAAGACCCATTACACAGATTGTGATTATAGCGAGATTAGATTTTTTGAAATATTTAAAAATGTTGTGATATTTAATCACGATCGTGGTGTCATTAGTAAGATCGATGAGTATATAATGAAGAATAGAAGTAATATATCGAAAATGAATGAAGAAATGAGAAATGAAATTTTCTTGCACTTGTATGAAATTTACCTTTACTATAGGGACATCCTATTTTTGCAAAAGTTCATTTTTACCATAAATTTTTGCGACAGAACTAAATATAAATTTTTGAAAAAAAAGAGAGAAAAAAGAAAGACAAAACTGGTAAGTAGCGATAGTAGAGAAAATGAACGAGCAGAATTGGGGAAAGGAAAATGTACCAAATTGGATCACAGTTCAAAGGAAGGAATGGATTCACATCAAATGAAGGGCAGACATCGAGAGAGAGATGAAGCAAGTGCAGAACAGAGAACAATATGTACCAACATTGAGGAAATGCTTCTTTATGCAACCATGGAGGAGAGAGGTTTTACCGCTTCTTGTAATGATCGTATTGGGACATTGGAACAGATTCGAGAACCCCAACTGAGGTATGGAAGAAGAGAAAAAATAAGTACAAATTTTATCTACGTAGGAAAGAAAGAAACTCAAGGTGACCAGATGTCCAAGAATGAAGAATGTAATAATCTGAGCAGAGAAGCAGAACCGATTGAAAGAGGAGAAGTAATCAATGCTGAAAAAGAGAGGATGAAAAAATACTGTAGCAGTGGGAGAAAGAGATCTGCTGTTCTTGCAGAAAGAGAATGTGGAAGTGAAAGAAGAATGGAAGTGATTCAGCATGGCTGTGCTGACGATTTTGTAGAAGATGTAACAACAAATATAGACCTGAACTTTTATGACAATTATAGAACATATTTTGTTAAGAATATGTTTTCTATGAGAAAATTATTAAAAATGGCATTAGAAGGAGCAGATGAAGATGTTATAAAAAAAATATATGACATGGGTCGTAGTGATACCTATTTATGGCTTTATACAGAATATTTAAACGTAAGCATTTTTTGTTTTCAGAAAGTTTATCACTTATATGTAAAATTAGTATCTCTTTATGAGTCTCTCATTTGGATCACGAATTTGAATAAGAGGAAGAGGAAGCGACATGATGTTACCACAATGATCGGTTCAATTGAAAAGTTTTTGCTCTATGTAGATGGCAAAGCTTGTAACATATTTCAGTTTTGCAATTTTGTATATTTCGCTTTTGTTAACTGTTGCAGTGGAGGAAGAGGTAGAGACGAGATGGTGAAAACTGTTGAGAGGATGGGAAGTGACAAGATGGTGGGAGGGGACAATATGGTGAGAGGGGACAATATGGTGAGAGGGGACAATATGGTGAGAGGGGACAATATGGTGAGAGACGACAAGATGAGGATTATGCGAATGGATCGGAATGGTATGAAGAGGCACAAAGAGATTAGATCACTCGAAGGGAAAAATACTATGACATTTTCAGAGATTTTTGAGAACCCATCTCATGATCTTAGTCCAAGGGAGAAGTGGGGAGAGGACAAAAGAAGACATATAAAAATGAGACTCTCGAAAGTAGGGAACTTTTATGATGATGCATCATTTTTTGAAAAGGAGAGTCCCCAAAATTGTGAAAAATATGATAATTGTCAGACCATTTTACATCCTATTAATTGTGAGAATTTTGACAACACAATGGAGGATGCAAAAAAATTTCTCCAATATTACCACAAATTGAAAAAAGGGAAAAGGCCAACTAGGTGTTCAAAGAGGAAAACAACAAGCAAGCGGAAAGGAATGCAAAATGGAAGAAGTATGAACGAGAGTGGATTGACTAAGAGAAAAAAAGGGATCAACAACGAAGACAATTACAGGAGCAGTTGTACCTCCAATCACAGTTTCGATGCTAGCGAGAAATACCAAAAATGGTACGACCGAAGCAAAGTTCGCAAAAGGGAGAAAAAAAATTGTAGAGAAAATGGAAAAATGGAAGGGAAGTTATATAGAAGCATAAGTTTGCCCATAGTTTTGGAGAAAACTGTTTTGAGAATGCATCATTTAAAAGGAAAAATAACATTAAATAAAAATATAATAGATGGGATAAATAAGGAAATTTTGATTGGAACTCCATATGAACATATTTATACGCATTCTAATTTTTGGGTATATTCCTCTTCTGACGAAAGTGATGATAAGAGCATTTGTTGCAACGGGTTCTATATGAACAGTGCATACAATATAAGTGCATCCTTCGATTCTGCCTTTGACCATATCTCAGACGAGGCAGATGGCTTTTCTAAAATTTCAAATTTTTTCAGGACCTTCAGAAACATGGACGGAAATTTGGGTTTGTCTGGGTACTTTGGCTTCTGAATTGTTTCCGTATCAAGTCAAAAAAAGAAAAAAAAAAAAAAAAAAAAAAAAAAACAGAGAGAAAAGCAATTAGAAATTTGTGATCATAAGAAGCGTAACAACACATGTAATGTTACAATAGCTATGTTTTTACCTGTTTTGTGGTGACACACTTTTTCTCGATATATATGCTATATATATGAAATGATTGTGACATTTCCACACTTGGACATTCAAGATGTGCTTATCACATGATCTCGTATCTTGTTTTCATTCTACTTTTACTTTCTTAATTTTTTTTTGTTTTTGTTTCACATCAGAGGGGTTTAAAAAGATAATCTTTTGTTTAACACACTTTTTCATGTACAACCTCTCGGGACACGTCCAACCAATAACGTGAAATGTTAATTTGATGCTGTGTGATATTTCGATTTGTTTCTATTTATTTATGTTCAATTTGTTTTATGTGTGTGTTTTTTTTTTTTTTTTTCGTACCAAAACACACGTTATTATTTTATCACTCCCAACACTTTTTTTTTTTTTTTTTTTTTTTTTTTTACGTGTGTACGGTATGTGTAATGTTTTATATAAGCAAGGTAAAATTTTGTCTACTTTTATCTTTTTAAAAAACATTTATTTTATTATTATTTTTTTTATTTTGTGTATCCTTATGAAGGGGTACATTTTTTTTCTGTAACACCGGAAATGGTCTAGTGAATAAAGCATTTGAAAATTTTATACATTTCCAATTTTTTTTGAAGTCTACGGATGCGTAAAATATTTAATACGATATGAAAAAAGAAAAAAAAAAAAAAAAAAAAAAAAAACGATCTGTGCCCAAGGCATATACAATTATCAGTTGGGAAACAGACACACCATTTCTTTTTTGAGGAGGTCATAATAAACAAATCGCTTTTCCATTTTTGAAATGTTTACAACATTTTGTTAGGCATTACAAATTAGTTGGTTTTGTTCGCTCCCCCCTCTTCCACCCTTGGAAAATAAAAAAATTCAAAAAAATTCAAAAAAAAATAAAAAGTAAAAAAAAGAACTTGTTCTTAAAATTGGCATGCCAGTTTTGTTCTTAAAATTGGCTTACCAGTTTTATACATCAGCTTAAAATTTTATAATTCCGGTTTGTCTCATTTGACCAAGTGGGGAAAATCTTTGACAAATATCTCATCCGTTTTGAACAAAGGATGATGAGAAGATGAAAAAACGACGAAACGTAAAAAATGGAACAAAATAATAGTGTAACAAAGTATATATCACAGTGAAGCAAAAAATGGGAGTAACAAAAAACAAATATGCATACCATATGTCTGTGCATGCTTGTGCGTGTGAGGTACAACACAAGCAAATCGGATGAATATACACATGGAGAGGATACGAATTAGGAGTAGATTAATATATGGGACATTATTAGAGCCTCTTTAGTGAGAGATGGGAATGTAAATATGTACCTCTAAAACACGTTTGTATATGGAATGTCTATTTTTTCTTGGCCTGAGAAAGCAAACTGTCCAAGCCAAAGGGATCCGAGATATCTTTAATAAATTTGACTGGTTCAGTATTCTGTGTTGTTTCCATTTTTTGCAATGTTTTTTTGACCCTTTCGTTTGAAAATTTGTAAATATTATTATTCGGTTTGGAGTTGAAAAGAGAGGTGTCATAAATTTGGTACATATCATCATCATGTGAGGTTGGATTATTATTTTTGTCTTTATCATTTTCATTATTTATATTAAATAGACTAATATCATGTATGTTATTATTTTTGCTGACATTAACTTTATTTAGTGCAATTTGTTCTTCTATTAGTCTATTTTCATAATTCTTTAGTTTTTTGAGATTTTTTTCGATTCGGTATTCTCTTTCAATTTCTCTCTTTCGTTCATTAATTATGGAACTTTGTTGTGCTTGCGCTAGCCCTTTTTCTTTTCTGGCTTGTATGGCTAGATTTTTAAGAACATTTTCTTTTTCTTCTTTTTCTTTTAATTTTTTCTGTTTGATAATACTATTTCTCATTTTTATTTCTTCCCTAGCCTTTTTTTCAGCAACGTACAGATATTCACTTAAATGTGCAAAATTTTCATTTATTTCAACTTGGTTTAATTTTTTATTATCACTTTGGATTCTTTTATCTAATGGAATATTATACCCCTTGTTATTTTTCCAATTTGAAACACAAGGAGGTATTTTCCAATTTTCTTCTTCTTCTTTGTTAATTTTTCTTGTGGGAGATCTTAACAAAGGATAATCAGGTGAATTTTTTACATTTGGTAATTTTTTATGTTTAAATTTGGAAACATCTAAAGGATCTGTGCTTTTATGTACAACTTTTATGATTCTTTCTTCTAAATGTTTGTTAAGTTTATTTTGAGGGATATATCTAAAAAATTTATCATCTTTTTTATTTACTATACTTTTATTTAATTTTTCATTTAACATGTTTTCAATGTTTTTTTTGGTATTATTTATAATTTCATTTTCTTCTTCTTCGTCTGGTTTGTAAATAGCTTGTTCATTAAACTTCTCTTCTCGGTCAGTAGCATCTGAAAGAATTTTTTTTTTTCTTAATTTTTGAATTCTTTCATTTGGTTCAGTTGCCTCTATGTTATTGTTATAAATATGTACATCTTCATTTATTAGGTTATCATATTTAACGTTATTATTATCATCCAAGTATTTTAACACTACATTATTTTTTCCACTCTTGTTTTTCATTCCCATATTGTTTGGATATTGATTGATATGGATTTCTGGGTATGCTCCACCATCTCGAAAATCTTCATTAGATGTAATCCTCAGATGTTTTCTCTTCAGATATTCATAACATTCATTTTTCCCCCCTTCTCTTTTAATTTGCATTCCTTTCTTTCCTTTTGGCATAAATCCACCATTGTTGTCATTTACACATTCTGCATCTTCTTTTATTTCTTCCTCTTCCTCATACTCATAAGGGTTCCGCTTGGGTTTCGGCAAATTTCTGAGAGAACAAAAGGTTAGCGATGCACGATGAAGAAGTAGTTGGGCAAGTCTACTTCTTTATGGAAGTATACATGTATACATATCATAATGTACATGACAACAGTGCAAAAACAGATCAATATCTCGTAGGATTTTGTTTCCATGAATAAATGTGTTGTCTTTATATAATATAGATCCATAACGTGAGAGGAGGATATTTGCATTCATCTTTTCTTACCTCAAAAAATCGGTCATTTTTTTTATAACACACAGAGAGGAGTAAGATGGGGGTGACAATACTAATAGACAAAAAAAAAAAAAAAAACTCTTTTCTCTTTCGAATTTGTTGGATTTACATCCCCATTTACTTCAATTATTTTGACTAAATTTTGACACGAACAACGGGTACTCGGTGCACGTGTTGGGACATGTGATAAAAGAAAAGTAAAACGAAAATGGGTGATGCAAAACGCAATTTATTTCCACTACTCTCGTTTTTTTCCATGCCATTTTTGCTGTGCTATTTTTGTCACGCTATTTTTTCCATACTATTTTTACTCTGCTATTTTGCTGTGCTATTTTTTTTTTTTTTTTTTTTGGAAACGTGGAAACGGCATTTGCATATGTACCAAGTTAAGATACAATAGATGGAAAAATTGAATATTTTATTTTTTTTATTTTTTTTTATTTTGCCCCTTTTGGGGGAAGAGGTGCCAGGCGGTAAAATAACAGCAAAAGTGGAGAAAGGTTTAAATGGAGTTTTTAAAAAATAATAGCTGCCAGCGCATAACTAAATTTAAACGCTGAACTAATCGCTCATTCGCGTATAAATAAATACAATATGTAATTATGTATATATACACTATGTACGTATGTATATGATGCACATATTTATGTATATATATACATATATATATATATATATATGTAAATAATAACCGTGGCTGAGATGATCAAAGTGCAGTGACGCATCTCTCATCCCTTTTCCCTGGTTTAACAAAGCTCCCGGAAACCCCATAAATTTGTATAACGTTTACTACTTTATTTAAATCAGGCGAAATGTTTAAATAAGTTCGGTTTAAGAAAAGACAATGGGAGGCCTTTTTTTTTTTTTTTTTTTTTTTTTTTTTTTTTTTTTTTTTTTTTTTTTTTTTTTTTTTTTTTTTTTTTTTTTTTTTTTTTTGGTATTAATTTATAATTAATTTTTTTATATTTAGCTTTTTCATTTTAAAGTTCAAACCCTTAGGGGATTCGCCCACCTCATTAACTTATTCATTTTTTTACCTATATGAATATATTTAATTCTTCCATATGTTGGAATTATTCGGTCCTTTTAACCTTCCTAATGCTACTTTTGAAGAAAAAATTGTCAAGTTTTTTTTTTTTTTTTTTTTTTTGGTGACTGTTGTTTTTTCCCGTGAACGGAAAACGATTACTCCCTCCACCTACCCCTGTACTTATCATTCTACTTCTCTTATTTAAAAAGAGGACTTAAATTTACCAAATATTTTATTTCTCGTTTTTTTCTTTTTTTTTGGTAATTCAGTTTTTAAAAAAGAAGGAAAAATATATCATTATGTATATGTGGATGTAAACATTCGTGCATATAATATGCTACATGTTTGTGTTGTTTATATTATTATACATATACATGCATGTATACATATTCATAAAATTACTAAAAAAAAAAAAAAAAATGTAATAAAAGCAGACACCATACAAAAATTATTTGTGCCTTCAAAATAAATGGCGTATACATATGTTTATTATATATATATATATATATATTTAAATGAGGGTGAAACGAGGAGAATAATTCCATAATATAAAGGAATTAAATATATTCACATTGGTAGGAAAAAAAAAAAAAAAAAAAAAAAAAAAAAAAAGGAAAAAATTAAAGGGATTTCTCCCATGTACTGGGTACACATTTATATATGTATATAGACATGTGATAAATGCAAAGTGTTGAGGTAGGGGAAAATGTATGCTAATAAAATATGATTAATTAAGATGTTGTGACGTCTAAGAATTAAGTTACGTATGATACCTACTGTATATACATATAGGCGTACGCGTGTCCTTATGGAAAATGCGAACGTTGTTCTTATTCTATATTTTCTTCACTTGACATGTCGATTCCTTTATATGATCTCTACTTGATAATATCATCCTCCGTTTGCTTTGATTGCTCTTTCCGGTTACTATTTTTTTTTTTTTAACCTCTCTCTGTTTTCCCATGTGCGAATGAATTTACGAGTAGTCTGAATTAGGTTATTTCTCGGGTGTTCCAAATGTACATTATAACCCAGAATGAATGGGTCCAATATAAACATTTGGAAACGTCGAAAAATCTCAAAAATCGAACTCAATAACGTATACTTGCTTATTAGCTTTTTCAAAATCATATACCAGGTCTCTCCCCCACTCCCCAAAAAATAATATATATTTATTAGGGGTGGTGGTGGAGATCAAAAGTATATGATTGATATTTCTGGTAGCTAATTAATATTTATTCAATATTTTTTTTCTCAAAAAAATGTTTAAAGAAGAATTCGAAAGGAATAAAACAAAAGGAAAATAAAAAAAAAAATGTAGAATTTCAAAGCTTTTGACAAAACTTTGTATCCATAATTTTTTTTTTTTTTATTTCTTTTCCTTTTGTCTCTTCTTTATTTGCAGCATCTCAGACCTTCCTTCCTGTTTTCAAAAATTACACAAAATAGGAAGAATGAAATAATAAAAAAAAAAAAAGGAAATAAAAGAAGAAAAGAAAAAAAAAAAAAAGAAACAAAAGAAAAATTGAAGAAAATTTTTACATTTCTCCCATTTTTTTTTTTTTCCTTTTCTACTTTTATTTATTTTTTTTCTATATTTTTCTTTCCATTTTATTTTGTGTATGTATATTTGCAGGATATTTTGAGCTTAAACTCATTCGACACATATATGGGACAATAAACAAAGGAAAACAAAACAAAAAAAAAAAAAAAAAAAAACTTAAAGGCTATCCCATGCTTTATATAACAACCGATATTATACTATTTTCTTCTTCGGTGTTCACTACTCACATAATATTTATTTATGCATATTTGTACAATAAAAACACTGTTTCGATTTCGTACAATTTTTCTTCATTTCAATGGGTGTACCTTATCCATCGACACTATATAAAACAGACTTTAATTTTACAAATTGTCTTAGAGAAAATTAGAAACAATATATTATATGATAATGATACATAAGTGAGACTCTTTTTTTTTTTTTTTTCTTCTTTTTTTTATTTCTCAATTTGGTTATACCTTCATAAGTTTTCTCTAGTCTAACATCCACGTTTTATTATTTCAAAAAAATAAAATAATCCATAACTGTGGTGTATCACTTTTATAAATCATATCCGGTTATACAACAATTTCTATCACATCTTTTTTTTTTTTTTTTTTTTGATTCATCTCGTTATCTCATTTTTGGTCACTTATCAATTTTCTGCATTAACGTTACGAATTCTTACCATGCTCTCAAATCATCAACCGTGTGCACTGTTTCGACAGGAGGGAAGTGTAGAAAATGAAAGAAATATATAATGAATATATCTACACATGTAGGTATATACATGGGTGCACAGCTTCCTTAATTTTTAGCCGCAGCACACCAATCATTCTCGTGATGGATGTAGAAAAAAAAATGGATATGAATGTTGAATTCACACACACACGCTGTCACAGCACACAATTGTAAAAAGAAGGAGGATATTTTCTCTGTGATATATATGGATTGACATTTCTAAAATGTTGAATTTAAAAAGCCACCGTATATACATTTGTTATATGAACAAAATTGAAGTTAGTATTTTTTGGGAATATTTTTAAAAAATATAATTATAATAATAACTCTTCGAATCGTTCAATATGAATTTTTTTTTTTTTTTTTTTACTTAAATAAAATATAGAAATTGTTTTAATAAATCGAGTACACATATATATATATATTTATATATATATAACATTCACTTTAAAGAGTTTTCATTTCATTTTGGGTGAGTGGATGGGTTTTTTCTTTTTTACTTGATTTTACGATACACAATTGTATCACTTTTTGCATGTGATATTAAGGTATGCAACTAAGACTACTTGGTTCCATCATAAGTCCTTCTCAATCATGTTTTATAAGTTCAACAAATGTCTTTACTAATATGTATGACACAATAACATGAAAAAAAGGAAGAAAAAACAAAAAATGCAACCTTCTTTTGAATTTAAAAACATTTCAGAACTTCTTAGAGGATTGGAAAATCATTTGATCGTGAAATCAAAATCTTTCAAAAATAAAAAAAATACTATCATCATTTGGTGTTTATTATATAAGAAGGTCCCCAAAAGGAGAGTATACTACACAAATGGATCAATCATTCCATTTTTTATTTCCTTCCACTCACCCAAAATGAACAAATTTCTTTTCTTTTTTTTTTTTAAAGCCTTCTTACTTGTGATAATCCCTTTTAATATGTTTTCATTCCATCATCATATCTGGTTCTTTTGTTTTTCCCAATAATCCTTATTTTATGATGCATCGAGTACGAGGCTGTACTTGATGTGGAAACATAATGCTTCGTCAACGTTCGCCAAACACACATGGGTATAACAAAAAATAAATAAATAAATAAAAATAAATAAGTAAGAAAAGGTGAACGTGAAGTTGAAAACACAAAAATGTAAATACAAATGGGGCTTGAAAAACGAAAACACAAATCGAACTTAAAAAATAAACACACAAACAGGAGCTTACAAAACGAGCTTACAAAACGAGCTTACAAAACGAGCTTACAAAACGAACTTACAAAACGAAATTGCTAAACAAGCTCACAAAAAGTTTTACATAAATGCGGAATTTAAAATGTACAAGTTCATATAAATTTTGAAAAAACAAAAAAAAATAAAAAAATGTTTTATTCCGTATTTAAAAACATTTTTTCATTACAAAAAATAAAAAATATATAATAAATGCACAACCGGAAAAAATAATTATAAACAAAACAAAATGGAAAAAAATTTTAAAGCTTAAGAAGCAAAAATAAATGAAATTCAAAAAAAAAAAAAATAAAAAGCTTAAATAATACCTCCGCTTTTTAAGTGGCTGTTTTTTAAAGTTTATTTTTTAAAACAGTAGGAAAGTTCGAGGGTCCGAAATAAAAATGCTACCACTAGTGTACGATAGAAAACCCCTTACATCTCCAGCCTTTACAATAATTGGATAGGCAAGAAAAAAAGGAAAATTAGTAAACTTGGCTTGAGGTATATCATCCCGGATAAGTAAAATAGTAAGAACATATAAATGTTTGTAACATTTATTTGGACATTACTTGAGGGTTTGTGTCAAGTAAATTCTCCTGAATTTACGGATCTCTACATTTTATATATCATTTAAGGTGTGGTGTTCCAGCGTTCCCATTTTTTCCCACCAACACTTTTATGTCGTCGTCCCGCTTAAGGGGTGTAATGTTACAAACACAAACACGCTCTTCTACATGTGCACATATACTTCTTTATACAAATATATATATTTATATATACATCCTTATGTGGTGAAAAAGTCCTTCTGGTTAATATGATAGTGAGAAAAAAGGCGTATTTATATAAGATTTTGCTCTTTGCCAAGGAAGTAGCTAGCCAAAATGCAAGCTAGTTTATTTTTTTTATTTTTATTTTTTTTTTTTTTATTATTAGCTAGCTATTTAAAAAATGGAACAATTAAAAATGTTGTAATAAATTGAGCATTGATCGGAGGAGTGTGTGTACAAACAAAAAAAAATACAAGCATGTAGGTACTTACATTTGGACATACACAAAATATCTCCGCTTTTTTTTTTACTTTTTTCTTTTCTTTTTTTTTTTTTTTGGTGTAATGAAAACTATTTTTTGTTAAATTTGGCGATAATCTTAAATAATATCGTATTTTTTGATAAATTTACTTAATGTAGTGATTTTATTTTTTTCTCTCTACTTTGTCTGCTTGTGCAAATATAGGGACACATCGAAGCTTTGTTATCACAATTTGATGATCATTTTTTGAAAAAAGGAAAAAGGGTAGTATATTAAATTGCCAACAAAGTAGCCAAAGGTGCCTTTGTTGTGTATTAAGAACAACGTCGCTTCATTGTACATAGCAACATGATTTCATTTCATTTAACAACATCGTTCCATTTCATTTAATAATTTCACCTTGCGTGTTGGAAACACGTCTTGAGAAAAGCACTTTTGGTTTTTCATTCACGCGCGCAAAACCTCCAAACGTGTGTTTCAATAAAGTGGTAAGTATAGATAAGCGAATTACACATACACATATTTTATGTGCATATTTTGTAAGCATATTTGGAACAGATAATCTGAACATAGTAAGTTTTAGTATCATCCCAAATGGACGAAAAAATGTACGACATTCTGCTCCTTGGCAGTACGGGATATACTGGTCAAATGGTTTTGGAATACTTTTTAAAAAAATACGAAGAGAAAATATGCAATGGGGATATAAAACTTCTGTGCGCAGTGAGAAATGTTAATAAGTTAAATGATATTTTGTTAAGTATAAAAGAAAAGGAAAATATCACAAGTACTGAAAAGGTTTATAAGAAAGAATTTGATGTGGGAAACTATGATTCGATTGTAAGTTGTTGTAACTTGTGTAAGGTGGTTATCAGCATAGTAGGACCATATGCGACATATGGATATAATATAGTAAAAGCATGTGTAGAATCAAATTGTCACTATGTAGATGTGTGTGGTGAACACACGTTTATATTGAAAATATACAAAGAGTTTAACGAAATTGCAAAAAAGAAGAAACTAAAAATTATTCACAGTGCATCGTTCATTTCGGCTATTAGTGATTTAGGCACATTTATAATTCAAGAGGAATTTTTAAAAAGATATAAACAACCTTGCCCTTATGTTCGAATACGCTTATCTGCGGAAGGACGTGAATTAAGAACCATTGGAAAAAGCACTATAAAAAGTTTTTTGCAATTTAAAAAAGATGTTCAAAATGGATACAATAAGCATTACTTATGTGAGAATAAATATGACCAAGTGTTTAATGAGGAGGTGAATTCTTATTTAAATGAAAAAATGAAAAAGGAAACTTCATTTTTCGATTATGAAAAAGAATTTGGATACTGCTTTGGAACAAATTATTCACAAGCGGAAGAAGCTTACGTATTATGGTCAAACTATTTGCTTAATTACAAATATGGCAAGAATTTAATCATAAGTTATCAGCAGTATGATGCACATTTGACAACTCCCATGTATATTGTGAAGAAATTTTCTGCAATTGTTAAGAATATATTTAGTAGCCTCGTAACGTTTGTATTACAACCGTTTGGTATTGGTAATTATTTGATGGGTAAATATGTAGACTGGTTGCATACGCCAAAGACATCCCATGAATTGAGAAGAGCCTCTTGGTTGTGTACGATTGTTGGGCAATCTTACAGTTTGGACAACGTGAGTAAGGATATAGATGTAGTAAATAATCATACGGTGCATACGAAAGGTAATCTTATTAATCCTGAGCACGATACATATGAAGAGAACAACAAGACGGAGAAAAAAATATTTCTCCATTTAAGCGGAAAAAATGAAGATCCTGGATATCTCTTAAGTGCGAAAGTTATATCAGAGTCAGCACTTTCGTTATTTGAAACGGGTAAATTATTACCGGACACTTTTGGAGTCATTTCAGTTTCGGTTGGTCTTGGGCAAATCATTGTGGACAGGCTACGACAGTCTGAGCTTGGTATGCGCATTGAATTGTCATAGATACCGGGTATGGAACATTTATTTTCCTCCACGGGTTCTTGAAGCAGGGTGATATAATATTACAAAAAACTGTTTACTTAGCCCATTATATGATTTGTGTCTAACCGGAGTTTGTTCATAACATGCATGGATGCATGGATGCATGAATTCGTGCATTTATTTTATTTTATTTTACTTTAGTTTTTTTTTTTTTTGTTTCTCCATAAGGAGATATGTTTTTGTTCTTCCCTATGTACGGTGTTGCAATGTGTGGAAGTACGCGCGGGGTTCAAAACTGATGTGTTCCTTTCTTTTTTTTCCCCCCTATTATTTTCCTTTTATAGAGACATAATGTAGTCATTTATGGAGTACCAGCCACTTCAACATTTGATTTGCTTCTTTGTTTACTGTTTTTTTTTTTTTTTTTTTTTTTTTTTTTTTTTTTTTTTTTTTTTTTTTTTTTTTTTTCTTTCTTTTTTTTTTTTTTTCCGTTTATGAGCTTGCTTCATTTGATGTGGCGAATAGGTTTGTTTTTGGAGGGGAGGGGGTAAAAAAAAAAAAATGACCAACTAAAATGATCACTTTTGCAACATTTTTTTTCTTAGTAAAAAAAAAAAAAAAAATAGGACAAAAATACTTAAAAGAAAAATTGTGAAGGTTGAAAAAAAAAAAAAAAAAAAAAAAAAGGTTCACAATGAACATTTTTAATCATATCTTCAATTGTTATACAACACAATGACCTAACAAAAATTGTTGCAGTAGAAATATTTTACTCCCAGATGGTTAGTATATGCAATATTGTTTTTACACCTCAAGAAAGTAATTTTTTTTACTTCTAATAAAATTTGGATTTGACTGACTGGTAAATCTTCATGTCATCTCCATGAAATGATATGACATCGCCTTTCTCCCATTTAGTGCTTTCACATATCCCTCTCGGGTGTGGCTGGAGAAGAAGAAAGTATTATGTATTCCCCCAAATAGTGCAAAAATGATAAGTGCGTGCATAGTTAGGAACATATATATATACATATGTAAGTACAAGAATATGTATATAATATCTATAAATGCATATGTGTATCACACAAGTATACATTTTATATAGCACAGTAGGATAGCAGTTGAAAATGACCAATTGCCGGTTCCGTTTGATTAAAATTTTATGAACAAATAACACGAGGCAAGAATTTGAAAAAAAAAAAAAAAAAAAACTCCTGCATAAAATAATATATTTGATGAAAAAAACGAGAATACCTCGAAATTTTTTAATATGGAGAAAAAAATAAACAGGGATTAGCCACACAAAATTGTCAGAATGTATCAAGGCCTTATATAGGGGCACATAAAAAAAAAAAAAAAATTCCCCAAAAAAAGAAATCCCGTTTTAGTCGTATTTTAATTACGCCCTCCACCTCACCACAGTTTTTTTTTTTTTTTTTTTTCACCCTTATATTTCCTCCCTTTCTTTTTTTTTAATTTTGAGTTGCAAGAAGTAGAATATTTTAAATTAATTATTTCAACTTGGAAAAACATTTCGAGTTTTTTAAAAAAGATAAAAACAGAAAAATCTTTAAGGTGAAAATAATTGTGTTTTTTTTTTTTTTTTTTTAAGCAAGCCAAATTACTTCTCTAACGCCCTTTTGAAGTGGAAAAGGAAAAGCAGGAAATTTACGACAAAATTGTATACAAGTTTTAAGATAAATCCTTAATTTTAAGCAAAAATGGGTATGTATTATTTGCATAGAAAGAAATGTGGCTCTTTTGAAAGCTAATTCATAATGAATGTATACCGATGAATTCACAAATGCCAGAATTCTATCCTATTGTGATTTCAGATACATTCACAAAAGCATAATGCAGCACGTATATGTATATATATATATATACATGTACATGTTTGTGTTTACGTGCACATATTTACAAATACCCACAGTTCACACACAAAAGGGTGCTTCTTACATACATTGGCATAGTACCTATGATAGATTAATGTGTTAATCTGTTTGGGAATCCAAGCAGGAAGCATTTTATGCCAACTAGAGAGAATGTATCCATAACATTTTAATCCCAATATGTATACATTTAATCTTTCTTGTTAATTTTTGCACACTCACTGTTTATCTATACAAAGGGGGCGGGGGGTAGTATGAAGGATATGAGAATAAGGAGAGTGAGTCAAATTTTTGGTCTCCTTTCTCTTCACGTTTTGTATATATTTCTCTCCCGCATATGCAATTTTTTTTTTTTTTTGTTTTTTTATAGGAAAGGTACACGGATCATTAGCTCGAGCAGGAAAAGTGAAGAACCAAACACCAAAGGTTCCCAAAGTATCCAAGAGAAAAAGATTAACTGGAAGAGCGAAGAAAAGACAACTTTATAACAGAAGATTTTCTGACACCACAGGAAGGAAAAAGGGGCCCAACTCGAAATTATGAACCTGCTGTTCACCCCAGAATGTAGCGCAATGCATGCATGCATATCTATGTCTATATCTGTATATATATATATATATAGGCGTATATGTGAAATATATGAAAAATTTTTGTTACACATGCTCACAATTTTATGGAAATGCTTTTTTTCTCCCACTCTAACTGGATTCGATGAAATATGAGGAAGATAATACATTTCTACAATGTATTCAAAATTTTTTTTTTTTTTTTTTTTTTCTTTTTGGAAAGAAGAAAATTTTTTCTTATCCCATGTTTTACATACCCTTTTTGAATATAATTTTTGTATTTACGGAAAAGGAAAAAAGTTCTGAATTTAATATCCGAAAAAATGTGTATTATTGGGATATTCGAACGTAAAAACGAATAGAAGAACTATAATTGAATTATATGTTGAATTATATTTTTTAAAGAAATACTGTCAAATTGTTGAAGCATATTTTATCAATAAAAAAAATATGGTACAAATTTCGCGACAGGATTGATGGTTCATTACTTGTCCCATCACAAAAATCAGTGTTGTTATGTATGCTGTATTAAGAATAGCAAGTATTGACCTTTCAAAAATATAATGAGGAAAAGGGGAGATGGTGACGGTTTAACAATTGCTGCTGAGGGGGAAAGGGAATAATGTTTTAGTAATATAATATAAAAATAGAGAAGAGGTGCAAGAATGGAAAGGTGCACATATATATATATATATATATATATATATATGAATACAAATTAATTGAGAGTGTTTAAAATATGCGAACCGAATGGAGCATGCATGAGTAAAGGCTGTGATGTTCCATTGTTTCACAATTATTATTATATATATACATATATATATTTTTCTCATTTTAAGAAATTTGTTTTTCTCCTTTTTCTGACTTTTGTGCCTCATGCTCGCTTTAATTTTTCAAACTTGTTCTTTTATTTTCCATTTCAAGTATATTCCTGCGTTCACGTTCCTTGGCTTCGTCAACTTGAGTGATATTATTTGTTTCATTCGATTTGTTGTAAAGGTGCAAAGCCAAGACAGCAAAAAGGAGTATGTAAAAATTTACAGAAAAGAAAGTTATATTTTTTTCAAAGGCTAAAAAGTTCCACATATCGTGATTGTTGTCATTTGTTTTATTTCCCAAGTTTGATTTTGATTGAGGATTTTCCTTTTTCGCTTCATCATTTCTGTTTGTTGAATGGTTGCTATTGCTATTTCGAATGGTGGAAGAAAATTTTGCTGATTTGCAATTAATTGTTCTGTTTAAAAAAATCGTACTTTGTGGCACTTTTATTTTGAGTAGGAGTTTGATGATCATGCTTTTCTTTTAAGTCGGTGCGATGAGGCAATTAGGGGTGAACTAAAAAAAAGGCGACGTAAAATGGAGGAGAGCAAAATGGAAGAGCAAAGTTACACATTTGTGAGACGGGAATTATTCTCATTTAGTCGATTCTCTTTGCACACGGAAAACTTTCTCTTTACGGCATTTTTTTTTTTTTTTTTTTTTTTTTGTTTTGCACCTTTTAGGGATGATAAAGTGTTAAAAAGACGTAACTAAAGATATGATCGAAAATTATGTGCATATTTTATGGAAAAGAAAATGCATGTGAAAATGTGTCAGAACATTATTCGTATTTCGCACAAATGTGTATGACCATGCAGAGGGGGTAGAAAAGATTAGTTACTACCTTATGCAGAAAAAGAGGGGAAAAAAAAAAACAAAAAAAAGAAAAAAGGAAATATTCGACGTAAAAAAATGGGTAATAATATTTCAGGAGGCATGTCAATATGAAAAGGTGAAAAGTAAAATTAAGCAACAGAAAAAAAAAGAAAAAGCATAACAAGGTTGTGTATATATAATATTCACTTGTGTACGTAGAAAATGTACAACTGTTAAAAGTTAACTAAAACGAAATTGCCTTTTTTTTTTTTTTTTTTTTTCGATGCGTAAAAAATCAGAATTGAGCAAATTGACAAAAATGAATGGATGCGTAAAAATGAAATTAACAAATCGATGGAAAAAAACGAAACGCATGTAAATTCGATTGAACTCGTTCACTTGAGCAACCATCATATGGTCATGGTTGTTTTGTGAGGTTAATTTTTTGTGAGAAATATATGTTATTTATTTATTTATTTTTTTTTTTTCACTCTTTCTTTTATTCTTACGTTAGCCCTTACTCGTGCTCATACACTTTTTTGCTTTTTGTTTTTTTTTCTTTTTTTTTTTTTTGCGAAAGTAGAAAAAGAAAAATTTCCCTTTTATACATACATTCGTTCATTATTTTCATACTTTTAAATGTGCCATAAGACCACCAGTTTAACTGGACGTTTAATATGTATATTCGTATGTAAACTTTTGTGTATACGCTTAAGTAATTGCTTGTATGAACTTTCTTATTGATAATATTTAAGACTTTTTTCAAAAACTTTAAGGATAAGAGTCTTTTTATAAATCATTTAACGAAGCCCTTAAAAAATACAAATTAAATATTGTAAACAAGGTATGATGCGAAAAGATTTACGAGCGAGCGGGGGAAAGATTAAAACGAGTAAATTAGCAAAAAAGTGAAAAGCAAAAGGAGCAGATTAGCAAAAAAGTGAAAAGCGAAAGCAGCAGATTAGCAAAAAAGTGAAAAGCAAAAGGAGCAGATTAGCAAAAAAGTGAAAAGCAAAAGGAGCAAATTAGCAAAAAAATGAAAAGCAAAACGAGTAAATTAGCTAAAAAGAACATATAAAACTGACACAGTCGTGCAAGCACCCGTTTTCGCATGTCTCTAGTTGAATAAATAAGTGACATACATGTGTATGCACAAAATTTGTATATATAATGTTGGACACAATATATAGCATTATATGTTTATTTTGCAACCTTATGTGTTCTTATGCTTTGACCTTTTGAGAAAGAACTGATTGAGTGTTATAAGATCCACAAATGTGTTATGACTCATTAGGAATTTAATTTTTTTTTTTTTTTTTTTTTTTATATCTCACTTATCCTTGCATGCTCAATTTTTGTCAGTAAAATAAGCGTTTCGAACATATCACCATAATTTATGTTTTTAATGAGTTTTACAAATTTGTATCCCTTTTGCATAAGTGTTTAATCATTGTTTAATAAGTGTTTAATAAGTGTTTAATAAGTGTTTACAAAAAAAAGTATTTAAATGGAAGATCTAACGAATTTGGTTTTCCCCACCCCCCAATTGAAAATATCTTTTCATATTAAGATATATTCCCTATGTACCTTTTTTTTTTTGCAGATGCCATGCAGCAGGAAAATAACTCAAAAGGTTTATGCCTTTGATAACAACATAACGAATAGAGGAAATGTACCAGTGTCTTTGGTAAAGAAGGGGAAAAAACATCCTGTGGGTCCTATACTTCTTGTCCTTTTTATTTTTGTTGTTATTGGATCAGGTATAAGGCATAATATGAGAAGAGGTTGATACATTAAGATTTTTATTTCTCTTCATTTGCATTATTGCAATAAGGAAAGGAATCACATTCCTCTGTGTTTATTTATGTGTATCTGTGCAGATGTGACGATTTTAATAAATATTTATATGCCTACGAAAGATTGTGTTAATTATATTCCTTCTCCTCGCAGTTATAGTCCAAATATTGAGTATAATACAGAAGTCTAAATCCTTTGATTGAAGAAACTAGGATTTTTTTTTTTTCTTTTTTTTTTTAACGTAACCAATGGCCCTTATATTTGTAAAAAGAATGGGTTATCTGAAGACACATTAGGAATTTAAAACAACCTTCCGTTTTTGGAGTTCTTGTTAGAATTATATTTAATCCACTTAAAAAAAAAAATATATTTTAAAAAAGAATAACTAAAAGGAAAGAAACACACACTCATATATATATTTGCCTATATACATGAATTCATAATGTGAATTTTTTTTTTTTTTTTTTTTTGTTACCCAGTCCAAATGTGGTACCATTTTTTTTAAAAAAAAAATTGTATATCTTTTCCTCCTAACTTTTGTAATTATTTTATTTTTTCCCCTTTTTATTTTGTTAAACTGTTCTATAGAATATTTTTCTTCATTTCAAATTGATATGTGGGCCCACCGATTCCCTCTACTTTTTTTTCCCCCGAATTGTAAATTATTTTTTATTCTTATTCTTCCAGCACATCTTGTCTTTTTGCTGTTACTACTTCTTAGTAACGTCTTTAAAAATTTTGGTTATAACTACTTCTACCGTTTCACCATTTTGATATATGAACAATGTGGGTATTCATAATTTTGTGATCGAATTGAGTTGTACTTTTTGGAGAACACGAAATTGTTGTATGTTTTTTGGGATCGACATTCCCTCCACTGTGGGAAAAAATCAAATGGTAGCAATTCTACTTGATGAATAAATGAATGAACGAATATCGGTGGACATATTCCAATACTATTGTGTATTATTTATTTTTTTTTTTTTTCTTGAAATAGTAACTAAATATTTCTTTTTCTTTTTTTTCCATTATTAAAGCTTCCGCAACTTCAAATTGGAAACCTCAGTTTGTGTCAATTCACGATACTGCTTTGGGAAAAATATATTTTTGAGGGTTATATTTTCAAAGGCTGTTCTTTTAATTTTAATTATTGGTTGATTTATCTGTTCAAACATTTTTCTTAGTTGTCTATTTCGTCCCTCACGTATACTAATATTTAGTACAGTTATCTTTTTTATTTGATCTTTTATTTTTATATTTTCTTCTCTCAATATTTCAATAAATGCTGGTTGTGTTTTATTTTTTTTTATTTCTTTTTCATTTTCTTCTTTTTCCAAATATATACCATTGGCTAGATCTCTTAGGACTTTCATTTGGGCTTCTCCTTCGATATGTATTCTGTAGGTTCTTATTCTTTGGTACTTTGGATGTGTCAGTTTGTTAACCCATGTATATTCATTTGTGAGGAGGAGTACTCCTGATGTGTTTCGATCTAATCTACCTGTATATGAGTTATTGGGGTGGGGGAGGGGGAAGAATGATGATCATATCAAAATAAAAATATGGTTAGATAAAACGAGTGGTGCAAAAAAATAGGGAGAGAATGCATAGGAATTACAATATAGAATTTGTTGATACATCAAATTTGTTCTAATGGTGGGACAAACTCGGGTGGGTAAACGGATATATGAAGAGATATATACATATGTGTACACTCCGGGGAAAAAAAAAAAAAAAAAAAAAAATTGAACTCTACATAAGTCATTTTTGATTAAATGGCATTAGTACAACTAGGGTTTACATTTTTTTTTTTTTTTTTTTTTTTTTCTTTCCCCCTTCCCATTCAATTCTCAAGTAGCTTCTGTCAATTGTACCATCCACGACGGAAAATGTTTATGGTTCGAGATGGTAAAGTGATGTTGATTAGATGTTGGGGTAAGTGCAATTGTGGGAATAAGACTGAGTAGTGGGTAATACATATAATGCACTTGCGTAACTTCCTTTTTTAAATGAATTTTGGAAACACAAAAAAGGGTGCAATTGTGCAAACTCAGGAAAAGTGAAATAGTGCATACTGACCTACAGAAACTAAGCGATAGTTATCCATTATGTCTTGTGGAAAAAGGGAATAAATGGACGTTCTATTTTTCTCATCATTGGATGTACATATGAGCCCTTTGGGCTTATGTAGAACAAACCATTTGTATGATTTATTATTATTTCCATTGATAATTTTTTGAATATTGAGAATGTTTACTTTTTCTTCACAAATTTTTATTTTATCTTTTGTTATATCGATATGTGTACCCGGATTTTGCACAACTTTGTTGTTTAATTTTACATTTCCATCTTTTATGAATTTGTCTGATTTTCTTCTTGATATTTTTCTTTTTATGGAAATTATTTTGTTTAGTCTGACTATTTTTACATCTCCGTTGTTGTTGTTTTGAGGAGGCTTAACGACAAAGGAGTCGACATGATCGTGAAGACACACAAAAAGTAAAATTAAAATGGAAGCTAATAATTTGCTAAGCCAAAATGGAATAGGTGGAGATAAAAAGGTCATCTATTTATTTTTACTTATTTTTTTTTTTCTTGTCAAAGAGGTTACACACACGGAAAAAAAAAGGAAAATTAGTGAAAACCAGTTTTGACTGGAGTTTTTTTTTTTTTTTTTTTTTTTTCCCTACCTCTTCCCATTCAATTCTTCTACTTATGCAATAATGAATCATAGATGGAATAAAATAGGTACTCACCTGATTTTACATTTTTGATGAAGTGCTTGTTTAAAAAAAAAAAAAAAAAAAAATTAAAAAAAATAGTATAGATAATTGAGTGATTGAAAGGAAACAAGGGGGAAAAAAAGAAAAAAAAATATTAACGAGTTGCACAATAGATATTCGATTTTTCTCTCACACTCTCTTTACATTATTCCAGTGATGCTTTCGTTTTTAGTGCTACTATTACATTAACGTTTCATTTTGTACTACGCATGTGTATTTTTTTTTTTTTTTTTTTTTTTTTTGGTATCTTAAAAGTCATCTTCTCTTTTCATGGTGTGGTATTATATCTTTACATATGAGAGCTGCAGTTAAGCAGCACTGCCAACATTGTTTGACAATTCTCGAAAAAAGGGGAATGAAGAAAATCGGACAAGGTAAGTTGGGCAGGGGGAGTAATCCAAGATTAGTTCGCAGGGTAAAGTTTTGCCCCTTAACAAGTTCGTATTTTGAAGGCACTGTCGCTAAGAACTTTTTGGAGAGTGGCTAAATTGCAGTTTTTATTTTTCTTTTCCGCTCGTCCCTTTTTTCTTTTCTTTCCTTTTTTGGTAGTGGGATTGCACAGTTCGTATATAAAAAAATTGATTGTCGTTTTCGATGAATAGCCAGATATGCACATAGTGGAACAGTTAAGGTACAGCAAAAAAAAAAAAAAAAAAAATAATAATAAAATAAAACAAAAAAATAAAAGTACACTTACCTGCATGCATATATACTTGCATAATTTAGAAACAGATACAAGCGTATATACCCAATTTTGACACCATCTTCTGATTTAGAAAGTTTTAAAAAATAAAAAAAAATAAAAGAAAGAAAGAAAAAAGAAAGAAAAAAGAAAGAAAATAAAAAAAAATTCTGGAATAACTTAACAATTTTGCATTTTTATCTACATTTTTGTAAAACGAGATATTTAAATCTTTGCATAAATATGTCATTCTTGAAAAAGGCACTTGTGTGTGTGGGGGGATAAATATATATATATAAATATATATATATATATATAATGAAGATAATATGATGAATGAGAAGAAGGACAGTTCGTCGTGCTATATATACAAATCGTTGAACATTGCTAGGCGCTGCTAGAAAATTCTGCACGCAGGAGTATCCCCTTGAGCAGTAAGTAATAGCCAAGAGACACGAGTGGAGGGTACGTGTTAAAAGAGCATAAATGTGTAATGAAGTTTGTTTGAAAATTTGGAGCCAGATCAGTTGACATTAAAGTTGTGACAGAAAATACGGATGCATGTTGATTAAACATACATGCACAGTGGAGAGGGGAGAGAAGGGGGTTGAGTTGAATATTCTGTTGGTAGAACTTCTTTGCCGAGACGTACAGATGTACGTGAGAATGTGTGTGTAGATATGGAGAGATATATTCAGATAAAGGTGTGCCATGGAGTAATGTTCTTGCCTGCCTTCATCAGTTGCTTTGAGTGCAAATAATTTTTGGTCACGGCTCATCGCTTCTTCCCCTTGGGTTTGGCTTTGGCTGCTGACTTTTTGTCCACCTTGGTCTTAACCAAAATGTCATCGTCGTCCTTTTCCTCCTTGGATTCACTAAGCTCATCCATGTCATCATCCGATTCGTATTCATTCAATTTGTAAAGACCTTTTTTCTCAGCTGTCTTGAATCCCTTTCGTAACATATTTGGATCATTCTTAATAACGTGTGAAGCATTATATAATCTGGTAAAAGATGCTTTCGTTTTTGAGTCTAATTTGTCATATAGATTTTCCTGTGTTGGTAATCGTAATGAGGGTATGTTTTCAGTAATCATTTCTTTGGTTATGTTATAATCTTCCATCATTTGTATAGCTTTTGGTATATTATTGGTAGCTAGTGGTTCAATAATTTTGGAATAGATGTAATTCAAGAACCCAGATGTGATCATATGTTTTGGACATACATTTAGTTTGTACGAAATATTAAAACACAACTCATTTAACAATCTTTTATTTTTATTAAAAGTAGATATTTTTCCAAAAGCGGATGGGAAATTAATTCTACCAGACATGAATGATTTTAACATTTTGATTCTCATAACAGGACAAACACAGGATAGAATGGAAAAATGTGGTAATAAGGAAAAATCCATGTTTGTTTTCATATTATATTTAATTTTTTCAGCTAATACTAAGTCGCATGATATTTGAGAATAAGCATTCCATTTAGTAATTGAATTGGCTGACTTGTCGTTATCATTAAATACATTTGTGTAATTTTCACTTATAAAAAATGGAATCAATTCGTAATCAACAAAAAATAGATCCATAATATCTCTGATTTTTAATTTGGATGATTCATGAAAATTTAAAAGCTTGAGTGTTATTTCAAATGGATTAGCTAACGATTGTATATTTTTATTGGAATTATTTAATTCTTTTTTTAAATCTAAAAATTGTATTTTTTTATACGTTTTAGACAAAAGTTGTAATGCATTTAACATCTGTCTCATATCTCCATTTGTACTTTCCCATAACAATTCGAGTGCATTAGGTTCCATCATGACATTTTCTTTTTTACAGATTTCTAGCAATCGCTTAACGACACTATTTTTATTTGGAGTAGTGAATTTCAAATCATAACATTTATTAGCTAATGTTCTCATTTTATTATTTTGCCTATCATTACATATGCATATAATAGGGCATTTTGTTTTTTCTATTAATTTAAGTATAGCTGCACTTCCTCCTTTATCACCACTTGACATACCATCTACTTCATCCATAATTATACAGGTTTTGGTTAATTTACGGCTTTTTATAGAAGCAATGGAATACCCTCCAGTAGCCATTTCGCTTATTTTTTCTACTGCTGCTTTGTTTCTTTCGTCTGATGCATTAAATTCGATTACATTATATCCTGAACTTTCTGCAACGATTTTTGCAGTTGTTGTTTTTCCAATTCCAGCTGAACCACTTAATAAAGCACATCTTGCATTTACATTTTCGAATACACCTCTAAAAGTTTTTGTCACTTGTTTTTTTAATCCTTTTATACATACATCATCCCAGCTAGCTAGCCAATTTTTTAATTTTAAGACATTTTGATTGTTCCCAACTAATTCGTTTAAGTTTTTAGGTCTATATTTTTCTACCCATAATTGATTAAGTATTTTCTTTTCCTCCCCTGGATTGTTCTGTTCGTTTGGTAGATGTTTTTTCTGATGTGTGGATCCAATTTGTTCATGCGCATTTGTGCTGTAATTGTGGAAGCTTTTAGAGCTGCTACTATTGTTATCATTCTCACTTTTAAATTTTGTGGAATCGTAATGTTCAGTTTTCGAAAAACTTGCGTTATATCCAGAAGCGTCTCCTCCTGCATTGTCGAAATTGTCTGCTCCATTAAGATTTTCATTTTTCTCTTGTGGAATCATTTGTAAGAGCTGTTCCTCATTTAATATTTTAATAATGGACTTACTTGATTGTTGTAATTCAAAGGCCTTTTGGTACTTTTTCCCTTCATTGTATAATCTTCCATCTTCTAAATATTCACCATGGATGAGGTAATGTGTTCTAGAAGAAACTGCAGACATTACGCTTCCTCCATTTTCTTTAATTTTGGATTGTAATTCATCTCGAGAAAAATTTTTAAATACTCCTGTTAACACAAATTTAAGGTTATGAAAAGGAAGATAATCAAAATTGTTCGCTAAGTCACCACCTTTGTTATTATTTCTACTGCTTGTAGACCATGTAGTGGAGTATTTTTTTTCTGCACTCCTATTGTCACTATTGTTAAAGTCTTGTTCCATTTTTGTTTTTTCTTTTTTTCCTGCTAAGGTATGTTTTTTTTTATATGTTATTTGGTTCATCAATTCATCTTCGTCTTCTTCCCTTTCCCTTTTTAAGTTCCTGTTTGTGATTCCATTTGAATTTGTTTGATCTTCCATTTTTTTGCTATTTGGTTTGAAATACGATGTTATGTCATGATACATGGATTTTCCAGTAGATTTACTGGATAATGGATTGTTGTTCATAATTTTGGGACTGTTGTATGAATCGTCTTCGTCCGTACCATCTTTAATTTCGACAACACTATGAGTTTGTGATGTATGGCTCACTTCTTCCTTGTTAAAAAGATCATTATCATCTTCGCTATCATCAAATAAATTAGTAGTTACTTTTTTCAGACGTTTTCTTTTCCTTCCCCCATCACTGCTGCTATCATCATCGAACAATTTTTTTTCTGCGGAGCTCATTTTGTGCGCCTCGCTTATTTTGCCCTTTCTTATTTAGTACTTATTTTGTGCGTGTTTTTTCAGAATGAGGGGGAGAAAGAAAAACAGCCTGGGATATGGTAACTTCAAATGGGGATGTAAATTCTTGCAAGTGTGTGGAGAAGAAATGTATGCTGTTTCGAGGAATAGCACTATGAGCATACGCATAAGCATGAACATGTACATATACACACGTGTAATTAGTTCGTTGTACCATCCCTGGAAAGGTGTAATAAAAATTTCACTCAAAAATGGAAAAAAAAAAAAAAAATTTTAAATAAAGTTCATAAAAGATTTCCCCCTTTTCATGCTATTTTACGTTATCATAATTTGCTTTGCAAAAATGTGTTAAAAAAAGAAAGAAAAAAAAATGAGAGCATTCAAGTTTGCAAGTATAAATATCTCTCCTCTCTGTGCAAAAAAGAAAAAAAAAAAATGTGAAACGAATTAGTGAAGAAAAATGCTTATATGGAGAAATGGAAAGAGAAAAAAACTATAACCTCTTGTTTAACGTGTCAAAGCAAAAGGGAAATATATACAAATCCTATCATTCTTGTGATTCACCATCGAACAGAATATTCACGTTCCCATATGTCCTCATTTACATGAACGTGCTTGTTTGCTTGAAGAGTCATGGGCAAAATGGAGGTGTGCTTATAGGGTTAGAGCTTTGGAGTTATATTGTAGCTTTAATTTAAAAAAAAAAAAAAAAAAAAAAATATACATATATATGAAGTCCATATTTGTGAACACAGTGTAACGATGATGAAGCAGAGCTTTTGAGAACATACATGTGACTTAACTAAGTTCGTAAGGTTTTTCGTCACATGCTGAAGAATTTAGTCCTTATAAAGTATTCCCTGCTTTGAATGGGTGCTTAACAATTCCTTCGTCTCTTGTGCTTGTTCTTATTTTTTCTCTTCTTTTACTTTTCCCTGTGCACATAAATTATATAAAACATCATGTCTCCACATATGAGTGGAGGACTGCTTTAGAGCTTCGTAACATGAAAATGGAAGTGTGTATTTTTTCGCAGCGTTCGTAAAAAAAAAAAAAAAAAATTGAGAAAAATTGAATTTTTTTTTTTTTTTTTTTTCCCCACGAAAAGTTCCTTATGGTGTGAGGCACAATTCATTCAGCATTTTAATATCGTAGATATATTGCACAAATTTGAAGAATGTATTTACCCAATAATTTAAAAAATAAAATAAATAATATAATAAAAGAGATAATACAACTGAGCCCATACCCTACATATTTGGATTTATATTTTCAAAATGGAGAAAAAAAATTTTATTTTTTTTTTGTTCATGTCTACACATTTATGAGGCTATATGCACATATTGTACACACACATGATGGGAAATTTTTAAGTTGGGACTCGTAAAATATCACTCATCGTAATTGTTTTTTTAATTGTAAGAAAAAAAAAAAAAAAAAAAAAAGAACTTGCATATGTGTACCCCACTCCCTTTTTGTAAAATAAATAAGGTTTTCCTTTTTAATCCGTTTGCTGTATTTTTTCCTACTGCCAAGTTCACATTTATCATTCAAGCAATTGTGATGCCAGATTCTCATATTCGAAGAAAGAAAAAATAATGACATAAAAATAAATAAAACGATGTTTTTTATCAAGTTCTTTTAGGATGTAATACAAGCCTCCTTTTTGCAAACGGATGCGGTAAAGGGACACTTTAATAAAATCTAATTGGTAATCATATTTGGTTTCTTTTTTTTTTTTTTTTTTTTTTTTTTTTGCACTTATGTATGAAGTCTCATTTTGTGTGTAAGATATGCATATTTATACATTTTCTGATGAGTCCATCCATTTATCAAGGGAAAAGTTACCAAATGGAATATCTGGTTGAGTTATTTCTTACCATTTTAAACGTGTACATGATTAGTCATATAAATCGTTTTATCTTCATATAAGGTGGGGGACACATATGGAGTTGAACGAAAATTTTAAACGTTTTCCCCACATATATACCACCATTAGGAAATTAAACTTCGAAAGAAGGTTCCTTTTGTAGCATCGAAACTAGGTGATAGCACACACATGGGTACTTGCATGTACCTATATATATATATATATATATACATACTTGTATTATGAATGTACCTCTTTGTTTTTGCTTTGCAACTTTCATATTCATGAATTTTGGATTATGAATCAGTTTAATGGGGGAATGTACCATTAGACATTTTTCAAATTTTTTTTTATTTTTTTTTTCCACTTTTGGGTTAGTCACTGGTATGAGAATACCCAAAAAGTTTTCTCTCCACAGAGGTAGCAAATTAAGAATATTGAATATGCTAATTCGATCCTCTGTGAGAACATAAACAATTTGGTATTGTTTCCCCTTCTCTGGAATATGAATAAATTTTGGATGTTTTCTTGTCATTCTGAAGTAAATGCATTTTTTTTTTTTTTTTTTTTTTTCATGTTTAGTACCTTTTGAATGCTGTTTCGTAACGAGCGGGTTTAAAAGAAACGTCCATATAATTAGTGAATTATTTTTTGTATGCATTTTTTTTTAAGCTAGAAATATATACCTTAAGTGGAAACGCAAAAAAAAAAAAAAAAAAATGAATAAAGTACATTCATTTATACACATTTTTTATGCCCCACCCAAATATCCTAATTTTTTGTGGGGAACATTTGTCAGGTATATCCTCCCCCAGCTGTCTACTAGGTTCTCGTTTCTCTTGTATAAATTTTGACAACAAAAGTGAAAAAAAAATTTATTACGGGATTTAATGAATGCCAAATGGGTGATCTGAAGCAAATCTTACATAAAACAGATGAACGAATGAATTTGTGTAGATACTTCTGTTTGCAACAAATTGTAACATAAAAAAAAAATATATACATATGTATATGCATATATATATATATATTTTTACTTTTGCGTAATTTTGTGACATGGTTGAAAAGGAGTTATCTCCTCTCAGTTGAAATAAAAATGTTTTAATAATTAAAAAAAAAAATTAAAATAATATGAGTGTTCATAAATGGGGCTGAGAAATTTTGTGTTATCCGTTTTGAGACTTACGGTTTGTCAAAAATTGGAGGACAAGAAAAATTTAAATATCCCAATTTCCATACTCCATTGATAGGTAAAATTGGGAGAGTAATTTAAGTGCAATTCAGGAAATTCTTCCTCCAATAAAAAAAAAGAAAAAAATGCATGCATGTATACATACGTACGTACATACATAGGTACATACATAAGCGGCTACATGTAAAGAAATATAAGAAAAATGAAATAAGCGGTGATGAAACGCATATGTGTATCATGAATGCACATTTTTGCAAAAACCATTGTTATTCAATTTCGTGAATTAGTGGAAAACAAACTTTGAAAGGGCATAAAAAGTAACAGTGTAAAATACACACACTTATTGGGTACTTATATGCACGTATAAGGATATGAAGCGACATTGCAATTAGAATAACAAATTGTAGACAAGGGAACGATGTTTTCGGCCCTTACAAGATGTTGCATTAACACACACAATGAGTGGAGGGCGAAAAGCAGAAAAAGAAAGGAAAGTATGTCTCCTGTACATGAAACCACGTGAAGAATATTCCATTTTTTGCTCTTTCAATTTCTCAAGTGATGAGAGACTTTTCTATATGAACTTGGAAAAGGTTGCCTCTCGTTTGTGTTCATTCATTCAGCTCTAGCTATCTGTTAGCGGGTGAGCGCATTGAGTTGTGGAACCCTAAGCACCATCCACTCGATTTTCCTCGTATTCAATTCCATCTTCTTCAAGTTACGATAACGGGTTTCCCTCTGTTTCTCCTATTAGGAAACAGCTCAAATAATATTCATAGAAAAATGTGTGAAGACTATAACTGACTAATAGCACTTTTGTAATCTAAATTGGGGGAATTACTTAATATATCGTATAGGATATTATTCCATTTATGTTTCATACTATTCATAGAATCAGTCCACATTTTTTTTGTCGTATTTATGAAAGATTTATACACATTACTTATACATTCTCCCTTATCAAATAACTCATAAAATTTGTTTATGCAAAGTTTATCCATGTTCCTGAGTTCATAAATAAGATTTGCATAGACTGCCCACCAATGTTTTAGTAAATCACTGGGGGTAATGTTACGATGTGATGCTAAATTTACTGCATCTGTCCATAAAGATTCCATCATAGCATAATATTTTCTGACATTATGATTATGAACATTAAACCAGAGAGTGTACATTTCTTTTTTCTTTACAATATCATTTAAATTATCTAGAATAGTGATAACTTCTTCTTCTGTTAGTTTTATGCTCTTTTCAGAAATTTCTTCTTTATAACATTCGCTTTCTTTGTTCCCTAATTGTATTGTTTTTCCATTTGGTCTATCCATTTGATTTTTGAAGCTCAAATTGTTCGTTTTGTAACTCCCTAGTCTCTTTTTCGGAACCCCATGGGATATGTTTTTTTTTGTTACGCTTTGGGGAATCTCTCTGTTGTTTCGAGTTTTGATTTGTTCCATCTCTGATCCTTGTTCTTTTAAATTATTTGATGGATTCATCTCGGTTAAGATTCTTAAATTGCAAAGGGGGTTTATTTCTGAATGTGGGCCTACATTTTTTTGTTCTACGAATGCATATGCCTTCAACAAGGGAAAGGGGATGATAGCGTAAAAAAGAAAGAAAAAAATACATGTGTGAAAAAATGTACATATATGTGCATGCATGTACATGCAAACATAAATAAATGAACAGGCATATATATATATATATATATGTGAACAGGTACAGATGAGTGTAAAACACAGGGTGACACGCTAGTATGAATTGATAAAAGCATCACAAAACATGCACAGGGAGCGCACAAAGGGATGGAGTCGTGCATCTAATTTGAGCACTTTAGCGTGTCTTACCAGAAATAACAAGTACAAGTTGGGGATAGTAAGAAACAAACCTTCAAAGGTCCTACAGTGCATAATGGGAAAGAACTGTATATTTTTGTAATCAATTTTTTTTTTTTTTTTTTATATAAAATTTATGTCCTCTTTGGAGGGTAATAAGTGGACGAATTCTTTTGCGATAGAATCTGGGGATCTAGTTTTCTGCCTCGAAGGATCTAGCAAAAGAAGCTGTTCCGCTAGGTTTCAGCAATGTTTGCTATGTTGTATTATAATTTTTTTTTTTTTTTTAAATCGTAAACTTTGTTTTTTTGACTATGTTTTATACATTAACAACTTAGGAAAAAATAGGAGAGAAAAAAAAATAATATCATGCGAAATGGGCAAATAATATGTATAATGAATTTTTTTTTATTTTTTTGAGAAAAAATCTAAAAAAAAATAAACCTATTCGAGTTACGACTCCGTTGTAAAAAAAAAAAAAAAAAAAAAAAAAAAAAAAAAATTTAAAAGATTAAAAAAAAAAAAAAAAAAAAAAAAAAAAAAAAAAAAAAAAAAAAAAAAAAAAAAAAAAAAAAAAAAAAAAAAAAAAAAAAAAAAAAAAAAAAAAAAAAAAAAAAAAAAAAAAAAAAAAAAAAAAAA